AATTAAGGCACGCGGTGAATGCCAAGAGAGGCACCTCCACCACTCCTTTCTCATGGAAATGGCCCGCGAGCGCGGCCGGCGCGGCGCCCCTCCCGCGGGGAAAGGCAGCCGGCCCCCGGCGGCCCCTCGCGCCGCGGACAAATCCGGCGAACAATGCGCCCGCCCAGAGGGCGGCCCAGCTGCCGGGCCGGGGATCTGGTCTCGGGACACAAAGGGGCGCGCAGGCCTCGGGCGCATGGGGCGGGCGGGGGCGGCGAGGTGGGGAGACCGCGGCCCGCGGGACTGCAGCCGCCGGCCCGGGCCACGTGTGTCCGCACCCTGGCGTGCCCGTGCGCCTGGAGAGGGCGGTGGGGCCCGGGAGACAAAGGGAGGGTCCTTGGCGGGGGTGGGGGCGGGGGTGCTCCGGTGCCGACGGCCGCTCACCGGTGCTGCGGACACCAGCGGGGCGACTCGGGGCGCTGTCCGCGGTGCTGGCGCCTGGCAGCCCCCGCGGTACAGAACGCCACGGCGGCGCGCGAGGCCAGGGGTCCCGAGTGCCACTCGCCCGACCTCGGACGCCTGGACAGTTGCCACGGAGACGAGGGGCGAGGTGGGCTGAGGTCACCGCCTAGCCGCTGCTCAGCCGCGGGCCGGTGGGTCAGCGCTCCCTGAGCTCGTGTTGGCGGAGCGGTGCTGCGTCCGCACCCAGGGCCCGACCAGGACGAGGCGGGGTGGGGCGGAGGGTGCGAGGGCCGCATCCCGCCCCCCAAACTCGCTCTGGGCTATGCGGGGCGCGAGGCACGTGAGACTCCGCAGCCGGAGAGAAAATGACAGATCCCTCCCCCGCCGCCATCTGCAGCCGCAGCGACACCCACTCGGCTGTGCTGCAGGCATTTTTTTTTCTGTCCTCGGAGGCCAGCGCCACCTGCCGGCCCCTGGCGCGGCCTCCCTGCACCGCCCGCGCCCCATCTCCCAGGGCCACCAAGGCAGGCTGCGGTGCGCGGCTGAGCAGAGCCGGCGGGTCAGGGCTGGACGGCTCCAAGCTGGCCGGGACTCTGGTGTCCAGGGGTCCTCCAACCCCCGCAGGGCAGCGAGCATAAGACCCGTCCCACCGCTAGCTGCTGAGCCCCCCCCACAGAGCCCACCAGTCCCTCATTCCTCCCGTCCCCCAGATTAGAGCCACTGCAAGGCGGAGCACTCAGCCAGGCCCTCCTGAATTCAGGCGGCCTCCACCAGCTCCCCACGACCTCAGCCTTGACTTTGGGCTTGATGCCTGCCTGTCCCCCAGGGCAACAGTGAGCCCAGGGAAGGGTTCCAGACGCCAGCTAGCAGCGAGGAGGGTCCAGGGCAGGCCAGGTCACCGGCATGCTGCCATGATGTCTCCTGGGAGGAAGGAAGCCCCTAGCCGACCTGCTGGGCTGCTGCGGGCTGTGCTGGAGTGGCAGGGCCCACAGGACCTCCTGTGGGGTCTTCTGAGAGCCTCGCCCCAGAAAGGCTCCAGGTGGCACTAGGTAGATGCCAGCCCTGGACAGGCCTATGGTTCCTGGGGTCTCACTCAGCAGGAGGCGAGCCCTCTCCAAGCTGACACCTGACACAGCAGAAACCACCAGGCTGGGCCTCACCTCCCCAGATCCCTTCGAACCTCGCTGTAATAGTGACAACCCCCATAAACGCACACACACATGCACTTACAGAACACACACTCTGTCCTGGGCACCCGCTACCTTCCCCCTGGTGCCCGGGCTGTGAGGCAGGGCATGGCCCTGCTTCAAAGGACAAACAAGACAGAGTTCAGCGTGAAGGTGAGGTGGTCGAAGGCCCCTAGCAGGTAGGCGGCTATTTCAGGAGCGGCCAGGCCCGCACGTGCTCCTCCCCTGCCCAGAGTCTGGCCTGCAGAGAAGCCTCTGACCTCACTCCGGGTGAGCAGAGGCCAGGGGTTGAGTCCTCCTAGCCACAGCAGGGACCACAGCTGTGTCGGCCCCAGCCGATGGGGAGCAGCTAAAGCTCCCAAGGCCGTGGGTGGGAAGTCAGCAGGAGTGTCACAAACTGCCTCAGCAGGGTAACCCGTGGCCACAGGGTAGGGCTCCCACCAATCTGTATGGGAGAGCTCACTGGCCAGGGGCAGCTGCAGTCCAGCAACTCCATATGCCAGCCTCTCCTCCACCCATGTTGATGCCCTGAGAGCCCAGTGGGTCCAAGACCCTTGGACAGCTCAGGGAAGCCCGGCCACGGGGCTAACCCAGGAGCAGACAGAGTTCCCTGTGGCATCTGGCCTCCAGGCTCTGCTTGCCAAGTCCCTGAGGGCTTCTGGAGCCCGCAGCAGGACTAGCTCCGAGGCTCCTGCCTGGCACACGTCACCACCTTCACCACCAGCTCCTGTCCCACCGCTGACCGCAGCAGCAAAGGAAGGGTGGTCACTCTGTGACCATCGCTCCAGACGCTTGCTGGCCGAGGAGGGGGACGGTCATGGCAGGTCCTACCCTCCCCGTGCCAAGGAGCCCCTGCCCCAGCTGGCCCTGGACAGGCCTGTGTCCCTGCTCACACAATGGCCCCCAAGCACAGCCTTGTGCGAACACGTGAGTGCTACGCTGGCTGTCCCAGCAGAGTGGACTTCTTCAAGTCAAGGTGTGCCAAGTGCGGGTGCACACAGCCATGTCATGTGCACATACGTGCTCGGCATGCTATGTGTATCTGTGTCACTCCTCACATGCTGTGTTCATGCTGCATCCCCATGTGCCACATCCACATCACATGCTGTGTTCATGACACATCCATGTCATGTTTCACGCTGCATGTTCCACATGTACAACTGTGCACCTGTGTGCTCACGTGACATGTGGCCGCATGCTGTTCGTGTGACACGCCCACATCACGTGCACAGCTGTGCACTTGTGTGCTCACATGAGACATGTCCACAGGGACGCCCCAAGCTCTGCTCTCAGCTGAGCCTCCCCACAGTGGCCCTTCCTCAGTCCCTCACTATTCACTGGGGGTGCTGACTTGCCAGGAGAGGTGGGGTCAGGCAGGACTGGGCACCTAACAGTGCTGTGGGGAACTGCCTCTGGGGAGAGACCTGCCCTCAGGAACAGGCAGAACCTGCCGGCATCCACAGCCAGCTACTGGATAGTGTGGTTGCCGCTGGCTTCCTCAGCCCCAGGCAGCTGTGTGGGAAGGCAGTGCTCAGGCGGGTCCTGGGGCCAGGAGTGGTCAGCCCCTGGCTTCAGCTGTGCCACACCATCAGGTGTCCCCACCCCACTTCCCAGGGAGGAGGGAGCTAACAGCGGGGCCCTGGGTTCCCCTCCCTGTCCTTCCCATGGCTCCCTGGGCCAGTCACCCCTCCCTGTGAGAACCTCAATGTGCATTCTCTGGGCGGTAACAATAGGTGTGCGATGCACCTGCCACCCAGACAGCACTGGGTGTGTGCCATCGCAGGGATACTTTGCTCTCAGCCAGCTTCCTGCCAAGGTGCCCGGGAAGTAAGGGGGCCCAGGTCCTGGATGCCCACCACCCTAAGGACACCCAAGTCCCAGGCTGCTGCATGCATCCGAGGAGTCAACCAGCCAATGCAAGATCGCTGTCCTCCATGTCACTCTGCCTTTCAAGTAAATAAATCTTTAATCAAAAAACACCAAAATGCCTCTTCTAACAACTGGCTCCCCAACCCCCACCTATACCTGCAAGCCTCAAGGCTCCCTCCTGCGAGCAGCACAGGGCCACGTGTCCCTCAGGGACACGGCCAGGTAGCACCGTGTCTCCTGGCTCTTCCACTCACCCAAGCGACAGGCCAGGCTGCGCCTTGGGCTCTGGCCACCACATCTGGACGGGGGGCGCAGAGGGACAGTCCCATCCAGGGCCAGTCCAGCCTGATGCCCAGTGGCGACATGGCTCAAATGCTCTCGACGACCAGACCTTCCAAGGACACCCCCCAGAGGGACCTCACACGGGGCAGTTCCCTCAGGGCGACTAGCCCACTATGCTGCCCGCCGGCCCCAGCCTTCCTCCTGCTGACCTCAGGAGGTGGGGCACTGTGTCTCACCCAGAAGCCTTCACAGGCCGTCACACAGGGTAAGCGGCCAGGCACTGGAGGACGAGGCGCGCCGGCAGCCTCCCTTCACCCCACTAACCATCCTGGCTGGGAAGGGCAGAACTGTCTGCAGTGACGTTTCCATTGTCTTTCCCTAGACCTCCCCCCTCCCTACACTTAAGGTCTGTGTAATTTGTTGGTAAATTTCACGCCACCAGAACACTGCTGAGCTACTCAGGTCTTAGGGCAGCAACTGGGCCTGCGTCAACCGCAGAGGCTGGGGTGGCGTCCAGCTTTCTCCAAGTTATGTGGGACAACCATGAAGCAGAGCAGGGAGGTCACCCCAGCACCCCCACACCAGAAGACCTGCACCACTCCAGGTTGTACACACACTCCAGGCTGTGGACACACACACACAAGACAACGTGGGGCTCACAGGCTGTGGAGACACACACACACACACACCCAGAACAATGTGGGGCTCACAGGCCTGGACACACACACACACACACACACCCAGGACAACGTGGTGTTCACAGGCTGCAGAGTGCATGGACGCAGGGGTGTTTACCACCTGTCAGGCCCAAGCAGCCGCTGTGGAGATGGGGCACCCGGTATAGCTCCCCAGAGCTTGGCAACTCTGGATGCCAACAGTCCTTAGAAGGAGTCTACTCTAGGACAGTGAGGAACCGACATGGGTGGCAGAGCGGGTGTGGGGCCTGCTGACCACAGGCCTCGAGCCTCCCCTGCCGTGAGGGGGGCTACCAGCCGCATGGGAGCAACAGGGCAGGGTCTGCGTGGCTTATCGGAACGGACGGGCGTGGCCAGCGGGTGACCCTCCTCGGGGCCTGTGGCAGGGAAAGCAGGTGATAAAAAGGACCACTGATCATCATTTCTACCAAAATAAAAAATAAAACCAAATTCACTCAGGGAGCCCTGGGTTTCCGCTTGTCCTCCAGGATACCCCTTCCATGTGAGGTCAGTCTGACTGGTAAGCTGACAAGAAAAATACTCCTTTATTGGTGAGCTCTACATAGTGTCACAGAGCGAGCAGACTCGGATCCCTCGGACGCCGCCCGGCGCCAGGCCCGGGCCACCCTGCGCAGCCCCACGCCATCGGGACCTGTGCTGTAGCCTCGTCCTCACTGCTTGCTGCGGTTCTGCCGTTCCTGGGAGGAGGAGGAACAGGCGGTCAGGAGAGGGCATACAGGGACACGCACAGCCAGATGCTGCGATGCGTCACCCCCTCCGTGCTAGGGGCTCAGCCCCCAGCCCCCCAAGGCAGCAGGTGCCAGACATCCAGGCAGTACCTGGGTCCTTGCCACTCCGGGCTCTGGCCTAGTCGAGCGCTGCTGCTTCAGGCAACTGGGGCGTGAGCAGAGTGTGCAGGGCATGACAAGCTGGGGCCCTTCCCGGACCAGGCCAGCCAGGCCGGGACTGCCCCACACGTGGCTTCCACCCACTTGGGTCTCCCTGTAGACCTCACCCAGACCCCTTCAACGGAGACACAAAAGGCAACAACACTAACACCTCAAGGGTAACCTCCCTCAACTGTCAGGCACGGGCTGTGTGTGTCTTCAGGGCAACGGGCAAGGCGCTCCCCTCACTCCTGGTGCCGGGCTCTGGGAGAGCGCCAAGGCCGCAGGCTGGAGTTCATGTTCCTTCCCACCCTCTAGTTTAAAACTAAAACAATTACATATTCTCTATTTAGCATTCTTTAAAACTGCTTAGGGGGCCCGGCGCAGTGGCCTAGCAGCTAAAGTCCTTGCCTTGAATGCACTAGGATCCCATATGGGTGCCAGTTCTAATCCCAGTGACGCCACTTTCCATCCAGCTCCCTGCTTGTGGCCTGGAAAAGCAGTGGAAGACGGCCCAAAGCCTTGGGACCATGCACCACAGCTGCGTGGGAGACCTGGAGGAAATTCCTGGCTCCTGGCTTCAGATCGGCAAAGTACTGGTCGTTGCACTCACTTGGGGAGTGACTTGATGGACAGATCTTCCTCTCTGTCTCTCCTCCTCTCTAATTTTCCAATAAAAGTAAAATAAATCTTTAAACTGCTTAGGGGTTGCTGTCATGACTCAATAGGCTAAACCTCTACCTCACAGCCAACACCCCACTTGGGCTGATTCGTGTCCCAGCCGCTCCACTTCTGATGCCGCTCCCTGCTGTGGCCCGGGAGAGCAGAGCAGACTCCCGGCTCCAGAGGGGCTCAGCTCTGGCCAGTGAGGCTACTTGGGCAGTGAACGGCAAGTGGGAAGTTCTGTGTCTGTCTTGTCAAACTCCACCTTTAAATAAAAATCAATAAATCTTTGGGGAAACTTTTTTTTGAAGAAATTCTTGGGACAGGCAGCACAGTGTATGTGCTTAACCCAACTGACACGGCAGTGCTGCGGTTCAAGCTGACTCAAGCACATGGACGGCCCCAATTCTGCTTCCCAATTCCTGACAGTCTGGTACTGCCAAGGCAGCGCCTGGGTGGGCATCTCCCACCAGGAGACGGAGCTCCCAGGCCCCAGCACCCGGGCAGTGCACTGGCTGCTGGGAGAGGGCTTCAGCTGGGGCACTTGCTGAGCCCACCTCCCTTCGGCCCACATGCACCTGCCCTTCAACACAACTTCCCTTCGCTCAGGAAACCAAGACAGCTACTGGAGTGCGGGCAGGCTCTGCCTGCACAGCCTCCGACGCCTCCTCCCAGCCCGCCTGGGAGCCACTGGCCCCTGGGCCAGAATGTGTCAGTGTGAGCCACGCTCCTGCCATTGGGAGCACCCAAAGAAGGAGCTTGTATGGGCCCAGCATGGCAGCCTGTTGGTTAAGTCCTTGCCCTGCATGCGCCAGTTCATACCCTGGCTGCTCCACTTCCCATCCAGCTCCCTGCTTGTGGCCTGGGAAAGCAGTCGAGGACGGCCCAAAGCCTTGGGACCCTGCACCCGTGTGGGAGACCTGGAAGAAACGCCTGGCTCCTGGCTTCTGATTGGCGCAGCATCAGCCGTTGCACTCACTTGGGGAGTGACTCAGTGGAAGGAAGATCTCCCTCTCTGTCTCTCCTCTCTCTGAATATCTGATTTTGCAATAAAAATAAACAAATCTTAAAAAAAAAGTTTCCAGACAGCAGATCCCCAGCTTCTTAAACAAAACTAGAAGTGGCCTGCAGAGTGACCAGGGTCAGCCAATGCTGCCCCCGGAGGTTGAGCCAGCCAGTCCTGAGCAGCAGCAGGGCCGCTGTGTCCTGTGTGCTCCTGTTTCGACCAAAGCTGCAAGTTCAAGATCATCATCATCTGTCAGAACAATCAAGAAATCCCTGCCAGGCCCACAGCCCAGGATCACCTCTGGAAGTGCCCCCATGGGTCCTCTTGGTGGCACTGGCAGGAAGAGCCCCGCTCGCTGCCACACAGCCTCTGCCCCCCCGCCCGCTGCCACACAGCCGCCCGGAAAGCACCTTGCGTACCTCCTCCTCCTGGCGCTTCTCGTAGTGAGAGAAGTCATCGAAGATGGAGGTCGTGTGCTTGTAGGAGGCGATGACCCGCAGCACCTGCTTGGCCTTCTCCAGGGGCACCTCCTGCGTGTCGCGCGAGTTGGTGACGGGTTTGTTGTCATTGTTCTCCAGCCTGATGTGCCGCAGCTGGTTATTGGGCACATCCTTGACAAAAATCCACTTCACGTCAAACTTGCCCTTCCATTTGTCCTGGGACCAGACCCCCGCACTGGTGCCGTAGTCCACGGGAGACTTCATCTCCGCCACCCCGCAGAAGTGCCCGCTCCCGTTGACGCTGAAGAGCAGGTAGACGGGGCTCTTGCTGCCGGAGGCGCGGAAGGCGCTGTCCAGGCGCCGGTTGCCGTGCTCTGTGCTGCACCAGATGGAGTACTTGATGGAGCGGTGGATGTCGTCCTCAGAGTAGCTCTTGATGATGAAGGCGCGGCCGCTGCGCAGGTTCCAATCGAACTCCTTCGGGTTGTAGCTGTGCGCGGCTTTCAGCTTCTCAAGCACCGGGTGTGAGTCCGCGCTTGCGCCAGAGCTGGCCTGGCCAGTTCCGGGACCATTACTGTCTCTGCCGGCCCCTCCACCCTGCCCAAACATTGCATTCCTATTGCGGGGGGCTACCCAGCGTGTCGGGGGTGGTGGCTGAGGGCTCGGCTGCTGCGGATGGGCCGACAGGGGAGGCTGGGGGGCAGCCTGAGGGCACGGAACCTGCTGGGGCACCGGGGTCTTGGGCAGGGACCCCTTGTGGTCCCAGGTGCCGATGTCCATGTTATGCTTTAGGGACGGAGGCAGAAGCACGGCCCCCATCACAGACCCACCCTTGCCCTTCGTCTTGGGCTGTGCTTTCGCAGGTTTGCTGGCGATGGCAGCCCATGAGGCTGGCTTTGACACCGGCATACTGACGTTTGCCGCACCACTGGCAAGGACACCAGCCAGCGTCACGCTACTGGCCACAGAGCCCACAGTCTTGATGGCAGAGGCGGCAGCATCCCCAATCTTCAGGCTGACCATGCCTTGCTGTAGGCTGTTCCGGCCAGGGGCCTTGCTGAGGGTGTCGCCGTGGAAGCCTGCCTGGCCCTCCACCACTGTGCCCCCCAGTGAACTGGGCGGGTAGGTGTAACTGCTGCCGTACGCCGAGCCCTGAGCCTGCTGCCCGTGGGACCCGGCAGTGCCCCACGTGGAGAAAGCCGGGTTCTCAGGGAAGAAGTTGAACCTGTGCTGGTAGAGGTTGCTCCCGAGCCCCCCTGGCTGCCCAAAGATGGCATCGTGCGCAAAGTGGTGGTCTCCGTTACTAAGCTGTCCGTAGGTGGTGAGGTACGGGATCGGAGGGTCCCCCGCAGTGGACCACGGTGCCTCACTGAGGGAGTAGGGGAAGCCGATGGACGGTGGGTAGTAGCTGGACAGGTAAGGGTCGTTCATGGAGGGGTAAGTGTTACTCTGTGGAAACAAGCACACGCCCAGTCAGACCACCTTGGCCACAAGAGACCCTGGAGACGCCAAGCACGGCCTGCCAGCCACACACAGACTGAGCAGGACTCAGACCCGGGCCTGGGCTACTACCACAGGAGCAGAGTTGGGGGCACCCAGGCTGCCGACGCATTATACACCGCCGGCAGGGGCCCACAGTGAGGTCATGCGAGCCAGCCGAACCACTCCACGCGCATTGCCAAGGGATCTAAAGTGTGGGAGAAGGCCTGTGTGGCCAGCAGCCAGCCGCGGGGCTCAGAGCTGTAGGTTGGCACTCACCCTCTGGGAGGGCCTAGCCCACGGAGCACCGTGTTCGCAGGAGCCAACAATCCTGGGCTTCCTCACAGGGGTGCAGGCAGACTGCAAAGCTTTTGTTGTTGGCCTGGGGCAGTGACCTAGCAGCTAAAGTCCTCGCCTTGAATGCTCTGGGATCCCATATGGGCGCCTGTCTAATCCCAGTGACACCGCTTCCCATCCAGCTCCCTGCTTGTGGCCTGGGAAAAGCTCCTGACTCCCGGCTTCAGATCGGCATAGCACCGGCTGTTACAGTCACTTGGGGAGTGAATCATCAGATGGAAGATCTTCCTCTCTGTCTCTCCTCCTCTCTGTATATCTGACTTTGTAATGAAAATGAAAATAAATCTTAAAAAAAAAAAGGTTTTGATGTTGTTGTTTTGCTTTTTTAAGTCTTCTTTATTTATTTGAAAGACGATAGGAGGAGGCCTTCCACCTGGCGGTTCAAGAGGCACTGGGTCGGAGGTAGAGTGGCGGCTGCAACCAGCCCCTGCACGGGCCGTGCGCAGTGCTGTCCCCAAGAGCCGAGGCCGATGTCGCTGCAGTGTGCTAAGCTCCAGCAGGAGGCGTCCGTCCCCCTTAGAGTGACAGACAGTTCAACTCCCAGCTGCAGTTACCCAGCTCCTTGCTGAGGCACGTGGGAGGACAGCTGGTGGCTCAGGCCCGAGGCCCTCCTACACGCGTGGAAAACCCAGACGGGTTCCCAGGTCCCGCTTTTGGCTTAGTGTACACAGTTCCTGGCTACTATGGCCATTTGGGGCGTGAACCACTGGGCAGAAAGTCACTGTGCCTTTCAAATCAACAACAAAACACTTTGACAGTGGCTAGACAGGAGCTGATCCCGTGGCACAGTGAGTAAAAGCCACCACCTGCAGTGCCGGCATTCTATAAGGGCACTGGTTCAAGTCCTGGCTGCTCCACTTCCAATCCAGTTCCCTGTTCCTAAGCCTGGGAAGGCAGCGTGGCCCCTGAGTCCACATGGAAGCCCTGGGAGAAGCTCCTGGCTTTGAGGAGGCCCAGCTCCAGCTGCTGCACTCATCGGGGAACTAAATCAGCGCATGAAAGACCTCTTTATTTTTCTTTTTTTAATTTGTATGTTTCCAATCAATTTCACCAGCGGCCGCAAGGACTTCGCCCGCCAGGCTCCATGAATGGCATCGCCCAGCAGCACCACTGCTGCCTCACAGCCTGCAAGCTGCTCCTCTTGGCCTTGCCCGTCCACGCCTGCCTCCATCCCACAGCTCAGCCATCACCCCGCCTTATTTCCTCCACCACCTGACAGAACATCAGCTTCGTGGGCCAATTCAAGGCGAGGACTCTAGCCACTAGGTTACCACGCTGGGCCCATTAACTCATCTTTTTAAGTTATGCTCTCAAACACTGAGGAAGCTGTACTTCATACATTTCAGGGGCTGGCGTGGTGGGACAGCAAGTCAGTATCATGAACCCATATGCGAGCACACCGCACGGCCCTGGGCGACGACCCTGCCGCTGCTGCCCTGTGGGAAGCAGGCCGAGGCGGGGAAGCCTGCCCGCTGCTCTACCTCTCCAACGAGTAAACCTGTTCACTGGACACACGTCAGTCAGCACAGCTCCCGCTCAGTGTCTGGGCAGAACACTCCCATCGCATCAACTGCACCATGGGTGGAAGACGGGCACTGCCCAGCAGAGCGCCTGACTCCGTCCTCACCTCCAGCCACAGGCTCCTCAGCCCGAGGCTCAAGCACCGCTGATGGCCCTGGGCGGGAGGGAAAGCACGCTGGATGCCACAGGCCTGGCACACAGCAGCAGGGCTGGGACGCCTCTACAATGCCCTCTCGCCACACCATGTCAGTTAACCTACACAGGTCAGAGGCCTAGGGGGTCCAGTCACAAAGTTTTACTGGTGATCCTTCTCCAAGGGAGAGGGGAGCATCCAGGGGTGCGGGGCTGCAGGGCTGTGGGGCTGCGGGGAGCCACGGCCACACTTGGCACAGCCAGCTGCAGTCCCGGCCCCTGACCCTGGCTTTCTGCTGGTGTCACACTGAGCCACAATGGCGTCTGCCATGAGGGCGAGTGGCCCCAACCTGGCGGCAGGCATTCAGCCGCGGCCTCACACCGCAGTCTCTCAGGCCCAGGCCTGCACCCTGGCTCTCACCTTGACTTTGGCAGCATCCTCTGCCACCTGCCCCGTGTCCCGGGCGGTGGGCACAGGATGGTAGCCGACAACCAGCCTGGGGAGACACTCACCTGATTCGACAGTCCAGACAGATAGGGCTCCAAGTCGCCGTCGGGCACCGCGTCCTTCTGAGGCAAGGAACCAGTGGGCACTGGAACAGCAAGTCGCACAACACGGCCTCTTCCGTGAGTCCCCGCCGGCAGTCAGCTCAGCGTCCCTCCCTTGCTACAAGCGGGGCCCGGCCAGTGCCCAGCTCAAGTCCCAAGGGAGGCAGTGCGAGCCACCACCTCGCTAAGGCGCTGACCAAGCAAGCTACTGGCAAGGTAACACCAGCAACCACACCTAGGTTTTGGTAAAACGGATAGCACCTGAGATCTACACTAACACTGTGGCCCCCAGCCCAGCCCCGTGGCTCCCCCGTCCCTGACCCCCAGCCCAGCCCCGTGGCTCCCCCGTCCCTGACCCCCAGCCCAGCCCCGTGGCTCCCCCGTTCCCCGTCCCTGACCCCCAGCCCAGCCCCGTGGCTCCCCCGTTCCCCGTCCCTGACCCCCAGCCCCATGGCTCCCTGCCCCCCGTCCCTGACACCCCCCCAGTCCCCTGTCGCTTACCCTCTGCCCCCCGACCCCCAGGGCGCCTCGCTCCGCCCCGCTCACCTCCTTTAGTTTCTCGTCCTTTTGTTCTCTGCACCGCGCCGGCCGGACGCACCCGGAGGAAAAAGACCGAGTTACTGTGGGGAGAACCCGCTCCCGGCCCGCCCCGAGGCACCGAGGCCAGCCCGGGAAGGTGCCCGCTGCTCCTGACGGGCCACGAGACCCGAAGCCCGACCCTACCTGGGGGTCCACGCTGGTGGCCGACATGCTGCATCGACTCCGCCGGGCAGGGCCGGCCTGTCACCGCGCGGACCGCGACGCCCAGCCCCGGGCGCGGCGGGCGGAAGGCTCGCGGGGCGGCGGGCGCCGGCTCCAATGGCGGCTGCGGCGGCGGCAGGAGCGAGGCTCGGCGTCAGCGCGCGCGGGGCAGGCCGGGAGCGGCGCCCTGCCGTCGCACCGGAGCCTGCGCACCCGCGCCCCGCGGGATGCATTTCGCTCCCGAGTCCCAAAGTCGCGCGGCGGGGGCGGGGTCCTGGGTCACGTGGCTGCGCCCGGCGAGTCTGTGAAAAGCGCCCGTGCTCCTTCCGTGTTCGAGCGGGGGTGGAGGGGACATGGCGCCGGGGGCGGTGCAGCCCTGCTGGGTCAGGCGGTGGTCGCGGCCGGGGGTCGGGACCGCAGGGCACCCTGGGCTGCTGTGCTTCCAGTCTCGGCAGGACTTTAGGGCCCGGCACGGTAGCCTAGCAGCTAAAGTCCTCGCATTGCACGCTGCAGGATCCCATATGGACGCCGGTTCTAATCCCAGCAGCTCCACTTCCCATCCAGCTCCCTGCCTGTGGCCTGGGAAAGCAGTGGAGGACGGCCCAAAGCTTTGGGACTCTGCTCCTGGCTTCCAATTGGTGCAGCTCTGGCCATAGCGGCCACTTGGGGAGTGAACCATCGGAACTTCCTCTCTTTCTCTCCTCCTCTCTGTATATCTGCCTTCCCAACACAAAGAAATAAATCTTAAAAAAAAAAAAAAAAAAAAGAGGAATTTAGCTGCTAGACTACCGCGCTGGGCCGGGTCCCGTGCTTCTGTTGCAACGCATGCTGCACCAGCGTCAGGAGCGGGCAGGCAGAGGCCAGCAGTAGAGGGAGGGCTCCTAGCCATCAGGGTGGCACCCAGGGGATGCTGCTGCGCCTGGCCACCCTGCTGGCTGAAGGGGGCAGGCTCATGAACTGCAGTTCACCCTCGCCAGGATAACCACACCCTACATAACTGTCTGCATAGATCCCATTCCTGTACGGCGTGAATTTGGGGTTCACTTGTGAGTTCGCTACTGAAGTGCCCCCACTCTGGCTGAGTAGCCTGAGGCGGCAGCATCCAGACAGCTAGCTTCCCCCTCCCCTGGGTGGGAGAGGGGCCAAGGGCAGGTGGGTTCCTGAGACAGCTGGGAGCTCAGCTCTTACTCATTTCATAGTCGTACAGCCAACTGGTTTACAAGAAAATATCATCTGTACTCCGAGTGTTAGGTGGAGGCCGAGGCGCCCAGCCCTTCCGAGGGAGCCTGGCAGTGGGTGTGTGTCTACCCACTGCTCTCTCGTCCAGTTCCTGACACACTGATGGGAGTCTGCAGCCCCTGGTGGTCCACACCGCAGCCCACACCTCCCTCTTGCAACCCTCTGACCTGCCAGCACCCCCCCTCCTCAAAGGGCTGGCAACACACACTGCCCACCGGATAGCATCACCTGCCCTCCTGTTCCCACCCCCTTGGTGCCACTCATAGGCTGGTTCAGGTAGATGGGCTCCTTTTGGGCCCCCACCCACCCGTGCTGGGGGCTGCTTCACCCTTGACAAAGCCTCAGAAAGGATCCAGGTGTGGGCATGTACAGCTGGGTGACAGGAAGCTGCCCCCAGCACCCCCGTGAGTTGGCAGCAGCTCTTCCTGTGCCCCAAGGACACTGCCTGGTGTGTGTGTGGGGGGGGACCCCAGGCTGAGTGGGTGGGGCTGCAGCCTTCAGGAAGGGGTGATGCACCTGGGCCTGGCGGAGCCCCGGACACTGAGGACCCTAGGGCTCTACCAGAGGTTGCAGCAGAGTGACTAGGGTGACCGTCGGTGGGGCGTGTGGAGAGGGACCCACTTGAGGCGATTCACAACCTGCACCCAGAACAACAGGCAGTCCAGCAAGGGAGGGGCCGCCATGGCTGGACCCGCCTGGGCCAGATGCCAGGGAGGGCAGGGCTGAGCCCCAGCAGGCGGGGCGTTGAGGGCTCACCCGCTGCAGCCCTGCCAGGGAGGAGAAGGTGTAGTGTGTCTGTCACAGTGTGTCGCACGCTGTGTGGCTCGCTGGCGGCTCTGACATCCATTCCGGCCCACTCAGCGTCTGGTTCCCCCTGGCCAGTGGCTGTCAGGAGCCGTGTACTATAGCCACACTGAAGCCATTTTGAATATAGAACTATGGGCCAGTGGAAAATCTCCCGCTGGCTAGATGCTTGGGAAAGAAGTTATGAAACTAATCACACGCTTAGCTTCAACTGTTTCTAGCAACTGTTTTAGAATGTGATTTATGCTGTACCTGCCGACATCATGTTACTGATTACCTATGCTATTGTTGATGTGGTGACTGCTCAAGAACAATCGGTCTGGAGACCATGGCTTGCGTCCTAGTTTCTCCTTTCCTCCCTGAGCCTTAGTTACTGAAGAATATAAAAACCCTCAACTAAAATCAATAAACTGACAGCTTGATCAGACATCCTGTCTTGCTGTCCATTCTTCGTGTCTCTTGTCCCCCAATCTCTCCTAGGTGGTTGCGACCCCCGTTGACTGTCCTGCTGGACAGGACAAGTGGCCACACAGGACACTCACCCACGGCCATCAGGGCACCCGCCTCACTCTGGCCTGCCTGAGCCTATGGCAGCCTAGTTCCTGGAGGCTGTATCAGGGCCATGTGCAGCGCTGTTGGCCTAGGGCGGAGACACATGCCAAGGATGCAGAGCCCTGGACCAGCCACCCCTCAGCACCACCTCCACACTTCTCGTCCCACGGGCAGGCTTGTGGGCGAGTCCATCACCTGTGATGGGGTCCAGCCCCAGTGCGCGGGCCCAGACCAGGGCTGCTTCGGGGACGACGTCGTGGACAAGCCTGGGGCTGTCACACACCGAGCCCCCTGGGGTCTGGCCCGCAGCTGTGGACACTCAGGGCCCCTTGGCGGTGGCTGGCAGAACGGTGGTCCACTGCTGGGTTGTTTGTTACCTCCTCTTTGGCCAGGAGAGGGAGCTCTAAGTCGGGTCTTGGAACCCTGGGCTGTGCCCACTTGGGTTGCTGCCTGCTCTGTGTGAACGTGTGTGTATGTGTGTGGGGGGTGACAGTGGTCGTGGTGACCATACACGGGGACGGAATTCCCCCAAGGTGAAGGGCCTGCAGCCAGGAGACAGACCCTGCCCTGTCACCAAGTTTGTAGGACCCCCAGGTCTGGGTACCAAGGAGCTCAGCTCGGCATCCCTTTTGGGGTTCCTGCCCCACCCCCCTGCGTAACCCCAAGAAGCCAGGAGCCTGTGTCTGGAGATTCCTGCCCACCCTGGCCACCCACACGAAGCCCCAACACTCCCCGTCAGAGGATAGCCCTGGAGTGAACTGGACCTCCTTGTAGAAGCTTCTGCCACACAGACCCCCAGCAGGACTGGGGAGGCCCCTCTGGTGCCCCAGGGATGACAGGAAGCAGGGCCTTGGTCAGTCAGCGTGCATGTTATGGTCCTGGGCTCTCGCCGCTCTGGAAGAGGCAACCTTGGCCTGGGTGACAGGCACTGGGCTTGCCACCGGCTGCTCTGCTTGGGAGCACAAAAAGTGGAGCTGTGTGGCCACTGGCCGGGGGATACAGTGGGGTGTGGCTCAGCTCCTCCACCCGCACTGGCATCACCCGTTTCCCCCGTCTCCAGTGAGTGCCAGGAGCAGGTGCAGGCCGCCGGCCATCTCACGCCCTGGCTCCCAGAGACCCTGAGTCACACAGCTGAGCCTCCTCAGTCCTGACAAGGAGCCAAGGCGTGAGCATGCAGGGAAGGGGAAGCAGGATCCTAAAGGAGCCGGCAGAGACGGGCAGGACTCTTGGTTCCCCTGCTCATCCTGCCAGCCCAGGAGCAGCCCAGCCGCCATCTCTTCCCTCCGTCTTCCCACGCTTTCCGGAACAGGCATGTGATGGCTATTTTTAGCTGCTGGTGATTACATAATCAACAGGAAGCTTGGGGGATGTCACACGAGGCACAGAGAGCAGACTGGGGGGACAGCTGAGGGTCCTGTGGGTGATGGCCCGAGGGGAGGGCCTCCAGCCCCTGCCCCAGGCTCCGTCCCACTTCACAACAACTTGTTCAGGAGGCCACATCCTCTGTTGCCCTGGAAAGTGGGGACCCAGGACCCCGCCCGCCGTCCGCAGAGAGGGTCTCCAACCCTTGTGCTTCTAGCAGACCTGGGCTCTGCCCCCCAGGAGCAGGTTGGCCCCACCCACACTCCGAGGCTGGGGGCCCCAGAAACTCCTTGCCTTGCAGGTTCCATGCCCCAGGCCCTGGGGTGCCCCAGCCAAGTGGGGGGAGGGGCACTGGGCAGCCAGGAGAGGAACAGCTGAACCCCAGCATGGCCTGGCATCCAGAGCCAACATGGTCCCTGGGAATAGAGTGTTGGGGACTGAGGGAGAGGGCAGCAGCATTAGGGCCAGCAGTGCAGCGAGCAGGTCCCAGGGGCTCCTAGAGGCCTAGGCCGGGGCAGGGGAGGAGGCTGCCAGGCCAGGGGAGCCCCTGGCGCTGGCCCCACCTGGCTGAGGAAGCTGTCAGCACCGACCAGGGCAGCCACCTCCTCTGTTCCTCATAGACTGTCCAGAAAGCCGCGTCGAAGGACGACCCAGGGGCCTGGGCTGCTCTCACCGGAGCTCCAGGCTGCTGGACTTGGTCCCGCCACGGTGGGTGCTGGCATCTGGGAGCGAGCAGATGGAGGATCTCCCTCTGTGTAACTTGGCCTTGCAAGTAGACCAAGTTGCTGCAAGATAACATAAACAGAAGGTTGCAGGTGTCCTGAGCCCTCACCCTGGCCCTGCTGCCCCAGGGCCCCTCCCCTTGTGGACCACGCGGAGCACAGCCTGAGCCTGTGCCTACCCCCCTCAGTCTTGCAGGGCCCCAGGCCTTGCTGCACACATGATCCCGGCTGACTGCCACCCTGCTGCCCCTGCAGCCTCCACTTCCCCGCTCCTGGGGCTCTGGTGGAGGCCCTGGCTGTGCCTGTGCTCATCGGCCAGCCAATGAGGGGGAGGCCAGCACTGTAGGCGTCAGTAGCACCAGGCGGGTGGGGGGGACGTGCTGGACACATTCCAGGACTGGCCAGAGCCAGCAGCTCCATGGTGCCGGAGCACAGGGTTAGGTGCTGGAGCCGGGGCCCCGCCTGGAGCCACTGGGCCTCTGGGGGGGCCCCTCTCTCCGAGGGTCCGTGTCCTGGCCCAGGATGCCCAGGGAGGCCACGACCAGGTGGACGGGCAGATCCTGGGCCAGCTGCGTGCCCTGACTGAAGAGGATGTGGAGGAGGGGGCTGGGAGCACTTGCCCCCCCGTGGGGCCGGCCTGCCCGGGCATGGGCTCTGAGGAGCTGCGGCTGGCCTCCTTCTGTGACTGGCCGCAGGCTGCAGGAGTGCAGCCCGAGCCACTGGCTGCTGCTGGCTTCTTCCACACGGGTGAACCTGGCAGTCGGCTGAGTGGGGCTGGAGGAGGTCAGGGGCGGGGGTGCCTGTGACAGCCCCACCTGTGGTCTCTGCTGCCCATGGCTCCGTGAGGGGCCCATGGGCACCCCCAGTGCAGCCACAGGCACCCCTGGGCACTCTCTCCCTGGGCCACCTCCAACAATGGCAAATGCCAGCTCAGCACGTTCCTGACCCAGACGCTAGGGGCCCCTCCCATGGGGCTGTGGGGCTAGCCTGTGTGTCCCCCCAGGTCAGCAGGACAAGGTACGCTGCTTCTTCTGCTATGGGGGTCTGGAGAGCTGGGACCATAGGGATGACCCCTGGACAGAGCACGCCAAGTGGCTTCCCAGGTAACAGCCTGAGCGCAGCTGGCCCCACCTTCCCTGCCCTGTGGGCTCAGGCTGTCTGCGGCAGCAGGTGCCAACTCGTGGGGGTCTCACTGCCTGCTGCGGGCTCCCTGACCTTGGGAGGGGGCCCTCAGAGAGCCCTAGGTCCAGCTCCAACTGTGGGGCCTCCCCCGCAGATGTCAGTTCTTGCTGCGCTCCAAAGGAAGAAACGTTGTGCACACCATCCAGACGGCACACTCCCACCTGCTTGGGTCCAGGGTGAGTCCCCCCTTTTGCCAGGACTCAGGACTCAAGACTGCAGGGTGGTGCCGAGGGACCCATTGCGCCCGCATGTCCTCAAGGAACACTCCTTCCAGGCACCCTGGGAAGAACCAGCAGCCGTGACCCCTGCCAGCGCCTCGGGAGAGGGCCACAGTGTGAGCCCCATGCTGTTCCCTTCTGTGGACACAGGTGCCCTGCAGGGGGGGATGGAAGGAGCTCCCAGGTGCCAATGCTACTCAGGAGGGGTTAGCTTTGGGGAGCTGAGAGTCACGGGTCCTGTCTGGTTTCCACAACTTCGGGTCAGTCTCTGTCTCAGCCAGCTGTGTGGCCAGGGGCAGGAGAGCTTCCACTGGTGCCCTGAGCCGTGAAGGTGGCCCTCCCTGGCAGTGTTCAGGGCCAGAGATGTCTTGGGTGTCTGTGGTCCTGCCCACTGCTGCCCAGGGTCAGAGAATCCGGTCTACCCTGCACTTCGTACCATGGGCCACAGCCTGGTGCTGCAGGATACCTGCTGGCTGCCTGCTTCTCTCCCACAACTTGGTGGCCCCTAGAGACCTGGAGCCAGTGCCCTAGGGCAGCAGAGGTGACCAAGCCCCAGGGCAAGAGCAGGGGTTGGGCAGAGAGGGCCAGAGGCACCTCTACCCCCTGGATGCCATCTCTCCCCTTGCTTCTCCCCTGCTCCCCCAGACCTTGTGGCCTCCCATGGAGCCCTGCGCTGCCCAAGGGACTGGATGCTGCAGCGCCTTGGCCCCTCCAGGGCAGCTGGAACGGGATGTCTAGGCTGTTTTGGGGTTACCTCCCCATTTCCAGGTCAGAGCTGGAGCTTACCAGCAGCCAGGCTTGTCTGGGCCTGGCTGGCGTGAAATCCGCTCTCCTGCCTTCTCGCAGCCCCCATCCGAGCCGACCCTGAGGTGCTCACACCCAGAAGACAGGCCCAGCGCGAAAGCCCCAGGGAGCCAGGTGCAGGCTCGGGACAATGTGGGAGGAGCCGGGCCGGCGGCGGGTGGGCGGACCGGCGGGCGGGTGGGCGGGGCCGGCGGCGGGTGGGCGGACCGGCGGGCTGGTGGGCGGCACCGACCGACGGGTGGACGGGCTGCAGGGCTCCCGGCTGAGGGAGCCGGCGGGTGGGCGGGGCCGGGCTCGGTGTGGGCGGGGCCGAGCTGCAGGGCTCCCGGCTGAGGGAGCCGGCGGGTGGGCGGGGCCGGGCTCGGTGTGGGCGGGGCCGGGCTGCAGGGCTCCCCGCTGAGGGAGCCGGCGGGTGGGCGGGGCCGGGCTCGGTGTGGGCGGGGCCGAGCTGCAGGGCTCCCGGCTGAGGGAGCCGGCGGGTGGGCGGGGCCGGGCTCGGTGTGGGCGGGGCCGGGCTGCAGGGCTCCCCGCTGAGGGAGCCGGCGGGTGGGCGGGGCCGGGCTCGGTGTGGGCGGGGCCGAGCTGCAGGGCTCCCCGCTGAGGACCCGTGGGTTCTCGGGCCCAGGAGCCGCGGCCACGGCGGTGGAGGAGCAGCTTCGGCGCCTGCAGGAGGAGAGAACCTGCAAGGTGTGCCTGGACCAGGCCGTGTCCGTAGTCTTTGTGCCGTGTGGACACCTGGTCTGCACCCAGTGCGCCCCCAACCTGCACCTGTGCCCCATCTGCCGCGCCCCCGTGCGCAGCTGCGTGCGCACCTTCCTGTCCTAGGCCGGGTGAGTGATCTGGTGTGCCGGGGGTTCGGTCACAGGGTGGGCGCGGGAAGGGGTCTCGGTCCCGGCCCCGCACAGCGTCCTGCGGCCTCTGCCCGCACAGGGCGGCTTGGCGGCTCCTCGGGCCCCAACTCCTCATTTGGACCCTCTGCCCCCAGACACTGCTGTGGTTGTAGAGGGGACAGCGCCCTGTCCGCACGCGTCCATCGCCCCCTGCTTGAGCGCTTGGATTGAGAATAAAGCACTGGCGCACGCAGACGGCACTGGCCTCTTTATTCCGGGAGCCTCGCTGTCCGCGTCCCGGCTGCAGACCCCCGTGTCCGGCTGCGAGCTGCAGGGGGTTCGGGGCCGGCAGCGCCGCCCTGCATTGGACACAGCTCCCCGCGAGCGCCCGCGGGCAGCGGGGACGGCCGGTGACCCTGACGGAGCTCGGGCTGCGGCGCAGGGAGACGGAGGACCCCGGCTGGCCTCCCAGGCCGGAAGGGACGGGCGTCTCCGTGGCGACCGGACCCGAGCGGGCGGAAGTCCCGCCCCGGCCGCTGGCGGCCTCCCGTGAGGCCTTGCAGCGCTCAACGTAGCCGGAAGCGGGTGACCGCCGGCCATCGGGCGCCGCGTCGTGGTCCCGGAGCCGGCCCGCCCGCCAGGTGAGCTGGGCCGCGGCTGCCGCCGGCCCCCGAGCGCAGGGGACCCTCCGCGGGAGGACCCGACCCCGACAGGCTGTGTCGGGGCTGCCGGGCCGGTCGCGTCAGCATGACATCACTCGCGGGCCCCGCGAAACTCCCTGACGTGTCGGGGAGTCTGGGCCACGTAGGAGCGACTGCAGCCCCGTCCGCGCTGCCTTGGGTCTGACCTAGAGGATGGCCCTGCGCCTCCATTGCAGGCGGCCAAGGGTGGGCGCGGCGTGGGGATCTCGGCTCCGGGGTGGGGGTCTTGGGCCCGGGGTGAGCATTGTGCTGGGGGTCTCGGCCTCGGGGTGGGCGCGGTGCGGGGGTCTCCGCCCCCGGGTGGGCAGTGTGCTGGGGATCTCGGCCTCAGCCACTTCAACGGCCTTGGTTCTCAGGTCACTGCGCCTGTGAGGAGTTGTCTACCAGGCCCCTATGGGCTGAGTCAGCCTGCAGGTGGAGGGCCCCCCTTCCTCTGGGGAGCGCTGTGTTTCCCACATGTGGATGGGCAGTAGGGCCAGCCTTGCAGGATCTACATGTCCTGGGTGGGAGAGCCGCCCCAGTCAGTGTGGTGGGGTCTGTGGCTCCTTGGAGATAAGATTTCCAGGAACTGAATGAGTCTGGTGGCTGGGTGAGTGCCCCGAGAGGCATGTTCTGGCTGGTGTGCCCTGGGCCCGTCTAAGTCAGGGGACAGAGAGGAGAAAGTGAAAGACAGACCTTCCATTGCCGTCTGGGTCTCCCACGGGTGTGCAAGGACCTAACACCTGAGCCACCCTCCACTGCTTTCCCAGAGTGTAAGCAGGGAGTTGGATGGGATCGGAGCAGCCAGGACTGGCAGCGCCAGCTGGTGTAAGCCAATGGCTCCTCGTTGGCCGTGTACTGGAGCCTGTGTGCGATGTTTTTTCTCTATAGAGCCATGGCCAGCCCCAGGACCCGGAAGGTTCTCAAGGAAGTCAGGGTACAGGATGAGAACAATGTAAGTGGCATGGAGTGTGCATGGCCACAGCCTGGGGATAGGGCAAAGGGCAGGGGTTGGTGGGCAGGGGGCGGAGGGCAGAGGGCAGGGCGTGGAAGGCAGTGGTGGGGGCAGGTGGCCAGGGCACCAGGCAGGGGCGAGGGCTGGCATGGGGGCCGGCCTTCCTGCAGTGAATGTGTCAGCCTGGCCTCCTGTCTGAGCCTTTTAGGCAGTGGGGTTTCTGGTGGCATCCTTGGCCATGCAGAGCTGCCCAGGGACCCCTGAGTCTGGTTTCTGGGGTTCATCGTGTGGTGTTGGGATCCCTGACTGAACCCTGTTGAGCCATGCGTGGCCTCCCGCAGGTCTGTTTCGAGTGTGGCGCGTTCAACCCCCAGTGGGCCAGCGTGACCTACGGCGTCTGGATCTGCCTGGAGTGCTCAGGGAGACACCGCGGGCTGGGTGTGCACCTCAGGTCAGTTCCCTGGCATGGCTCCCCTGGCCACCAGCTTGGCACTGAGGCCAGCCCTGCTATGGCGTGGCTGCCCTGACTTGGCGCTGAGGCCAGCCCTGCTATGGTGTGGCTGCCCTAACTTGGTGCTGAGGCCAGCCCTGCTATGGTGTGGCTGCCCTGACTTGGCGCTGAGGCCAGCCCTGCTATGGCGTGGCTGCCCTGACTTGGCGCTGAGGCCAGCCCTGCTTCGCAGCTTTGTGCGCTCCGTGACGATGGACAAGTGGAAAGAGGTTGAGCTGGAGAAGATGAAGGTTGGTGGCAATGCCAAGTTCCGGGAGTTCCTGGAGTCACAGGAAGACTACGACCCCAGCTGGTCCCTGCAGGACAAGTACAACAGCAGGGCTGCAGCCCTGTTCCGGGACAAGGTGGGCGGCCCCAGCCCTGCACCTGCTCTGCCGGGTCTGGCCGACGGGTGGGGGAAGAAGTGCAGCAGCAGGCCAGGTGGGCGGCCCTCACCCTGGCCAGAGACTTCTGGGACGTGTTATCCGGGTGGGGTCCCTGTGCTCTGGCCACAGCGAGGCTGGCCTCTGTCCACTGTGGCTGAAGGGCTGGGCGGGCTGTTTGTCCCTCACCCCCGTGTTTCCCGTCAGGTGGCAACTCTGGCTGAAGGCAGAGCATGGTCCCTGGAGTCATCGCCTGCCCAAAATTGGACCCCACCGCAGCCCAGGACACCTTCAGCCTCTTCCTGCCGGTAGCTCTGCCCCTCCCTCCCAGCCTCCCCAGGCCCTGCCAGGCCCTGGGTCAGGCCCACCCCTCTCCCTCCAGGCCCCGCCAGGCCCTGGGTCAGGCCTGCCCTTGTATGCCCAGGCCCCAGGTCCAGCCTGATCCCACTCCTAGGCCTGGTGGGCAGTGTGCCCAGGTGGTTGTGGGAGAAGTAGCCTTTTCAGAATGTCCAGTCAGCCCCACCAAGGTACGAGGGTGTGGGCGCATGCGGGCAGCATGCTGCCTCTCTGAGCTGTGTCTGCCATGTGCAGCCTGTGAGGCTCGTGCCCATCTGGGTGGAGGTTGATGTGGGTGAGATGGGCCTGGGAAGTGGCTGTGGACACCAGAGCCAGCCCTCCTTCCTTGGCACTCAGCCCTGACGGCTTCCCCCACAGCAGCTGCTGGACCTGCATTGAAGATGTTCTGCCAGTTAACTACTTTCCTTTTATTAAGACTTATTTATTTTGGGGGCCCAACGGCGTGGCCTAGTGGCCAAAATCCTTGCCCTGAGCATGCCGGGATCCCATATGGTCCCTGGTTCTAATCCCGGCAGCTCCACTTCCCATCCAGCTCCCTGCTTGTGGCCTGGGAAAGCAGTTGAGGACGGCCCAAAGCCTTGGAACCCTGCACCCGTGTGGGAAACCTGGAGGAAGTTCCAGGCTCCTGGCTTCAGATTGGCGCAGCACCTGCCGTTGTGCTCACTTGGGGAGTGAACCATCAGATGGAAGATCTTCCTCTCTGTCTCTCCTCCTCTCTGTATATCTGCCTTTCTAATAAAAACAGATAAATCTTTTTTTTTTTTTCTAGGTTGTTTTTTTTTGTTTTGTTTTGTTTTAAGATTTCTTTTTATTTGAAAGGCCAATTTTTTTTTTGATAGTTCATTAAAAATTTTATTTTCTCTGTTTCTTTTTTTTTTTTTTCTTATTAATAAATTTTATTTTGACATTCTTTACATAGTTAATTAGGGTAAGAAGGTTCGAGGGCTACAGGAAAGTGGATAATACTAGTATGTTTTCCATATTGTTAGCTTCATATTCAAAGGGGGGTATTTAAGGGAGAAGCCCACCCAATTTCCCACCCTCCCCAGGTCCCGGATATAGGGCATGCTCTGAGGTTCTTGCTCAAGTGGTCTTGATATTGCCACAGTTATGAATCACTGTCAATCTTGCCACTCCAAGCACTATGAGATCTTTGAAAAATCCACTGATTGACATAGTCCATCATAGCTGAGATGGTTGGTTGACCTGTTCTGTCTTCTCTCTTTTCTTCGTTAGGGTTCTGAGTCCAGCATTTAGATTAGGAAGATCTCCAAAGAAACTTCTTGTATGTGCTAACAAGTACAGGGCCTGGCACCGTCCATCGCTCCAATCAGCTGGTGGTTGCAATTCCTGGGTTGGTTCAAAAACAGATAAATCTTTAAAAAAAAAAAGATTTATTTATTTTTTATTGGAAAGGCAGACTTACAGAGAGGTGGAGAGAGAGGAAGATCTTCTGTTTGCTGGTTTACTCCCCACGTGGCTGCAACGGCCAGAGCTGAGCCAGTCCGAAGCCAGGAGCCAGGAGCCTCTTCCGGGTCTCCCACGCAGGTGCAGGGTCCCAAGCCCTGGGGTCGTCCTCGACTGCTTTCCCAGGCCACAAGCAGGGAGCTGGATGGGAAGTGGAGCTGCCGGGATTAGAACCAGCGTCCATATGGGATCCTGGCATATGCAAGGCGAAGATTTTAGCCGCTAGGCTACCCTGTTCGGCCTTGTTTAATTATTTTTAGAGGTTTATTTATTTTACTTTGAAGAGTTAAAACAGAAAGAGGGATAGAGCTCCTCCATCTTCTGGTTCATTCCTCAGACAGCCACTGTGGCTGGAGCTGGGCTAGTCCAAAGCCACGAGCTTCCTCCAGCTCTCATGGGGGTACAGGAGCCCCAGGCCCTAGGCCATAAAGAGGAAGCTGGTTAAGTGGAGCAGCTGGGACTTAAACCGGCACCCCTGTGGGGTACAGACACCACTGGCAGAGGATTGGCCCACTGTGCTGCTGTGCTGGCTCCATTTCTGCCCATTTTGAAAAGGACTGAGAGGCAGTGTAACAGCAGGGGAGCTTGGAGCTGCTGGTTCACTCCCCAGCTGGCTGCCAAATAAGGGCTGGGCCAGCTGAGGTGGGGCAGGAAGTGAAGTGGGGGAAACTGGACCCGAGGCAGAGTGGCTGGGCCCCAGGCCAGCTCCCTGCGTGCGCCATGGACACTGTCCCCACGGGCCTCACTGGCGCTGCCTGGGCTACTGTGGGTACCTGCCTCCCGCGGCCGGGGCTGGGTCACTGACGTGGCTCTTGGTTGTAGGGCCTCTGGGCAGCCTCAGAACGTGGGCGCCTCCTCAGAGAAGGCCTTCGAGGACTGGCTCAACGATGACCTCGGCTCCTGTCATGGGTGAGACCATGCATGCGTGGACATTTGGGTTGCTGGCTTCAGCTGGCCAGCCCCCATGTGATCCCAGATACCTCCTGGGATCTGCCCATCGGAGCTGTCCTCCCCAGAGCTGCCGGCAGCCAGCCCTGCTTGCTGGGGTCCTCCGGGGTGGCCAGTGGCCCTGTGCCTCTGTTGCCAGGCTCGGGCGCCGGCCAGCACCTGCTGCTATGTCTTGGCTGTCTGGTTTTCAGGGCCCCAGAGAACCGCTATGTGGGATTTGGGAACACGGTGCCACCCCTGAAGAGAGAGGATGACTTCCTCCACAGCGCCATGTCCTCCCTTTACTCGGTGGGTGCCCGGCAGCGTGCGGCCCCACGCCACATGCCAGCCCCACGTGGTGTCAGGCATTTAGTCCCTGATGTGAAACAGATGTTTGCATTTGGGTTTGTTTTCTAGAATTAACTTATCTGACAGGATGACAGAGTTCTTCTGGTTCAGGCTGAAGCCAGAGCTCCGTGCAGGTTCCCTGTGCAGGTGCAGGGGCCCACACACTTGGGCTATTCTCCAGTTCTGTCCCAGGCCACCAGTAGGGGCTGGTGTGGAAGTGGAGCAGCTGGGGTTGGAACCAGGAGCTGTATGCAGCGTGGGCCCCGGAAGGGCTTTTTGTTCTCAGGAGGCAGGATGCAGCACCTGTGTGCACGGGCATACTTCTTGTGGGTGCCCCATGTGCCATTCTCTTGTTACCTCCCCCAGGGCTGGAGCAGTTTCACCACCGGAGCGAGCAAGTTTGCCTCAGCAGCTAAGGAGGGTGTAAGTAGCTGACCCCAAGTGGCTGGTACCTGGCACATGGGCCTGAGGCCTCAGCTGCAAGTGCACGCAGGTGCATGCCCCGCGCCTCACTGGCAACTGGGCAGTGGGTCCTGTGAGCCTGCCTCTGGCCCTCCCGAGCACTAGCTGGTGATGGCGGGGAGGTTTCCCTCTGTCTACCTGCCCCCAGATCGTGGGGAGCGGTGGGTTGCAGAAGCCCATGTCAGGGTCTATAGCTGATTCATGGCCCATTTCTCTCCTAGGCTACCAAGTTTGGATCCCAAGCAAGTCAGAAGGTACCTGGGGAGAGGCTGCTGCACGTGGGGCCCTCACAGTCTGACAGCTGCCGGTTCTTCCTGGTTCTGGGGCCGTGTGTTCTGGGCCCAGGAGCAGGGCCACCCTCACTTAGCGGAATTGGAGGCTGTGTCTCCTCAGGTCCTCCAGACCATGGACACTGGTGTGGGGTGGGGCCGCCATGCAGTTGGGCTCTCCGTTGGGACACAGTGCTGGGGCGGTAGCTTCCAGTTTAGGTGGCGCTAGGGTGCAGCGTGACTGCCAGCCCCTGCGGGTGACCCATGGTCATTGCTGGGGTCCAGTGTCCTCCCCTGGCCCTGGCCGAGTCTCCAGGCCCTGCTGCTGCTGCCGTGCACTTCTTGGCACTGACTTCCTGGTCCTGTGGGGTTCCTAAAGGTGTGAGCTGGGGAGAGGCACAGGCATGTGGCCTCGGCGGGGCCGTGGGGGTCGTGAGAGCTGCTCCCACACCTGTTCTCTCTAACCTGTCTCCTTGCTGCCTGGGTCGAGTTGTGGGGTTCCAGGCAGGAGCCAGAGCCGGTAAAACCCTCACCCGTGGCGCATGCGTGTCCCATGTCCAAGGTGCATGTGTGCCCGTGGGCTGCTTGGCGGGATGCCCTTGCTGAGTCACTGTGGCCACTGGCTGGGGAGATCCCCTGCGCCCGCTCCCATCTCCCCTCCTCTCCCAGCGGCCAGAGGCCGTGTGTGCTCACTTGGTTTTCCTGTGACCCAACCAGCGGGTGGGCTCGAGGTCAGCTGTGCCAGCTGGGCCTCCAGGAACGGGGGCCTGACCTGTGGTCCCCTTGGAATATGGGGGGCAGCAGCTGCCAGCACTCATGCCAGCACCCCCCACCCCTGCAGGCCTCGGAGCTGGGTCACAGCCTGAATGAGAATATTCTCCGACCTGCGCAGGAGAAGGTAAGGGGGCAGCAGCGAGCTGCTGACCTGCTTGGGACCCCCTGCCTGACCCCTTGTTTCTGGTGGGGGCTGAGGGCTTTGTGGTTTGGGGGTCTGTCCCTGGTCAGCCCCCAGCAGCACAGCATGGTGGAGTCCCTGCTCCCCAGTGCTGTCCTCAGGTCTCAGACCCCGAGAGACTGAGATGAGAACTCGGAAGCACAGTCTGAGGGGTGATTTCAAAGTTGCTTGGGTGGGGCTTGGTGCAGGGCGTGGGCACTCAGCAGTGCTGACTGCTGGTACAGGGAGGCACTGGAAGGCGGCTCGTGGCTGGAGGGCCAGCCAGACCTCACTGGGTCCTGTGTGCAGCTAGCGTCCTCAGCCTAGCCCAGGTGCGTCTTGCACCCTCCTGGGCTCTGCCTCCTGTTCCCCCGCCAGCCTCTCCACTCCTGCGCCCACCCCCAGCCTCTCCCTTCCTGTTCCCCCACCAGCCTCTCCCCTCCAGCCCTCCCCTCCCCAGCCTGTCTGCTCTAGGCCCCAAGAGGCGGAGTTGGTGGGGGGGTTGTGCTCTGTGGGCTCAGGTTTGGAGCAGCTTGTGTGGCAGGTGCCAGCCCACGGGGGCCTGGAGACGCTGTGGGGCATGGGGCAGGCGTTTGCATGCTGCCCCATGGCGTGCTTTCCCCCATAGGTCAAGGAGGGCAGACTGCTTGAGGACATGTCCACTGGGGTCTCTCAGTTGGCGTCCAAGGTAGGGTTCTGCCGAGCCACCTCCACATTGCTCATACCCCAAGGGGCCAAGGCTGTGCCAGCGCCTGTGGCTTGCATGTGGAGATGGCTCGGTGGGGAGGGACTGTCAGCCACTAACCGTTTGCCACCTCTGTCCTTGCTGCCTGGCCGTTCCCGGGGTAAGTGCCTGTGTGCTGTCCCCCTGGGGCAGCCGCAGGAGCTGGAGGGCAGCCCTGCCGCTGTGAGCACACGTGTGTCCGAGCGTGGTGTGTGTGCTCTCTGTCCTTTGTGGACCAGGCTCCCTGGTGTCTGAATCCTGTGTGTGTGCGTATGTGCCTGTGTGTACGTGAGCGTATGGGGTGCCTGCTCAACCCTTCTCTGCTTCCAGGTGCAGGGCGCCGGCAGCAAGGGCTGGCGGGATGTTACCACCTTCTTCTCGGGGAAGGCGGAGGACTCCTCAGAGAGGTACGGGGCCAGCAGAGCAGGGCGGGCCTGGGGGCATCTAGGTTTTCCTGTTTCCACCATCGTTGCAAAGGCCTTGCCTACCCGTGGGTGACTGGCCATGGGCTTGGGTGGGCTGTGTCCTCTGCTGGGTGCTGAGCGGGTAGCAGGGCCAAGCGTGGAGCCGGGCAAGCCGTGACCCAAGCGCCCACCTCCCTCAGCGTTCCTGTGGGCCCCGGTGCCCGGGACGGTGGTGGCGATAGCCTCCAGAGTAGCAGCGCCCTGGACCAGAACTTCTGGGAGAGCTTCGGGAGCCCCGAGCCCCCCAAGGCCGCGTCCCCAAGCAGCGACAGCTGGACCTGCGCCGATGCCTCCACCGAGAAGCGGAGCTCAGACAGCTGGGATGTGTGGGGTTCGTCCAACCGCAACAGCAACAGTGATGGCTGGGAGAGCTGGGAGGGCACCGGCAGTGAGGCCAGGGTCAAGGCTGCCAAGAAGGCCACACCCCTGGCCCCTGCTGATGAGGACTGGGACAACCAGAACTGGTAGGGCCCGCTGTGCCAGCCCTCTGCTACAGTGACCACCACAGCTGCCCTTGCTCCTCATTCCTCCTGCTTGGCTGAGAGCAGCCATGGAGTGAAGATGGCACCTTGGGGCCAGCCCGCCTGCCTGGCATGGAGCGCCTGGCGCGTGGGGCAGGTGTGGGAGCCCAGGGCCTGGGGGTCAGTGCGTGATGCCACCAGGACCCTCCTGCCAGCGCCCTCTGCACAGGCACTTGGGGCGGGCAGGCAGGCGGGAGTGCAAGTGTTCGTGTCATTGAAATGTTTTTAACTCAGACTTGGCTCTCTGTCTTGCTGCCGAGGAGCCGGCTAGATGCTTGGAGGTGCAGAGTTGGAGAGCTTGGCCACTTCCCCTAGCTGGGCTGTCTGGACATGTCCTGCACAGCTCTTAAGCCAACGGGCCACAGACCCGGTGTGGCCAAGGCCCCCATCCCTCCCTCCCCTGTTGTGGCAGGAGCCTGGTGGCAGGGCTGTGGGCACTGTCTGACCCTAGAAGATGCTCTAGGGTGCTCTGTTGTCAGCCGAGCCTTCCCAGTGCCTGACCACACCTGTGTCCAGCTCCTCATATGGCCCCATCCCTTGCACGCTGGCCTTGCCTTCTCGTTGGCACGCGGGTCCCACCGGCCACCCGAGTGCCTTTCCTGCATCCTCCTGCCCTTCTCTCGCTAGCAGCATGGCGACCATACACTGATCACAGAAGGGCTGGGTCCCTACTCCTGGTGCTCCCTGGAGAGGAGGAGCCTCGGGGTGTCTTCCTTGGGAGTGTGGCTCTCGGCGGGGCTCTGCCCTCAGCCACATTGGAGGTTGGGCTGCTGCGATGGAACCCCTGGCAGGCAGGATGGCGCCTCAGGGCTCCTGTCAGGAGCAGCTTCCAGGGGCAGCCAGGCCCTGGTGGATTCTTGGATGCTCACTGGGGCCCATGGTTGTATGAGTCACCACCCCAGGCTCAGGGTCAGCCGCCCTGCCTGTGTACAGGGAGGAAGCAGACACCTCCATGCTGCAGGGGTGAGGCTGGGGCAGCAGCTGGAGCAGGGGAGGATGGGGTAGGGTCACACCCACCTGGGGACAGCACCTGTCGGGGCACAAGGCAGCTGGTGGTTGCTATGGATACATGGCATATGGATACAGGTGTGAGCAGGCACCACAGTGCTGGGCCAGGCTGGGTGCTTGCAGCCTGCAGTGACGAGAGCACAGTGGTCAGAAGCGTGCCCTGCTGTCCCTGCTGTCCTGACTGGCCCTTGTGTGCCAGTACGGGGTGGCGGCAGCAGGGAGAAGCTGGGCCCAGCCCCTCTTGGTGCTTGAGATGGGCGCAGTAGTGTCCTGGTCGCCGGTCCTGTTTCTCCCCAAGCTGGGCCAGCGTGGCCCTGTTGGCAAAGCCCCTGTGGACCAGTGGGGCAGCCTGATTTCTCCTGGTCCTGCGAGCCATCAGGGCTGAGCTGGGGCCTGGGGCCGTTGCACTTCTGCCAGCAAACCTGTGGAGGCTTCCTGTCTGTTGCCACACTGCCAGACCCTGCCCACCCTGGCCCCCACACCATGTCCAGTCCTGCCTGTCCTAAAAGTCCTGTATCTGTGTCAGGGGGCTGAGCCAGAGCAGGACAAGCTGCGGGAGGCTGGGGTGGGGGGTTTGGGGCTGAAAGCCATGTCCTGAGTGCAGAGGAGGCTGGGGTGGGGGCATGGGTGGAGTGCCCAGGACAACGGCTGCCAGCCCCAGGCACTCGGGGCCGGTGAGGGCATTCTGGCACTCGGGTTGGAGGAATGTGTCAGGAAGCAGGTCAGTACATGAGTCCTGGGGAGGGGCAGGTGTGAGCAGGTGGTGATCCTTGGGCTGTGGTGGGGGGGCACCTCCTGGCCCATATTCTCCAGGGCATGGGCAGACCCATCTCCCGCAAGGGCCAGTCTGCAGGTGAGCCTGGCTCCCCCTGCCCTGCCTACACCGGGAGCGGATGCTGAGGGCAAGATCTAAGGGGCACGTGGCCAGGCACCTGCCGCAGCAGGGGCCAGCAGGCCCGCCAGCTGGGCTGGGAGAGGATAGGGCCCATGGTGGGTGTCGCAAGTGGAGGACTGGAGGCTGGAGTGGCCCCTCCCCCAAGCCCTCTGGGACCACAGTGTGCTTGTCCAAGACAGTGGCCTGGAGGGTTGGGGCCAGGGCTGGGCAGGAGGCTGAGGCGTGGCCAAACAGTGACGTTTTGGGGGCCTCCAGCCACCGAGCTAGAGGAGGAGGTTGCTGTGGCCCACAATCCGGGGCCAGGCTTGGGGTGCAGGTGTGTGGCCAGCGGAGCACTGCCCGAGGCCCTGGCTCCTGGGGGTCACCAGGAGGCTCCCGGCCTGCGTTCCACCTCAGCCCTGAGGTACCTGGTGGGGAGGGGTCCTGGGACCTGGGGGACTGCAGTGGCAACCACCACCACCCCCCGCCCCAGGTGAGAGCCTGGCCTTGACTTGGATTCCCTGGAAGGAAGCATACAGGTGGGGGTGCCCAGAACAGGCTGCCGGGATGGGGGTGGGATCCCCACCTCAGCTGAGTGGGCCACCCAAGTTAGCAGACCCTGCCCCATAATTCTTCCCCCGGCTGGGTGCAGGTGCAGGGCGGTCCAGGGCCCTTCTCCTAGTCCGGCCTGTGGACACTGCTTTTTCTGGGTCACCCTGGCCTCCTATGTTTGCCTGCCCATCACCTCCAGACCCTCTGGGCAGCTCTTAGTCCCCTGGATCATGTCCCATCTACTACTGGGCTAAGGCTGGAGCAGGTCTCTGGGCTGTATGTCACACCCAGCATCATCACCCACTCGCCCATCAACAGCCCAGGACACTCAGGCCAGAGCCATGGACAGGCCTGTCTGGCCACTGCCTGCATTGGCCATGGGGTAGGCAAGCGCTGGGGATGTGAGTGCAGTCTGGCAGGTGCAGGGTACAGTGTCCCCAAGGGGGAGGGTTTGGGGGGTAGCCAGGACCTCAGCGGCCTTACCTCACAGACCTACATCATGCACGCCTGCGCCTGCCTTGGCTCTTGCCCCTCCCTCTGGCTCTGGTTGGCCACCACCCTGGGACGTGGGGCACCAGGTAGGTGGAGAGGCTGCGCCTGCCAGTCATGTGGGCAGATCAGGCTGTGCTTGGTTGGAGGGGGGCTGCGCCTGCCAGTCATGCAGATGGACCCAGCTCTGCTTGGCTAGAGGGGCCAGTGTGTCCTGGTCCTGAGGAGGAGGAGCCAGGCCTGAGGGTCCTCAGGTCCCTGCAGAGGCAGGCAGGTGGGGAGCACTGGGTCATGGGGTGCAGACCAGGACAAGGCAAGTCCCCTCTCCGACTGCATATCTGCCCTTCTCTCCCCCGCCCAACCTCCCCCATCCAGCCCCAGCTGTTCCCAGGATGAATGGCTGCTATGTCTGCCTTCCCCACCTCACCCCCCACCATAGGGCAGCCAGAAGAAGCCCAACTCTGTCCTCAACCTTCCAAAAATAGCTGCCCTGAATGGAGCCTCCTGATGTTTCCACAGAGTCAGCCCTGGCCCCCTGTGCCCTGCTCTGGTCTCAGTGCCAGAGCTGCACAGTGCACACATTGGCACAGTACACACACACGTGTATGTAGGGTGCCCAGGGCAGATCTCATGCACGTGGGTTCTCCACCCCCAGGGTCAGGTCACCAGCTGTGACTGCTGGTGTGGTGGGACAGTCGTCTGCAGGCAGTTGCTCCCCTCACAGGTGCTGCTGGCCTAGGTGTGGCCAGAGCCCTCCCAGAAGGCCCCAGGACATGGACACCTGAGTCTGGACCCCCTGGGATCAAGTTCTGTGCTCCCAGGGTGGGCTGCATCCTGCTGACCCATGAGCAGGAGCTCGTCTAGGTAGGGTGCGCTGCAGCTTGGCCTGGCCAGCCCTGATCACCCACTTCTCTGTAGCTAGCGGGCACCTGAGGCTGGCCGTGTTGCCTGAGGACCAGCTGCAGATGAAGTGGACGGAGTGGGAGGGCAGTGGCCTGGGATACCTGGTGCAGGTGAAGCCCCTGACAGGTAAGAACGTGTCCCTCCAGGATGAAGGCACCTGATCAGGCCCAAGCTTCCTCCTTCCAAAGGTGGCAGAGGCAGCTGGAGAATGGGTGTCCATGCTGGGTGGTCCTCCTGCCTGGTTGTGTCCACCTTTGCTCCTGGGACCCCTGGAGGCGGCCCCATGTCAGTTACAGCAGTCTCACCCCCTACTTCCCCCAGGGGACACGGAACAGGAGGTGATGCTGACCACCAAGGCCACCGTGGGGGGCCTAGGCCCCTCCAAGCGCTATGCCACACATGTCTTTGCACTTACAGGCTCGGAGCCTGTCCTGCTGGCTCGGAGGGCGTTTGTGAGTGAGTTCATGTCCACCAGGACCCCAGCCTGTCCTGCTTCCTGCTCTGACACCCATCTAGGGCCCCGAAGAGCCAGATGTGTGTGGGAAGGGCTCTGTTTCCTGGGGCTCTGACTGCCCCTTCTCTGACCAGTCCAGGACTTGAAGGGTAGCTTCCTGGGCCGGAGAGGCCAGAGGCCTTCAAGGGGAGCCCTGGAGCCCACTCCCTCCAGTGGGGGCCACCCAGACCCTGAGCAGCTGTTGGATCCTGGAGTCCCCCAAGGCAAAGGCCTGCCAACCTTCAGGGTGACCAATTGGACTGAGCATGAGTTCTGGGCATGGGGTCCTTTCCTTCCTGATCCCACTATCCGAGGCTTCAGCTTAAGCCGGGTAGGTCCCTGGACGCACCCACACCCTGTCCATCAGATCCCTTGGACATGCCCATGCCCTGTCCGTCAGGACCCCAGACATGCCCATGCCCTGTCCATCAGATCCCCTTGGACACGTCCATGCCCTGTCCATCAGATCCCTTGGACACGCCCATGCCCTGTCCATCAGGACCCCAGACACGCCCACGCCCTGTCTGTTGGGTCCCTGGTCACACCTAAACCCTGGAGAGTGGGCACCATGGACAGCAGTGGGCAGCAGTCTCATTATCAGCTGTCCCTCCCCTGCTGACCCTGCATGGCTCAGAGGGCAAAGACTGCTGGCCAGAGACCATGTGTGGTTCTCCATGCCCAGCACCCTGAGGTCCTTGGCATCCCTGCACCCCAAGTCCCCGGCCCCCAGCCCTGGGAAGACTCAGCACCTGTCCCTTCCCACCCCCAGCTGACCCACAGTTCTGCTGCTTGCCCCTACGCCCGCTGACATAGTCCTCCTGGTGGACGGGTCCTGGAGTGTTGGCCACACCCACTTCCAGCAGGTCAAGGCCTTTCTGGCCAGCGTCATCGCACCCTTTGACATTGGGCCAGAGAAGGTACAAATAGGTAGGTGCTCCTGGCCTGGGCTCCCCGCTTCCAGCCAGGTCTCCCCCTTGTGCAGTCCCTGGGCGCAGCCCTCTGCCTGAGGCTGGCACATCCTCAGATGGGCTGGTCTGAAGGAGCTGGTAGACCCCATGTGGCCTGGCAGCAGTCCTGGGGAAGCACCTACGGCCTTTCGCCTTCTCTGCCCAGGCCTTACCCGGTATAGTGGAGACCCTCGCACTGAGAGGAACCTGAAGTCCTTTGGCAGCCAGGAGCAGGTGCAGGCAGCTATGCGTGGCCTGCATTACAAGAGCGGGAACACATTCACAGGTGTGGCTTGGCAACCCCCCACCTTCACCCCGTGGGGGGAACTCTGCACTCCAGGGCTTGGGGGAAGGGCCCAGGGTCTCTGGTGAGCTCCCTCTTCATGCCTCAGGCCTGGCCCTGGCTCAGCTGTTGGACCACAATCTGTAGCCAGAGGCTGGGCTGAGTCCCGAGGCGGCCACCGTTGTGCTCCTGGTGATGGACGGCAAGTCCCAAGATGACGTGCGTGAGGCTGTCCGGACCCTCAGGGACCGGCACATTGCTGTCTTCACTGTGGGTGAGCCCCCCATGGTGCCTGGTCCTTAGTGGAACCTCCCCGTCGTGGTGGGCTGTCATCCCCCACCCCACAGTCCCCATCTTGTCCAGTGAGCCTTGGCATCAGGGTCATCTGTGGTGTCCTGATGTGGCACAGCTCCTGGAAGTGACCACCATGCCATGCACCTGCATGAGGCTCGTGGATGAGCCTGGGGGCTGGAAGCCCACTTCCCGAACTTCACTTGCTGCTCATCAGCTCTGTTCCATGAGGCAATTGTGGTAGCAGCTGCCCAGCTGAGGGCCACACCCTTGTGCCCTGGCCCTGCCCTCAGGCATGAAGAACGCGGATGAGAGTGAGCTGAAGCTCCTGGCATCTCCACCCGTGGACGTCAGCGTACACAGCGTCCTGGATTTCCCACAGCTGGGCACACTGACTGGCCTGCTCAGCTGGCTCATCTGCCAGCAGGTCCAGGGCAGATACCTGGCTGGGGCTATAGGTGAGGGGCGGCCCTGGGGACAGGGCAGCTGGCTGGCAGGGCGTTCCTGTGTATAGCCCTGGTCCCTCCTCATTTAGCCACCAGGGGGCGCACGTAGAGCTGCTGCGTGGGTTTCCTGCGAGACCCCTGAATGCTGCCTCTGTTTCCAGGCAGCAGGGCAGCTCTGGCTCCCGCTCCTCCCTTGGACCCCTTCCCAGGCCCAACTGGCCTAGTCCTGACCCAAGTGACCTCCTCCAGCGCCCACGTGTCCTTGAGCCCAGCTGCTCAGCCGCCCCTCAAGTACCGGATCCTGTGGCGGCCTGCCAGGGGAGGAGCTCCTAGGGAGGTGAGAGGGCAGAGCCCAGCCAGCTGGTGGAGGCAGCCGGGGCCAGCACACCCAGGGACGCCAGGACAGGCCAGGGGGCAGCCTGGAACACGAGGGTGCACCATCCACTGCCCTGTGCCCTGGCAGGTGCCAGCCTGTCCCACAGGACCTGCTCCATCCCGTCCCAGGTGACGGTGGAGGGGTCTGCATCCGCGGCAGAGCTGAGCAGCCTGCGCCCCGGTACCAACTACATGGTCTCCGTGCTTCCAGTGTATGAGGGCAGGGCTGGTCGGGGCCTGAGGGGTCAGGTGACCACAGATATGCATGTCGCCTGTTTGTGCCGGATTTGCTGTTTTGGGCATTACACAGATGAACCTAGAGTGGCTGGAGGGCTCAGGCCCCGGGGAGGTCGGGCAGTGACTTGGGCATCTGGGTCCTTGGCCTTCCCCTCCCATGTTTCCAGCCAGGCAACCGCTGGCCTGGACCTGGAGCCCTTTCTGTTACCTGTCAAGGGCATCCATAGTAGCCCTCATCACTGAAGCTGACTACCCCCTGTACCCCTAGATGCCTCAGTGCCCACCCAGGGTCCTTCCTGCCCCATTCCTGAGCTGTTTGCTGGGTCTGGGGACTCCAGCCCCTTCTAAGCTCTTACTGTGCTCTGAAGCTGCTGTGGCCCCCACGAGGCCCCTGGGCTTCTCAGAGGTGACTCATGACTCGGCCTGCGTGTCTTAGGAGAGCCCTCCAAGGCCACTGCACCTGGTCAGGGTCAGCTACATCTCCAGGGATGCTGGCCATGTAGGCCAGGTCAGAACAGAGCCACGGGGACCAGCACCCCCCACCCTGCCCCCACTCCTGCCCACCCAGGGTCTCCATAGTCCTTTTTTTTTAAGATTTATTTTTATTTTTATTGGAAAGGCGGATATACAGAGAGGAGGAGAGACAGAGAGGAAGATCTTCCGTCCGATGATTCACTCCCCAAGTGAGCGCAACAGCCGATGCTATGCCGGTCCGAAGCCAGGAGCCTCTTCTGGGTCTCCCACACGGGTGCAGGGTCCCAAGGCTTTGGGCCATCCTTGACTGCTTTCCCTGGCCACAGGCAGGGAGCTGGATGGGAAGCCGGGCTGCCGGGATTAGAACCGGCGCCCATATGGGATTCCGGGTGTGCAAGGCAAGGACCTTAACCACTTGCTCCGCTGCGCCGGGCCCCTCCATAGTCCTTTGAGCATGTGTGGTAGGGGCAGGTGGGAAGGGGACATGGGCTCAGCCCCAGGGAGGCCACAGCTGTGGGGCCTTGGGTGTGGGGACACAGCAGTGGGCCGGGCTCACACCTGACCCCGCGGCCCCCGTGGGGCTGCAGTGTGGGCCAAGCCCTCTGCAGCTCTCCGTCACCTGGGGCTCCCTATTCCCTGCAGGTGGAGGTCCCTGAGAACACCACCTCGGCCACCCTGGGGCCCTTGGCCTCTTCTACCACGTACAGCGACCACGTCACCTACTTGTACCCCGGGGCAGCTCCTCCAAGCTAACTGGCCATGTAGCCACGCGTGAGTGAGCCGGGGGCAGGGCTCGCAGGCACAGTAGACGCCCAGACAGGTGCGAGGCAGATCCCCCAGCCCCACCCCCTGCCTCCCTCCCTTTCTAGGGAAAGCCCCCCGCCCCAGCCAGCTGGCGGTGACAGAGCTGTCAGGCGGTGCGGTCCGGCTGTCATGGGTGGCTGCTGCCTCACCCAGGGTCCAGGGGTATCACGTCCAGTGGACGCCCCTGGCAAGGGGCCAGGCCCACGAAGTGAGGAGTGGGAGAGGGGAGGGGTGAGCCTGGCTGGTTGTTCTTGGGGTGCCCGTGGCCAGCTGCAGCCTGGGCATTCTCCCCTAAGCTCTCCGTCCCGGGCACTGTGAGCACCGCCGTGCTACGCAGTCTGGGCCGGCACATGGAGCAGCTGGTCAGCGCGCGGGCTCAGTATGGGAGTGAGCCTGTGTCGCTCCGCTACACTCCCTCTAGGTGGTCCCCTCCCCCTAGCATCTCCGGGGTGGGGCAGACTCACTGTCTCAACAGGTCTCTGTGCTGGTGGGTGCCCCAGGGTGGGCCTGCCAACTAACTCCTCCCGGAGACCCACGCAGCCTGTGCCCCCCAGCTGCTGTGAGGCGGAACCCCCGGCCAGGCTGGCCCTGGTCTCTGAGACCCCCGGCAGCCTGTGGGTTAGTTGGAGCCCACCCCGTGGCCATGTCCTCCGCTACCAGCTCTTGTACGTGCCAGCCTCCCGCTCAGGGCCGGAGCTGTCGGTGAGTCCCTGAGGAACACAGATGGCCTGTCACCAGGAGCGGCGGCTGTCCCAAGGTGGGGCAGCCACCCAGTGCTCAGGGACACCCCTCGCCTCCAGGTCTCTGTGCCAGGCTACTGGAGCCATGTGACCCTTCCCAAATTACTGGCTACCACCACATACAGGTCTTGGTATTGGCTGTCTACACCACGGGGGAAAGTGTGGCTGTGTCTGCCACGGGCCGCACGGGTGAGCCAGACAGGGTGGGAGTGGGCATCTTGGGCACCCCCAGACCTGAACCCCACTGGGCTTTGTCTTCTCTGGCCTTGGTGGGGGCACAGAGGCCTGGAGGGCGAGCAGAGAGAGAAGAGGCAGGGTCCCCATGGGCCGTGGGAGGGGTGGGCATTGCCCAGGAAGGGCCCTGCCCAGACGGCCAGCTGGCCTGGGGCTAGGATGGGGGAGTGGAAGCCCTGGCCTCACCCTGGCCGTACCCTGCTCTCCCAGCGGCCTGCCCTGCCCTGCATATGAACAGTTCCCTGCCAGGTAGGTCAGCACTGCCCCCCCCAACCCCTCCCAAGGGCCGGCCAGTACTCCCCACCCAGGGAGAGGCTGAAGGGACGCGGGCAGGGGACGGGGCGGAGCTGGCGGCCAGGCTGGGGCCCTCCCTGGCCCAGGCCTGTCTCCTGCCCCTCCTTCCTGGCTCAGTCTCACTCTGGCTGCCCGCCATGCCTGCATGGTGACCACTGGCTGAGGGGCGGCCCTGGCAGGGGTGGGGCATGCAGAGGGCCTGGCCATGGCAGCTCCCTGCCCTTCTCACACCTGCCCCTCCCCTGGCAGCCGGCAGGAAGTCGATGACTTCAGGCTGCCAGCCCTCGGGCGGGTCTTCCTCAGGAACTTCCACAAGGTGCAGTCGGGGCCCGCCCAGCTCTGAAGGCCAAAGGAAATGGCCAGTGTGGGGCCTCACCCTGTCCTGCTCTTCCTTCCCTCGCCCCTCTGTCCCCTCCCTTCCGTTCCCCCACCCTGACCCTGTCCTGGGGATCCCAGCCTTTCTGGCAGGCACCTGGCCCGGGTATCAGTGGGTGGCTTCCCAAAGGGGTCTGGGGCAGCCTCAGGAGCCTCTCCCGGAGTCTGACAGGTGCATGTGGCCGTGAGTCGCTCCAGGGTCCGCCTGTATGTGGACTGTCAGCAAGTGGCTGAGAAGCCCCCAGGGGAAGCCAGGAGCCCTCCTGCCCACGGCTTTGTCATACTGGGGAGGCTGGCCTCAGCCCAGGGCTCTGAGAACAATTCCGCACCAGTGAGTCTGGGCTTCTGACTGATGGCGATGGGTAGACTAGGCGAGGCTGCACCCACTGACTGTCTCCATGGCAGTTCCAGCTCCAGGCCCTGCAGGTCACATGTAGTGAAACCTGGCCCAAGGAGGACCAGTGTGAGCTCCCTGCCATGGTGGGTGACGGCATGGCTAACCGTGGGTATTTAGATCACGGCAGCCTAGGTTGGGCTCCTGGGGGAGGCAGCTGTGGCAGGGCGGCTGCAGGGCCACGAAGGGCAGGCAGAGCCCTAGGCCCTCGGGGCACTCAGCACCTGTGTTGAGCCTGGTCTTGCTGTAGATGGGGCCAGGTGTCCCTGCTGGCCCCGGCTGTGTGCTTGGCTTAGGGAGAGACCAGTACTAGCTCGGCCAAGGTCAGGCGTGGCAGTGAGAGCAGGACCTCTTCCCTTCCAGAGCAGTAGACAGAGCTGCCCAGCCTTTCCTGCCACCTGTGCCTTCCAGAGTCTGGGACCACCAGGACCCCAAGAGCCCCCAGTGAGTGCAGGGGCAGGGCCAAGGCTCGAGCCGACCTACCCCTGGCATGGGTCCCTACGCGTCCCCATATCCTCTGTATCCCTGTGTCCCTGGCGTGGGCCCCTGTGTCCCCTGGCATGCAACCTTATTTGACGGGAGGTCCAGCTGCTCTCGAGGACCAAGTTGCTGGCTGGGCTGACGTGGGTATTCTTGCGTCCAGGCCTCCCAGGAGGGATCTCTCCGAGCTGGGTGCCCTAGCTATGATCTGTGTTCAGCCAGGGGCCTGGGAAGGAGGGGTAGGCTGGGCCAGGCTGGGCTCCAGGCTAACTGTGGGGGACTCAGCCTGGCCATGCCCCTTAGGGCCCTCCCGGGAGCCGCAGCACCCTAGGACAGCGGGGCCCCTCAGGACCCAGGCTGAGTCTTGGGTTGTGGGGGTGGGGTCAGACCACACTGGGACCAGGCATGTCCCCTCAGCAGTGGTGCTGTAGGTGGGCCGATGGAAGGGGTGGCCTGGGCCCTCTCTGCTGGCCAGGCATTCGGCCTGCCTGCTGTCCGGTGGACATACACTCCTTTCCCCTGGTGGCTGCTTTGTCCTGTCATGCAGGTGGGACATTCAACCTGGGAGGTGAGGTCGAGGTCCAGGGCCCCAACCTCACCGGTCGGGTCCCACAGGTGGAGAAACACGTGCTGTGGCTTTAGACATGTGTAGCCTGGCGCCTGCGTGTGTCCGTGTGTGTGCATTATGCGTGTGTGAGTGTATCTGCCACCCACATGGGACATTGTGATGGAATTTCCAGCTCCCGGTTTTGGCCAGGTCCAGCTCAGCTTTGAATGCGTGTAGAGAGGAATCCAGGCTCTCTCTGTCTCCTTCAAATGCAAACAGCACGAATGCAGACAGGGGAGAGTGTGGGTCTTCATGGCTGCTCCTGCAGGTGGCTGCGCTCCCTTCTGCCACTTGTCCGTCCCATCCACCATCCGATGGTCTCCCCAGGGCGTCCCACCAGGAGCAGGGAGGTCTGGGCCCCCATGGGGTGGCCCACTTGGTACGGGGTCAGCCGCGCCCATCCTCTCTGAGCTTGAGGGGTCTTCAGAGTCAGTATGGACACTTCGTGGCTTTCAGGTGGGATTCAAGGGATGCCGGCCTTGCCGGCTCCACTCCCTCTCTGGCCCATGGGAGGCCGTGGGAAGCTGGGCAAGCTGGCTGGGTTGTCTGCTGGACAGAACAGCCGGCTCACCTCCCTGGGGGATCCCCTCTGCTGGCACCTGGGCCTGTGGGGTCTCCTGCTTCTCTCCACGGGCCTGAGCGGGGTGGGTGGAGACACTTCTGCCACCACGCAGGCTTGTGGTCAGCAGGGCCTCTCCCAGGACCCCTCCTAGAGCATGCTTGGCCCTGGCATCCTGGAGAAGGTGCCCATGGGGCCTGTGGTCGTTGGACCATCTCAGTCCCTCCCCCTACCTTCAGGGAAAGTCGGGGCTGCCCGGACAGACGGGACCTGAGGGCCTGGGAGGTCAGCAGGGGTCATCAGGGACACAGGGCCGCCCCATCCAGGGGCCTGTGGTAGGTGCTCTGCCATGCCCCACCCCTGTGCTCGCCCTGCTCCGTCCTTCAGCCCTGCCCTTCTTCTCCCTCTTTCCTGCTGCCCTGTCCATCTCTGCTCCTGCCCCCAGGGACCACCAGGGATCAAAGGAGAGAAGGGTGACCCTGGACTCCCAGGCTTACAGGTATGGGGGCTCCAGGCGGGGCCTTCCCTGGCAGCCACCTCTGTGCTTCTCCAGGGCCAGCCTGGACACCAGGGCCCCCAGGAAGAGTGGGCCTCCAGGGACCCAAGGTACTGGCGACAAGAGGCTGTGGGTGGGTCTGGGGAAGGCCTTCCTCTCCCAGCCCCACCTGGCCCCGCGAGGCCTGATCGGAAGCAGGGACAGAAGTGCAGCAGCACCCTCCCCTGACCCTGTCAGCCCTGGCAGGGACAGCCAGGGGCCTTCCTGGTTGACTCTGAGAGCAAGAGGCAGCTGGTGGCTGTGAGCAGCCACCCTAGCTCACTCTCTCTCCCACAGGGAATGAGAGGTCTGGAGGGCACCGCTGGCTCCCCTGGCCCCCCAGGCCCCGGGTAGGTGCCGGGTGCTCCAGGGGCCCCTAGGCTGTGTCTGGGGAAGGGCATGGGGCCGCAGGGGTGGGCTTTGGGCTTATAGGTAGAAACTATGCTGACTGGGGCTGGGGGATGACTTGGTCTCTCCAGGCTCTGGGTGCCGTGCAGTGCTCCTCACCCAGCAGGGCTGGGCTGGGGGCTGAAGGGGTTTGAGCCAAGCCCCGTGTTTGTACCTCTGCAGGGCTTCCAGGGTTCGGCAGGGGCCAGGGGCTCCCTTGGGGAGTGTGGACCCCAGGGGCTGTGGGGCCCACGGTAAGTTCCTCTCTGCCTGATGGGGGTCCAGGGGACCCCACTCTGCCCTGTATCAGTGGCCCTACCCTGGGAGTCCCACCTGAGACCTGCACGATCCCCTGCCACCATGGGGTCCCCGGGCCTGGTGCTCTCAGGCTATGTGGCCCATCAAGCTGCCTCCACACTGACTCTGCCTTGCCTTGTCTCCTGTGCCGTTCTAGGGGCTGCCAGGACCCAAAAGGGAGCGAGGAGAGAAGGTAGGTGAGGCCCAGGGTGGGGTCCTGAGGCCCTGGAGGGGGTGGGAGGACCCACCAGCAGTGCTGGTTCCTGCAGGGCGAGCCGCAGTCCCTCACAGCCACCTTCCAGCTGGTGAGCCAGGGCTGCGAGGCGGCCGTCCAGGGTGAGTGTATCCCCAGCCCCAGTGCTGTCCGGCGCCTGGGCCGCGCCCCTCTGCTGACTGCCTTCCCTGTCCCCAGCATCCCCAGCGCACCTGCGAGGCCTGAACGTTTTCCCGCACAAGGAGGCCAGGCCCCCAGTACCCATCCTGGAGGAAGCAGCCAGGCCAGATGGGCCTCCTGCTCTGCATGGTGAGTGTTGCCTGGAGAAGAACCATGGCGTGGTGGTCACAACTCGGAGTGCAGACACACAGGCGCACCCCCGTGCCTGTGAGACCATGCTGTCCCCCACCTGGGTGCCCCAGTGCTGGGGGGTCCCCAAGGGCCCCCCAATCCCAAGAAGCAGGACCCTGTGGAGCCAGCCCTGTACCCGGGTCCCACGCAGCCAGTGAGCTAGTCAGGTTGTCTGCTGTTGCTCTGGAGTCTGGGATGGTCAGCCAGATAATGGACAGAAGGATATACGGATGGTGGACAGATGGATAGAAAGATGGACAGATGAGGGGTGAGTGGATGGATGGACAGAGAGGCCAGCCAGGGCTGATGGAGCTCCAGACAGATCCAGCTGCAGAGAGCTGAGCCTGCTAACTGGGGCCAGACATGCCGCGCTGGGCGAGGGCAGCATCTGAGTACACCGTGTGGGCGCTGTGTTCATGTGTGGGAGACGTGTGTGCACATACGGCATGTTGTGACATTTGGTTCTGTTGTGTGTGGTGGTTTGTATATGTGGTGTGTGGTATGTGTATGGTGTATGTGGTTTGTGTGGTATGTGGGGTGTGGTGTGTGTGTGTAGTGTATGTGGTTTGTAGGATGTGTTTGTGTGTGGTTTGTACGATGTGTGGTATGTGCTGTGGTGTGTATGCTGTGTTGTATATGGTGTGTGTGGCACATTGACAGTGTGTCCTGTGTATACTGATGTGTGCATGTATGGCACACATGGGCTATGTTGAATGTGCTGTGAAGTTTCATGTGCATAGTATGTAGTGTGTTGCATGTAATATTCTGCATATACTGTGGTAAGTTTAGCATGTCCCTGAGGACAACAGAGCTCCTTCCCCAGTGAGGACAGCCTCCCCCAGCAGCTGCCCCTTTTCTCCCAGGGCTGGGCAGTGCTGGGCAGGGCTGGGCAGTGCTGGGCAGGGCTGGGCAGGGCTGGGCAGGGCTAGACACGTCTAGGCAGCGCTGGGCAGTGTGGACAGAGCTGGGCAGGGCTGGACAGAGCTGGGCAGGGCTGGGCAGGGCTGGATAGAGCTGAGCAGGGCAGGGCAGTGCTGGGCAGTGCTGGGGAGGGCTGGGCAGGGCTGGGCAGGGCTGGGCAGTACTGGACAGGGCTAGGCAGCGCTGGGCAGTGCTGGACAGAGCTGAGCAGGGCAGGGCAGCGCTGGGCAGCGCTGGGCAGCACTGGGCCATTGGAAACCTCAGGAGCAGTAGGTGAGCTTCTGCCACAGCCCGTCAGGGAGCCAGAACAAGGCGTGCATGGGGGCCTGAGCGGTGTCTGGGGAGCAGGGGAGGCTCTGGTGGGGCTGGGTGACAAAGCTGGGTTACCAGGAGGTAGACAAATAGACAACCACAGCTGGTGGAGAGCTGCCCACAGGCCCTCAGGGTTAGGCAGCAGCAAGGGGCACTTGGGGGCACACTTGGCCCAGGTGTGGGCATCTAGGGAAGGGCTGCTAGGAGTTTGGGGTGCAGTCTGGGAGGCCTGGGTGTAGGTGAGGTGGGCTGGAGCCAGTCCCAAGGACTTATGGGTGAGCCAAGGGTTAGCCTCCCAGCTCTGCCCACCCCTCTCTCCTACCAGTGCTGCCCGAGTGACCCTGCGCCCTCCGTGCCAGCCTGGGCTGGACGCACAGAGGACGCCCTTGGGGAGGGGCTGAGGGTGGAGGAAGTGGGAGGTGACGTTCCTTTGTCCAAATAAACTAGCGACTGCTTGATGCCAGGTCAGGTGTCCCCTCCCTGAGAGCCAGGTGTGGAGCCTGGGGGCAGGGCTATGCTGCCCCCAGAGCCCCTGCTCCTTTCTCTAGGCTCAAGTCCAGCAGATGGTCCTCCCTCACCTGCTGGTTACTCTCTCCAAGGGTGGTACAGGCCCATGTGTGCCCCGGCTGTGTGCTGGTGTCTGGTTGAGCTGGGGCTGATTTTGGACCTGTGGGGATCCCAACTCCATCCTCCCACAGCCCTTGAATGCACATAGGGCCCCGCTGCCCTGTCACTGTGCCTGCCCAGCGGGAGCACAGACTGATGGGGAGCCCAGTGTCAGTCTTCCCACCCCTTAGGGCCTGGGGCTGGAGCCCCCTGATCGCTGATCCCGTCCAGGTGGGGGGCAGTGAGACAGCCCGGCAGGGGGAGGGGTGGTCAGAGTCTTGGGCGCAAGCTGGGCAGACATGGTCGCTGAGGCCATGGCCTGGCTGCCATTGGCTGCATTGGGAGGCTGCTTAGCTCACCTGGCTGTGGTCTGGGAGCTGACGTGTTCCACGCTGGCCAGCCAGGCCCTGGGTGGGGTCCACTGTCCCTCTAGTGGGTCCAGTGGTGGGGGATGGCCACAGGCCCTGCTTGCTCCTGAACACCCCGGCTTCAGAGACGCAGGGTGCAGCTGTGCCACAGTAGACGGGCCTGGCCGCCTCTGCACGTGTGTGTAGTACACATGCATGTTGCGTGAGACCCACCAGGTGAAGGGGCACGGCAGGCATTGGACACACGTGTGTCCTGTGGGCCCCTGCAGGCTCCAGGGGCAGGTAGGCGCAGCTTCTGCTCTCAGCGTTCCCAGGGAGACCAGTCCTGGGCTGGGACCTGGGGAGACCTTTGGGGCCCTGGATGCGGCAGCTGTGGGGCGGGCAGGTGCTCAGGCCAACGCAGACCCAGAGACACATGTGCTCTTCACAGCCACAGGGGGAGCCACCTGACCGTCAGCTTCCTGGGAGACACCTGTAGGCACAGGCAGCAGGGCGGGAACCTGCGGAGGGCAGACAGGCCAGGGCCGTGCAGGAAGTGTCTCTCCTGCCACCAACCAGGGTCTCATCCACTGCTGGACACACCAGTCCCACCTCAGGACAGACCTGGGTGAGTGGACACGTGCGGGCCGAGGGCCTGACAGTGCTGTCTAGGCCCTGTCACTCAGGAGAGCACAGCAGCCCTGGACGTGACAGGACAGAGGACCACACAGGGTGGAACTTATCAGATTCCAACAGCAAAGCCTGAAAAATGAGTAAGGACAAGCGCTTCGCAGACCCAGGAGAGCGGCCATGCAAGCGGCATGGTGCCCAACTGACGGAAATGCAGTGGAGGCCAGCCAACTGGTGGAGTCCTCCCAGGGTATGGGCAAAGCTGCAGGCCTGCAGACACTGAGGCCCAGGGCAGCCAGCACCCCGCGGAGCTGGCTGCATGCGCACTTGGGGTCCTTAAGTCCCAGAAGCTTGCAGGCCACACTCAGGCAGTCCCGGGTGGACACAGCCCAGGTCCATCACGGGGCCAGGTGAATGAGCTGTGGCCAGCCCTGTGAAGGGGCCGCAGGCTTGGAGCTGCACTTGTTAGCCACCCGGATGTCAGGGTGTCTGGACAGGCCACAGGCACCTGTGCCTGGTGGGTCACGGTGTGTCGCCCACTGCTCTAGGGTGTGCCCCTAGGGGTCTTATTTCCTGGGAGACAGTGATGATGCAAGAAGCCTGTGCTGCTCAAGTATTTATTACATCTCCTGGGAAGGCATGGGGCTGGTCCAGGCCGCTTGGTGCTGGGCCCTCAGCGATCTTCAGCTGCCCATCCCAGCCTGATCCCTGCAGGGTGGGCAGTGCTAAGGGGCAACCTCGAGTCTGAGAGCCCAGGCGCCAGCACCACTCCACAGAAGCCAGGGTCACCGGGGCATGAGCTGGTGGCCAGGCCATGGGTAGCCCGCAGAAGCAAGCCTTGACTCCACTGCCTTGGATGCCCCTGGGAGCTGAGGGGGGTGGGGCGCACAGGTGTCCACAGCAGTGTTGGGGAGAAGTGTGTGTCCAGGCAGTGCCGTGTCCTCCCACAGCCCGTGTCCCCCGCAAGACCTGGTGCCTCCGTCCCATCCTGGGGTTCTGGGGTGACCTCTGGCCAAGGGGCAGCAGGCTGCTGATGCGTGGGCAGCTGCAGAGCTGAACAGGTGAGATTCTGCAGGCCCTGGGGACAGCAGGCAGGGCAGGACCCCAGACACCACCTCAGGGCTGCGTGGAGGGTGGGGTAGGCAGGTGCGGCGCCCCGTCAGGTGGGGGCAGGCAGGTGCACCCCCCCCACCCCCGCCTGCCGTCATTGCCTGCACCGCTGTCAGACACCAGCTAATGGACACTCTGCACTGTGTCCCTGCGCGCAGCTGGGGTTCCCAACATCACCCTTGCTCCCTTGCCACTCTAGCCTGTGAGCCGGGCACTACTCCAGAGAGCAGTCAACCCCACCCGCCTGCTGAGGCCTGGGGGCAGCACGTGACATTCTTGCCCTCCCCTCTGCGCTTCCCTACCCTGGGATATGTGGCAGCTGTGTGGGCACCCCTTGCTCCACAGCCCCGGATGACAAGTTGTGGCTGGGGGTGAACTGGGCTCAAGGACACTCCTTGTGCCAAGACGGGTGACAGGAAGTACCTTCTGCCCCGGAGTGGTCCCGGGCTGTGCATGGAGGCGGAAGCCGGAGCCCAGGGCCTGGAGCTTGGCCATTGCTTGCTCCCCGAGGATAGGGAAAGTCGCGTATTTCAGGGCCCTTGGAGGTCATCAGGCCCCTTGACTGTAGGGAGTCTACTGCCTTGTCTCCCCAGGTGGGACCCCAGCTCAGGTCTTCATGGGCCCTGGGTGTTGCTGCAGCACGGGCTGACTGTGGAGGGGCGTGGGCGGACCACAGGCCCCCTGTGGCCACTCCGAGGCATGGAGCGGGGGAGGACGTACCTGTGGCCTGCGGTGGGAGAGGCTGGGACCACAAAGGTGCAGGTGGACCCATGGGGTCCCAGGGCCATGAGGGCCATTTGGAGCTGGAAGGTGACAGTCAGGGTCCTGCGTGCAGGCCAGAGGATGTCAGTACTGCCCGCTCTACACAGACCCCCACAGGGCCTCACTGCTGCCCTGCTGCGCTTCAGCTCCGGAAGCCAGCGTCCCCTGCTCAGCGTCGGGTGGTCCCTGCAGGGGCTCAAGCAGGAGGCGGTGGCTCCTGGCATCTGGGTCCAGCGGCGAGCAGCCTCCCCACAGGGGTCTAGATCATTCCAGCCAGCCAGGGTGGCAGGAAGAGGCCCACAGTGCCCAGCAGGCAGACCAGCACAAACACCCACAGGAAGATGCGGTCGATGACCATGGCCACGTACTTCCAGTCCTCCTTGACCTGCAGACAGATGCCAGTACCGAGTTCTGTTCCCCAGCCTTTCCACTGAGGTGGTTGCGGTGCGGCACCCACACACACGCGACCACAGCTGCACAGAGCAGACTGCTGTCAGGAGGGCTGGAGGGGTGCCATGGCAGGCTACACGCTTGGCTTGGGGCCCTAGCATGCTGTTCTCAGCTGAGCTGACCTGCTTGGAGGGAGGAAGGGCAGGTGAGAGGGGCTGCACTGGATTCAGTGCACTTCAACCAGTGTCACGTGTGAGCAGAGGCTGGTAAGGCAGCAGGTGGCTCTGCATGCGTGTGGGAGACCTGGACAGAGGTCCTGCCTCAGGCCGGCCCAGCTCTGGCCACTGTTGCCATCTGGGGGAGTGAACCAGCGAACGGAAGAGTCTGCCTCTTGCCCTCTCTCTCCGCAGACTAAATAGGCACATCCTTTTGTGTATTTATTTCTATTGGAAAGCCAGACACACAAAGAGTGAAGGAGAGACAGAGAGGAAGATCTTCCATCCGATGACTCACTCCCCAAGTGAGCGCAACGGCTGGTGCTACGCCGATTTGAAGTCAGGAGCCAGGCGTTTCTTCCAGGTCTCCCATGCGGGTGCAGGGTCCCAAGGCTTTTGGGCCGTCCTCGACTGCTTTCCCAGGCCACAAGCAGAGAACTGGATGGGAAGCAGGGCCACCAGCACATGAACTGGCACCCATATGTGATCCTGGAGCATGCAAGGTGAGGACCTTAGCCACTAGGCTATTGCGCCAGGCCCCAAATACATCTTTAAAAACAAAAAGATGACTACCTGTTTGGGGGTGTCCTGGCCTGGGACAAGAGATTTATTCTCACTTTGCCAAGCCTGGTGCACCCACCCATCTGGGAGATGGCCAAGGAGGAGGCTGAGGATGCACTGGGCAACAGGACCTGAGCACTGAGGGCCCACCTGCCCCAACTCCTTGCTTAGACGTCAGGTTGACATCTGGGGTCCCTGAGACATGAGCGGCCAGAGCTAGCCAAGGTGACCCCCCGTCCTAGTCCATGCTTGTCTGCCACCCGAACAGGGCCAGGGCCTTTGTGGCCGAGGCGTATGGAGTCCCTGCTGCCTGTGCCACTGCCTGTGCCTGTTGGTCTGTTGGGCATGGACAGTCAGCTGTCTGAGAGACTCCAGATGAGGCTGCAGGCTCTATCAGAGCTGTCCCTGGGAGCTGACACCAGTGCACATCCTGGGCCAGCAGGTAGTGGACGTGCAAGTGGCCGGGCCGGATGGGGGCTTCTGCCCAGCTCTGGCCCCAGCTCCAGGGCCATCTGGCCCAGCCCCCACCCTGGGCCTTGCGGAGCCCTGTCCCTGTTTGCTTGGGCTCCTGCCCTCTGTGCCCAGTGTCCTTCTGTCCCCGGAAGTTGCATGGTCACACATCAAAACCACCCTACTGGCCCAGCCTGCTTCCTGCCGCTCCAGAATGAGGTCAGGCAGAGGAGTAGCGGCCGGGGGAGGGGGTGGGGTGGGAGTAGGACTCAGGTAGGGACCTTTCGCCAGGTGTGTGGGTTGAGAATGAGTGGTCATGGCCCCTCCCCCGCCCAGCAGGGACCCATAGCCACAACAGGGCCTGTGGCTTTCCGATCATTCCCCAGAGGTGGGTCGGCCCCTCCCAGCCTCGGCCACGGCGCACTCACCGAGGAGTCGATGTCTTCCGCCCGCAGGTGGTCTGCGATGTACTGGACACCCTCAACCGCCCGTGTCAGGGCTGGGGACAGCAACAGGGGTCTGGGTGGTGCCTTGAGCGTGGGGCCAGGGGATGCAGGGGGCAGCTCCTGCCGGCAGGTGCAGCCACATGAGGAGGGTGGGGCCAGGAGTCCTGGGCAGCCAGCCGTCTGGGAGGTGTCGTCCTCGAGGGGAGAGGAGACCTGGACGCTGCGGGACCGGCACCGCACGCCACCCTCGGCTGCCTCGCTGGGGCGGGGTGTGTGCTGGACGCTTGGGGACCGGGCTTTGACAAGCTCTGGGGAGAGGCAGGGGCTGAGCTTTTCAACCTCTGGGGGCCTCTCGTGGGAGGGCGAGGCAGCAGTGCAGGGTGGCTGGGCCTCCACCGTCAGGGTCCCAGGCGGCCAGGGGCGCGGGGCGCCACCCACACCCCCATGCATGGCCTCGAGCAGCCGGCGGCAGCTGCCCTTGGCCGGGCGCTGCATGAGCAGCAGGCGGGGCAGGAGGTCCAGGAAGACGCGGCGCACCCAGGCTGGCATGCTGTGTGTGCGTGGCGAGCGGTGGTGCACGTTGAGCACGAAGACGGTGATGATGATGGAGAGTGTGACGAAGACCATGGTGAAGAGCAGGTACTCGCCCACGAGCGGGATGACGAGCGAGGTGGACGGGATGATCTCCGTGATGAGCAGCAGGAAGACGGTGAGCGAGAGCAGCACGGAGATGCAGAGCGTGACCTTCTCGCCGCCCTCCGACGGCAGGTAAAAGACCAGCACGGTGAGGCAGGAGAGCAGCAGGCAGGGCAGCAGCAGGTTGACGGTGTAGAAGAGTGGCAGGCGGCGGATGACGAAGGCGTAGGTGATGTCAGGGTACACCTCGGCGCAGCACTCGTACTTGCGTGTGTTGTAGGTACCCACGGCCTCCACGATCACCCACTCGCCGCTCTCCCAGAAGTCCAGTTGGTCCACACGGCTGTGCATGCTCACCAGGTCGATCTTGGCCTTGTCGTAGGTCCAGGAGCCAAACTTCATGGTGCAGTTCTGCTGGTCGAAAGGGAAGAAGGTGACATCGATGCTGCAGGAGCTCTTGTAGATGGCCGGCGGCGTCCACTGCACCCGCCCGTCGTGGAACAGGTGGGCCTTGGTCAGGTGTGTCACTGCAAAGTCCCCGTCGGCGCTGGCGGGGGAAGATGAGCACAAGCTGGTGAGGCCATGTGTCTGGCATGCACACAGCTGCACGTGGCGCTGGTGCAGGGTGCCCTGCGGGGAGGGGACCCAGAAGCTCTGGCCTGGCTGCTGCCCCCCACTTCCTGGGCATCCCCAGCACCTCGGGCCCTCAGCAAGGAGCCAGTGCAGGCAGGGCCTTGGGTAACCCGAAGGACAAGTGCCCCATACCTAGGCCCTGAGCCAGTCACTCAGCTGGCTGGGCAGACCCAGGCTGCCCATCCCTGCCTCAGCGTGGGCAGCTGGCTGTTCCAAGCTCCTGGGGTGCTGCCGAGACGGCCAGGTGCAGTCTGGAGGTGGAAATGACACCTTTACTGCTGGGCTCCACAGGAACATGGTGGGTGCCATGTGCCCCCTGGCCCTAACCATCCATTTGGACCCTTTGGGGTACCCCTAGGTCGAGACACTGTGCCTCTCCCTGGCCTATCACCAGAACCGCTCCCCCTGCAGGCCTCGGGTCCCCAACACCCCTGCAAGCTCTCACAGGAGTCCCTGAGCAGCCCCCAGTCTCTGGCCAGCAGGGCCTCTGACCTGAGCAGGGGCTGGCCATGGCCAGCAGCTCACAGGAGCAGGCCTGGGGGTCTACATGAGGCAGGGAGAGCCAGGTGGGGACACGGCTCTGGGCTGCTGCACCAGAGTGGCCAGTGGCCGTGGAGCTGGCCTAGCAGCTCCTGGCCTTACTCCCTGCCTGGCAGTTGAAACCCTATTACCATGGGGCCATGATGGAAGCTCCTCCAAGGCCTGCAGCACCCGCCGTGTGGCCCAAGAACCCCAGCCTGGCACTGGTGCAAGGATGTTCTAGCTCCCACCCCGGGAGGCCATCAGCAGGGCGTCACGTTCAGGTGCCCCCAGGCCCCCCAGCAGGCCCCAGCCCTAGCTGCCAGCTCCCAGGCCCTTCTGCCCCACAGAGTTCTGCCCAGTGAGCGAAGTGGGGGGTGGATCCCCTGCCCCCCCAGGGGTCCCAGCAGGGAGTGTGGGAAGGGAGGGGCTGCCTAGTCCCACCAGGGGACCTCCCAACTCCTGTCCCTGCAGCCCAGGGGACCTGAGGGGCATGGGGTCAGCAGGTGCACAGGGTCGGGGGGGGGGCAGCACAGGTAGCACCTCCTGTCCCAGCAGCTCTGCTAGCTATGGGGAGAGCGTTGGGGGCTGAGTAGAACCCTGGCGGCCACCCAGAGCTCACATCTCCCCTGCCGTCACTCTTGAACACGCTGCTGCTTGGGGTCAGGGGTCTGATCCCCTCTCTGCTGCGGCCCAGGCCAGCGTGCCAGCCCCACCTGCAGCACTGGCCACCACTCTCCCAGCCACACCCGGCCAGCAGGGGACTCACTTGTTATAGAGGACGATGTCTGGCCGCCAGATGAGCTCAGAGGGGATGCGCATGGAGGTGATGTTCTCATAGTCGCTGGGGTCCCAGCGCAGCTTATAATCATGCCACTCCTGGGAACATGGGTCAGCAGGTGTACAGGGGCAGGGCTCAGCAGAGGGACACAGGGGCAGGGGCAGGGCTCAGCAGAGGGGCACAGGGTTAGTTACGGGGTCCATGGGGTCAGTGGGGGCACAGGAAGATGGGGGCACAGCCTCACTCACCTGCTTGACCCACACGTTGGTGGTCATCATCTGGTTCTTCTCATCCTAGGGCACAAAGCAGGGGAAGTTCAACACCCTGCGGTCATTGCCTTGGCTCACATGCCAGCCTGGACCTAGGCAGCCAGCGAGCAGGTTCCGTCTGAAGGCCACTGAGCTACTGGGCAGCCCAAGGAACATGGGGACGTGGGGACCCAGACCTTCAGGCAGGACACTGGGTGCAGTTCTGCCCACTGCTGGGTCCCTCCTGGCTGAGGCCCCAACCCCAGCACCTGGACAGCCCCCAGCTGCAAGGCATCCTGACACGAGGCTGGGCTGCCCAGAGTGCTGAGCGGAAGCAGCCCAGAGCGCACAGCTGGGGCAGGACCCCTGCCTGCCTGTTGTGGGCTAAGGAGTTGATTGGCGCTCCTTGAACTGGGCAGGAACAGGAACTGGGCTTGTGGCTAGAAACACCTAGAAGAATTGGACTCATCTGTATCCAATTCCCTGGCTAAATTAGGACGGGGGAGGGGTGGAGTATGTAAGGAGAGGTGAAGGAGCAATAAAGGGAGACTTGGCAGAGACTTCTACCATCACTGGTCTCCTGTCGGTGCTTCATCCCCAGACCCTCTCCCTGCCCACGTTACTGGCTCTGCTGGTCGGAGCACCTGCCCCCAGAAGGACCCAGCACCAGCCAGGCAAGGGACACAGTACTCCAGCCTGGTCCCAGAGGACCCTCCATCTGCGTGTCTGCCTGTGCGTACTTGAGTGTGCGGCAGTCTGGGCCAGCAGCTCCTCCTCCCAGTAGCCCTGGGGCTGGGCCCAGAGTGCCCTGGGGAGGCCTCCCTGTCCCTGGGCCCAGTGGCTGTGTGCCTGAGACCCAGAAGGAGCCGCTGGTCCTTCACTCAGCTCCCTTGGAAGCCCTGCCTACCCACTCCTCCATATCCTGAGCAAGGGACAGCCTTGCCGGGGGCTGCCCAGCCTTGCCACAGTGATGGGGTATGGGGACGACCTCCCAGACCCTTGCCAGGCACCAGTGCCATTCAGGGCTCGGTGCAGTCACCCCAGCTGGGAGTGGGACCCAAGCCTCCCGCACAGGCCACTTGCGCCCCAGCCCCGCACCTACCACGTCGATGAGCTGGGCGATGGACAGGCCGAAGTGGACAAGGACCACGTCGGAAATGTTGGCCACGGGCCGGGACCACTTGTTGTAGCCAGAGAAAAGCTTGCGTAGCAGCCTCTCCTCTGCGTGCGCCCGGGGCTCCGCATGGCCGTTCCCTGCACCCAGGCAAGGGGTGGCTCAGGGCGGCCCAGAGGGGCTGTCCCCGGCACCTGAGCTTCCTGCAGCTCCACAAACACTGCCCTCCAGCCTGTGGCCCCGGAACAGACCCCAGGCTGGAGGGAGAAGCATCAGCAATGGGGCATGAGGCGGGTGGCATGCAGATGTAGTGTGGGCAGCAGGAGGGTGCGGGTGAGGAAGAGGGTGCCCACCCCAACCCGATGTCTCAGGCCTTGGACCATAAGTCCAGGACCCTGGGGAGCCCAGGACCCGGCCTACTGGCCATGCGTGCAGCCTGCCTCCCTGGGGAGGGGTCCTTCTCATCACATGGGGTCTCGGGGCCCTCCACCCCTACATGCAGCCAGGATATCCCTCTCTGGAGGATCCTATGGCCAGGAGAGCCACCCCAGGGCACCCCACCCCCAGACAAGGCGCAGCCCACTCCTCACTGCCTCCCTTCAGAAAGCCCCTGAGTGGGGGCAGGGACACGCAGTGGGGAGCAAGCAGACACTGAGGAAGCGAGGGGGTAACAGACGGTCCGGGGGGCGCCCCCTGGGGCGGGGACGCCCTTTCTGTTGCCCAAATTAGGGGATGGGCAGGGGCTGCCCAGTGCTGGAGCCCCTTCCTACCAGCCCGCGAGTTAACCCCCTCCGCGCCGGCACGCGCCGCAGGACCGCCTGGGCGCCGTGTCCGCGCCCTCGCGGCTTGGGACCGCAGCCAGGAGCCTCCCCGCCGCTTTCTCCGGGATGAGGGCTGCCTCGCACCTTGCGCCAGGGCACCCGCCAGGCGTCCCGAAACTCACCCGGCAGGAGGCCGACCCCCAGCAGCAGCAGCAGTGGCAACGCCGGCGCCGGCGCCCCGAGGCCCCCGAGCTCCATGGCGCAGCCGGCGGACTCTAGACTCGCGCCGTGTCCCCGGTCCGGGACCCGGGCCCGCCCAACTTGGTGTCCCCCGCGTCCTCGGTCCTCCGGCAGCTCCCCTTGCGGGGCTGTGAGCTCCACCCCGCCCGGTCCCGCCCTCCTCCCGCGCTGGGGACGGGGGAGGGAGAGGCGGGGAGCAGGGGGCGCGGCGGCAAGGCAATCGCACCCTGGTCTCCAGGGCCTGCGCCCACCTCGCGCCTGGAAGCGGACGGAGGAGGTGCGTCGGGGGCCCCAGCGGGCCAGCTCCCTCCCCCTCCCCGTCACTGTTGGCGATTCTGGGGATCTCAGCTCTCTACTGTCTCACCTCGCACCCGCACAGCCGCACCCGGGTGACACCCAAGGCTAGCGGGTGGTGGAGGGTGGGGCGTGCAGGCAGCACCCCCTTCCAAGTTGAAGGGTGGCTGCAGGTCGCCCTGGGCCTCCGTAGCTGCCTCCACTACCCGGCGCTGGGGTGGAGATGCTCAGAGACTCAGGTGGGTACGAGGCACTAACCACCCCAGCAGCAGCACCCCTGCTCTGCCCCCGCTCCGGCGGCGCCAGCTCAGGAGAGGGGGTTACTCCCCTTCTGCAGCCAGGAGCTGGCTCCCCAGGCCTCTGTCAGAGGAGCTCTGCCTGAGAGGCCCAGTGGCACAAAGCCGGGTGCACCCTGGTGGCTGCCTGGCCGTGGCATCCACATGCAGGTGGAAGTGACTCCCCGAATCTGCTCGAGATGGAGAGGCTGGACCAGCCCCTCCCCCCCATGGGTCTCCCCTCAAGGATTGTCCTGCAAGCCCCCAGAGCTGGCGCTTTGCTGGTGGGGCTGTGTCTCCAGGCAGGGGAGCTGCCCAAGCCTGAACCAGCAGGCCGGGGGAGGCCAGCCCCAGGGCTTGGACAGTGCCTGAGCGCACTCCGCCCTCTTGGTGCACACTGGGGCGCTGGGCAGCGGTGATGCCTTCTGGGTACCCTGGCTGAGCATGCTGCCTGTCCAGCCTCTCAAGACAGACCCAGCACTCCTGTGGGCTCACCCTCCTGCCTCACCGCTGACGCGGGGAGACGCATAATGAACTGGGTTAAAACCAGGAAGGCGTCCTGAGAAGACCCTGAGGTGTGAAGGTACAGAGTCCTGAGGGGCCAGCCATGGCGGTGCACAAGACAGCGCCAGGGCGGAGCCAAGCACCTGCTCCGCTGGAGGGGAGCTGGGCTCGGCACCGTGGCCCAAGGGCTGGCCAGCCGGCCCCAGCCACAGTCGCGAGCTGGGTCCGTCCCCTGCCCTTTCTCTGACAAGGACGCAGGCTCCACCCGCCCCTTTCCTAGCCAGGTCCAGTCTCCGCCTGTCAGGAATTCCCTGGAGGGAGGAGGGGGGCCGGGCGGAGCAGGAGGCGGCCGGCTCACACACAGCTGCCCGACCCGACCTCGCCGGCTCTCTCCCAGGGATTTACCGCAGGATTAGTCGGGCTCATTAGCACAACCGGCCTGGCCCTCCTCCCTGCCTCTGAATCTGGGTGGGGGGACTCTTCTGCCACCACCTGAGGGCTCAGTCCCCCGCTCCAAGCTGAGTGTGAGGGTGGATGGCGAGCCGGGCCTGGGCTCAGCTCCAGGGCTAGGTGCACCTGGTGGGGCTTCTCCCCCAGCCCCGCCCTGCCCTGGCCACCACCACGTCCCAAGGACATTTCCATGGCAACCAGCTGCTGGCTGGCCGGAGCGGGATTGGGATGCGGTGGAGCAGTGGAGCACCAGGGGTGTCCCAGGAGCCCAAGGACTCAAAGACTGGCTCGGGAGAGGGGGGCAGGATGGGGGGATCCTCGTGCTCCCCCCCCCCCGGGCACTGCCATCAACATCCCGACAGAGGGGACCTGGAGAAGCCACATGTCCACGACCATGACCAACTTGGGCCGGGCTCCGGCAGGGCTGGACAAGGGGACCGTAGGGTGGTCAGAGGGAAGGGGCGGGTGCCCATCAAGAGGCCCCTGAGACGCGTGTGGCAGGTGATGGTTGGGCCCTGGAGCACCGTGGCCAGCGGGGGCCAGGTTCCAGGCCTGGGTGTGTGTTTGGGGGCTGATCACTCCATTCTTCCTGGATCGTGCTGTGGAAGCGCTGAGCCTCTTCCTGGGGGAGCAGCTGGACGACAGCCCCGCCCCAGGGGAGAGCTCTGGACCCAAGCCAGGAGGTGTAACGCTGCCGGATGTCCTCCCGGCCTGAGCGACCTTGGCATCCTGCAGCCCGGCCAGGCCTGCTGACCGCTGCATTCCTGGGGTCCGTCCACACCCGGGCCTGCTGTGGGGGTGGGAGTGTCCTGTTCCCTTGCAGGGGTCTGGGCACACAGGATCCCCTCCCTAGTGGACCTGGGCCAGGCCTTGTCTGTGGTGCCTGGGACCCCCAGGAACCTTGCAGCCACACTCGGCATACAATGACCCTCCCACAAGCCCTATCCCATGGAGCCAGGGTGAGTGCCACAGCTGCCCCTCTCCTCAACCCACCCAGGGCGTCTCCCAGAGGAGACCACACAGGCCACGGGCAACTGCTGCTCCCCAAACCAGGGCCGGGACTCTGCGGCAGGGAGGGCCCTACCACCCAGTGCCTGGTGAGGTGTTCTGGACCCTGACCAGGCTGCCCCACCTCTTGTTCTGCCAGCTGGGACAGCTGAGGTTGTGAGGTTGTGAGAGCAGAGCCAGCGCCCGGCCCACCCCACACGAGCCCAGACTCCTCATCCTCCCTCACACCGGGGTCTCCAGCCTCTGGAGCCTCGGCCCCCAACATGGCTCCCGTGAGCTGCTTGCATGGCCGCTGCTTCCCAGTGAGACTCCACAAACAGCTCATCAGGACAGCCCAAGGCCATCCATCTTCCCAGCCTTGGGGGTCACCTGGGAGTCTCCCAAATTAGGTCATGTGCAGCCAGCCCATCTCCTGCAAGGGCTCTGTGCCCAGACCCTCAGCTCCAGCTCATCTTGCTGACCTGGCCTCTGGCCCCCTCTCCTTCAAGGGGGCCAGACCTGTCTCCCTGCCCGCACCCCCCCTGCTCATCCACACTTCGCGCTCCCAGAGAACCAGTGCCTCTCTGGACGACCCTGCTGCTCTAGGCCCAGCAAGTGTGCATCCTGCACTGGTCAGCAGGTGGTGCCTGGCCCAGGGCTGACAGAGGAGGGGAAGGGGGGAGGGGCTGGAGACAGGCAGGGCCCACAGGGAGTTGGGACACAGCTCCTGAGCCCCAGGACTGGGGCCCCAACAGAGAGTCCAGTGGGCCAGAGGCTTGAGACAAGGGGCTGCCTTTTCTTTAAAAAAAAAAAAAAAGAAAGAAACAAAGAAAAGGATTTTATATGTTTATTTGGAAGGCAGAGTTTCAGAGAGAGCTTCCATCTGCTGGTTTTCTCCCCAGATGACAAATGACCCCCCAGAAGCTGCACAGTGAGTTCATGCCATTCTCACTGGACAGTGACAGCCGTGGTCGCAGGACCCCACAGTGTGGGGTGAGGACGGACAGCTGCTGGACATAGCAGAAGACAGCGGTGGGCTCTGCCATGCCCCGTGGAGCCCGGGGAAGTTGGCACCCAGGGCACATGTCGTCAGGCTCCACCTGAGCAGGCCCAGGCGCTGCTGTGTGTACAGATGGCTCAAGAGGGCTGGGCAGAAGACGGCTGAGAGGACCTGTGTCCCAGGCCCTGCCCGGCTCCAGGGGCAGCATGCAGTGACCTCTCCCTGGCCAGAAGCATCAGATTCAGCTTGCGGTGGAGCCGGTAAGAGCAAGGGCCATGGGCATGCTGGGATGGGCAGTGAAGACCTAAGCTGGCCCAAGTACTGCCAGACGAGCCAGCCAAGACAGGCTATGTCAGCCCTTGCCTTCTGACGGCCAGGCCTGGGATCGCCCATCCCCTTGGCAGGTCAGCCGGGCAAGGTCTCCTCTGGTGTCCTGGCTGGGGTCCCCGTGGTGTCTTCCCCACTCTAATGCATGCTCATCCGGCATGTCCTCTGTTGGCGTTTAAGAATTCTGCTTCCATGGATACAGACTCCATGGGAAATGCCAGCTCACTTCCTCCTGGCCTCACCTCAGCTGGAGTCACAAACACCATTTCATCTCATGGGGCGGGCACCACTTGCTGCGCCAGCATCCCATACACATAATGGCTCGTATCCTGGCTGCTCCACTTCCCATCCAGCTCCCTGCTTGTGACCTGAGAAAACAATGGAGGAAGGCCCAAAGCCTTGGGACCTGCACCTGCATGGGAGACCAAGAAAAGACTCCTGGCTCCTGGGTTTGGGCAGGCTCACCCTTGGGGAGTGAACCAGCGGATGGAAGATCTGCTGTGCCCCTCTCTCTCTGTAATTTTGACTGTAAGAGTCAACAAAATAAAACTCTCCAAAAAATTTAGTGTCCAGATGTGTCATTTCATTTAGCTTCTTTTAGACTCTGCCTGTGTCATGGGCATCCATGCGTGCATGTTCACGTGTTTGTGTGTGTGTCAGGAGTCTAGAGAGAACACAGCCAGCAGACACTTCTGCTCTGAAAGCTTGGAAGCAGCCGTGCTGCCTTCAACACTGCAGAAAACTCAGGCATGAAAATGCAGTGGTCCAGCCCCCATGACTGTGCAGTGGTTCAGCCCTCCAGCCCTCTGTGACTGAGCAGTGGTCCAGCCCCCCATGACTGTGCAGTGGTCCAGCCCTCCCCAGGGCTGTGCAGGAATCAGGCAGTCACCCCTCAACCTGCCCACCCCAGGAAGTGCCCCCATTGTCAAGGTGGTCCCTTGGGTTTCAGGGAAATTTGTGCCTAAGGTCAGGGCTGGGTGTCCCGCGCTGCTCTTCTTGGTGGACACAGCTGGGTGAGCAAGACCTGGATTAGTTACCTGGGCATGGCCGGGACACCAAGGGCATGCAGGTCAGTGAGCCCTCAGCAAACCCTCCCGGGAGCTGCCAGTCCCTGCTCTTGCCTCTGAGGCAGCGAGTGCACCCTGCATGCCTGCTGGGTGGGCAGCAGCCTGCACAGGTAGCTCAGCAGGGCAGAGTGGCTGGTGTTGGCTGGGGGCTTGCGGGGTGCCCTCTGTCTGAGCATGGTGTCTGGGGTCCTGGCTCAGAAGACTCTAGGTTTAGAGGATGTTTTGGATGGGTGTGAGAACAGGGACAGTCCCGGGGCTGGGGCACTGTTCGACGCCTGGACAGTACCCCTCCTCTGGCTCCCTGGACTCTGGGATGCCCCCCCAGGTTTAACAACTCAGGATGCCTTCTGGCCTAAGGCCCCTTGGGGACATCAAAGGCCCCGATCCAGGCCTACAGCCCTGGGGGGTCTACAGACCCACAATGAGCTGGGCAATGTCCAGGGATCCAGGCCTGGGAGCACTGCTCAGCAAGTGTGGTCTAAAGGTCTGGCCTGGGAGAAGCGCTGGAGGGCCGTGCCTGGGATGGCCCTCCTTCAGGTCAGTGCTGCCCCCTGGTGGACACCTGGCTATGGCCACCAGGCCACAGTAGACCGACAGGGGTCTGCTGTGACTGCCCCCACTACCCCCGCAGTCCCTCCACCTGAGGAGAGGGTCTCTGGTGCTGCCCCTGATGGCCCTTCCTGGCCAGGCCAGAGGTTGGGGGCTGTTCTGGACACAACCTCTGCATCCCGCCTGCCCAGAGCCCACAGCTTTCTGGCCCCACGGCAGCAGCCCTGGGCTCCTGGATGACAGGTGGCCGATGACAGAGGGGACACAGCCAGCCCCAGAGCCCAGGTGAGGCTGATGCAGCCCCACCCAAGGCTTCCTGCCCTCAGCACCCTGACCTGTGTGTGGGGTGGGGACCTTCAGAGCCCAGGGGGTCCAACCTCCACTGGACCAGAACTGCAGGGTGATGGCCAGGGCCTGAGTGGGGCTCCAAGGGCCACATGTTCTACCAGCACATCTTGTGCCCGCAGCCCCGCACTTTCTGCCCTTTGGCGCCCTGCCCCAGGGTGATGAAGCAGGGAGGGGTTGTGGGTGAGGGGCAGAGGACAGGGCCCTGAGTGCTAGAGGGCTGGCAGTACTAGTCACCCCTCGGGGGCTGGGCATACCACACTGCCCCTCACACAGCCACGGGCCCAGGACACAAACACAGCCAGACCTCGGGGTCAAGTGGGCCAGGCTTCAGCTCTGTGAGCTCACCCCACTGGAGGTAGCTGGGACAGCAGGTAGGTGCCTGGGCGCCGGCTACTGACTGTCCATGGCAGGGTCCTACCCAGGTGCCTGGACTCCCAGTGGGACACAGCCCCGCCTCTAGGCTGCCCCCGTCCCAGCCTTCTGGAGGCCCTGGGAGTGAGGGTGGTGCTCAGCAGGTTGCCCAGACCAGCCACACGACAATCAAGAGCCGACACAGGGTCCAGGTGGAATTGCTGCATTTTACTAAGTGCACAGGGGCACGGGTATCCAACTTGGCCCGGACAGCAGGGCTTTCCAGAACAACCCTCCTCCCCAGCCCGTCCCAATGCCAGCCAGTCCTTGGGGCACAGGTGCCCACCTGTCCATGTCTGGGGTCTCAGAGACCCAGCAGTAACCCCAAGGTCACTTTCCCACAAGGACCCAAGCACAGGGGCAGAAGGCAGATCAGAAGCATCTTTGGAGCAAGGACAAAGTGCAGACGGCAAAGGCCACAGCGCCAGGGAGGGGGCAGCCACGTGGGGGAAGGGCCACAGGCAGGGGTGGGGGGCAGATCCTGGCAGGTGGAAGGCTTGGGGGTGCCAACGGTTACTCTGCTGCCCTGTGCTGGCCACTGGCCATGCCAGCTGGAGGCAGGGCCCCTGTGTGTCCATGACCAGGCATGCAGTGACCTCAGGGACTTTTGTCCATGAACGTTAAGACAACACCCAGAGACCATCCTGCCTGGCACTTATCTGGGTGGCTGGACCCTGCCAGCCCCACAGCTGTCCTTCCAAACATGGCCTGTTCCTTTATGCTCAGGAAGGCACAGGGGCCACCACCAGCCCTAAGCTTCTTCCAGAAAACCCTCCCCACTGGAGCAGGGTCAGGGGAGCCCAGTATCAGAGCAGGAGCTGGCCTAGCTGACCACTGAATCATCTGGGCAGAATTGTAGCCGTGAGACCCCATGCCCAAGTGTCCGCCCACAGCTGAGGGCCACCACCCACTCATCTGCTGTGACCACACTGTCCCCACCACAATGAGCCTCCTGCTCGGCCTGGCCACTTCCCTCTGCTTGTGTTGAGGGTGGCCGGGTCTGTCTCAGTGCGACCCCATGGATGACACCCCCGCTCCTACACAGCAGTGCCCTCCTGGAGTGTTCGTAGACGGCTCGGACCCCTGTGTGACCACACGCAGACTCCGTAGCCAGGAGAGATGTGCTCACGCGGCAGCAAGCGGGAAGCATGGAAATGCTGGTTCCGACCTATTTGGGCAGGGCCCTGGCTGAGCCTCTAGGGAGGTGCCCTCGGCCATCTACTGACCGCCTCCAGGGCAACACAGCCGTACTGGGTGCTGGGTCAGAAGCCAGGGCGGGGCCTGGGAAAGCTGGACATGCAGACGTGTGTCCACAGAGCCGGCAGAGAGAGGGCAGTGGGAAGACTGCACGGAGCCCTCGAGAGCAGGGTCCACCCCGGCTCCGTGGCCGAACACCGAGGACTGCCCAAGTTGTTGATTCAGGCAGGGGCGGGGGACATGTCAGCCATGAGTGTGGACACAGCCATGTTGGCACTGTATGCTGAGTGTGCAGACACTGTGTGGGCTGTGCATACATGCGTCAGGGTGCACATGTCCATGTATGCAGCTTGTGTGGGCTGGACACACACCTTTGAGCGTTCATGTGTGCATGGCTACAGCCATGTGTGCTGGTGTGCTGAGGGGGTACATGCTCTGCAAACACCTCATGTCAGGGACCCTCTGCCCTTGGTCACTGGGGTCCCACGCAGATCCCAGGGTGCCTGCCTGAAGGCCGAGGCTAGCTCCCAGTCTGTCTTCCAGGGGCAAACATCAACAGCCCGGGGGCAGGCACACCTGTCCTGCCTCTGCGACTGCTGGGTAGCCAGGACTGGGGGGGAGCCGCCTGCCTGTCACCCAGCCCTGGGGCTTCCAGCGCGGCGGGGTGGGAGGTGGAGCTCCTAGATGTGGCATAGGCCCAGCTGTCAACAGCGGCCACAGGGAATACCCAGGACAGCCCTGTGCCATCTCTACCCACCTGCCCCCTCCCATCATGCTGCCCACTTTAGAACAATGTCCACATGGGAGAGGGAGACTTACCACCCCTAGAGCCCAGGGCCACACGAGCAGGGCTGAGGGTGCCCCATGCAGGGCTCCCTGATGCTGTTTCCAGAGTTCCTTTCAGTGGGCCCACACTGCCCAGCTGCCCACCCTGACCCCATCCTCGCGGCACTGCCCCCAGAACGCCCTCGGACCTGGGGCCCAGGATCTGGTGGAGCAGGGCTCCAGGCACAGACAGAGCTTGCCAGCCATGGCAGGCAGCCAAGAGGACTCCGGGCACTGCCTCCGGGTCCCCACAGCTTGCTGGCCAGATGTGGGACGCTCCTCACACAGGCTGTAGGGCCTGCCGAGGGGTCCCATGGTCTCACCCCTTCCTCAGCTCTTGGGCAGGGTTCTGAGACCCTCAGCTCCCAGAGGAGCAGGGTAAAGTTGCTGACCAGCAGCTGGCTGGCCGGCCGCGTCTCAGTGGGCAGTCAGGGTGAAGGACACAAGAGCCAGCTGGTCGGTGAGGGACAAAGCTGCTGCACCCTCTGGGTTGGCATCGGTAGGACCAGGTCTGCCCTCCCCATACCCTGCTCCCGGTGCCATAATGCCACCTCATCTACTCCTGCTGAGTGTGCCCTGGGCCCTCACCCTCGCAGGCAGGGTGGCCACAGCTACCCCGGGGTTCCCTGCTGTGGACAGTCCCCGCCTTGCAAGGGTCCCCAGGGCAGCGCCAGGCAGGGCAGCCAGGGGACCAGCGGCCTCACTTCCTGGGCCCTGCCCAGCCCATGTCGCTGAAGGGGCCCTCACCAGTGGCCGAGCGGGGTGGTGGCCCACAGGGCGTGCAGAGGTCTGAATCCGTGTCCGACTCGCCCTCAGCGATGTAGGGGCGCACACGGGCCCGGGGCGCCACGGCCGCACAGCAGCTGGTGAGGGCGTCCAGGTTCTCCTTGGACTGGGAGATGCTGAAGCCACTGAAGGAACGCTCCAGCTCCTCGTGGTCCACGGACGGGATGGAGATGGACGTGTCGCTGTCCCTTAGCCCCGCCTCCGGCCGACTGCCTGGTGCTTCCTCCGGCCTCAGGAACTCGGCGCTGGCCCTGTGGCCACCGTAGGCTGACAAGGACCGCTCATGAGCTGGGGGTGGCGGGATGCGTACTAGTGAGCCGGGGTCCCCCACGGGGGATGCGCCAGGGCCTGGGCGCTGCCATGAGGAGGCGGAGGGCGGGCCCTGGGCAGGCAGTGCTGAGAAGTTCTTGTGGCCACCAGAGCTGGTGGAGCGCACGACCTTGATGACACAGCCGTGCCGGTCTGCCTGCTGCCGGCTGTCCTCGGGGCTGTGGTAGGGCGGCGCCGGCTCTGGCTCCTTGGCCCCAAAGTAGGCCTCCGTCTCGGTCGGGGGAATGCCCATCCGCTGTGTGTAGATGCTGACCAGGAAGTCCAGCTTTTTCTCCATGGACAGGACCTGAGGGTGGAGCCAGAGGGGCTGCTGGGAGGAGGGGCGCCACGGCTGCCCCTGGCCAGTGCTCCCAGGAGCAGACCCCATATGGGGGTGGAAGCAGTGAAGGTCCAGCCGGGGCCTGGGACTCCAGAGCAGGAACTCACACAGCAGCTTGCCCAGGGACGCAGGCTCCAGGCCGCAGGGGCCAGCTCAGAGCCTCAGGGGAGCACGTGGGGTCCGGGGGCTCTCACCTGCTTCTCCACCTTGCCCAGCCGGCCCATCATGCTGGGGTCCTCCGGCAGCTCTGCCTCAGCAGGGCCCTTGGCACGCTCCTTATCGGTAATGGCCGGGCCCCGGCCCACGATCTGGTCCACTCTGCCAGGAAGAGACAGTCCCCTGTGTGAGCTCGGGTGGGTGTGGCTGGGTCCTGCCCTTTTCTCCAGGCCCAGCCTGAGCCCCCGGGGCAGCAGGTATCAGGGTGCAGACAGCAGTTCCCACCTGCTCCAACACCCCGGGGTCCCATTCCCTGTCCCTATCTGCTCCGCTCAGGGCCCAGCACCCTAGGAGGGGTCAAGCGGGGAGAACATCCACCGGGCCATCCACCCTCACCTCCTCAATTGCCGGGGCCCACAGAGGCCCAGTGGGGGGTGTCAGGAGCACAGAGAGTACCACACCCTGCTCAGCCCATTCCGGGCTGCACAGGGCCTCCTCGGGCCCGGGGCTCAGTGCCGGCAGCAGACAGAAGCGGGGCAGTGAGTACAGGTTCCATGCGGGATAAGGCTGGGAGGCAGGGACACGGGGCAGCACAGGGGACCGCAGCACACAGATCAGAGGGGTGACAACGGGGCCGAGGTCACATGTCCATACACATGCGCGGGTGTGTTCACAGGGCGTGCTTGAGTGGAGTGTCCATGAGTGTGCCTATGTGCCATGTTGATGTCTGTCAGAGGGCCTCTGTGTGTGCAGGCGCAGAATCGAGCTGAGTTCATCTGAGATGAGGCTGCAGTTGCCCAGCACCCGAGTACAAAGGCGGGCTCCTTCAGCCCAGCACCCTCGGGCTCAGCCACACTCACCGCGTGCGCCCTGGTCGCCTTCAGTCTGGGCAGCTGGGGGAGTGCTCCCTCTCTTCTGGGGGGCTCGGAGGAAGGGTTCAAGCCAGCGCCAGCTGGGGTGCAGCCCGCCATGCTGTGCTGGGCTCATGCTGCCACATGCATGGGGTGCCCCTGGTTCCAGGCAGATGCCAGGGGCACACAGAGGGGCTGGGGCTCCTGGCTACCAAATGTCCACGCAGCCCAGGCACAGGGGTCCAGCGCCTTCACCCCTGCCACATGACGGGCGCCGCCGGCCACTCAGCTGCTCCTGGGGCTGGGGAGAGTCCTTCCAGGAGCCTGTACCACCTCCCGCCTTAGGCCTTGAAAGTGGGGGAGAGCCTGCAGGACCCACCTGGCCACGGCTGGAACATGGACAATCCCTGCCTGCGTCCAGCTGGGCAGTGGCTTCATGGGCAGGTGCCTGGCCCGGGGAAGGGTCAGAACCGTCCCCTCCCTCCTGTACCCAGGCCTGATGACCTCATGTGAGGACGCCTGGCGGAGTACAGGGCAGTGGTCCTGCCACAGTGGCGCCCCACGCAGGAAGGTGTGTGGCCAAGCGTGGGTCCATGTGGCATCGGACGTGGGCAGCATCACCTGAGTGGGGCAGGGAGATCTCGCAGCCAGATCCCAGGGAACAGACCCTCAGGCTGCCTGGCAGGAGGCCCCACCCTGCTGGCCCCATGTCCCTGGGAGCACACGGTGCTGCGTCATGTGGCCTGGGCGAAGGGCTGTCCACTCCACAGACAGGCGGCAGGCGCCGGAGTCCTGACCTAGGGGAGAACCGGGGCGACTCTCGCGGAGGGGCCGAGGGTCCTTTGCTGGGGTACTTCTTGTGCCGGGGAGTTGAAGGGGGTGGGGGGCCCACAATCATATCTATCCTGGCAGAGTAGACAAGAAAGAGACACCAGCACACGCATCGTACAACAGCCGCCCACAGCTGCCGGCAGCTTGGCCCGCAGGGCTGGTACCACGCTTGGCTCAGCTGCCGACACTCCTGCAGGCGGGAGCCCGGCCCAGGACAGGGCCCCGGGGGGTGGGGCCGGGGCGGTAGCTTTGCTTCCAGACAGAAGGGGTAGAAGAGGGAGAACGGAGGATGGGACACAACATCCTGGTGACAAAAACAGCTGTTGTGAGAGACACGGCCACAGGCATGAGAGTCAGGATGCTGGGACACGCTGATGAGCACACACCCACACGGCAATGCACACACGAGTACACACACCCCACATGCACACCCACACCCCACACATACGGCATACACAACGCACACACATGGACAGCACGTGGTCACTGCTGGCGTGGTACCACGCCCTGGCTCCCTGCGAAGCAGGTACCGAAGGCCAGAGGGACCATCCCACAGTATCCACAGCGTCCCTGCAAGGGCCATGAACATAATGGGACATAGCTCCTCAAAGTGCTACCCACACTCACACATGTACACATTCATATCTGTGAGCGTGTGTGTCCCTGCGTGGGAGGCATGCATTACCCTGGAGGTGTGCAGTCCTTGTCTGTGTGTACGTGACCCCCACGTATCTCATCTTCTGGCCCAGGTCCTCGTCTGTGCACGCACACACACACACACACGTATCTCATCTCCTGCCTGAGGTCCTCGTCTGTGCACACACACACACACACACACACACACGTATCTCATCTCCTGGCTGAGGTCCTCGTCTGTGCACACACACACACACGTATCTCATCTCCTGGCCGAGGTCCTCGTCTGTGCACACACACACACACACACACACACACACACACACACACGTTTCTCATCTCCTGGCCGAGGTCCTCATGCGTACACACACATATCATGTCTCCCGGCCAAGCGGACAGTGGCAGAGCTGGTGAGCTGCAGCTTCCCCTCAGGTAACCCCGTGCCCTGGACAGGGGCACTGTGGATGGGAGCATCCTGGTCCGTGTGGCTTTATCTTACAATTCCGTTCCCTGCATGCATGTGCCCACCTACAGCACAATCACGCGTCTGCAGGTGTGCCCACGTGTGCACTCACACACAGGCCCACCAGTGTGGGTGGGGAGAAAGGGGAGGACAGACGTGTGCACACAGAAAGCTGAGGAGCAGTGGACATGGCGGGCAGCAGAGGGGTGGCTCTTGCCTGGACTGCAGGCTCTTGATGCGGGACAGCATGTCCAGGTGGCCGGCCGAGTACTGCTCGATCACGTCCATCACATCGTATGGCCGCAGGCTCTCCTTGAACTTGCGCTTGGACACCAGGAACCTCATGACGCTGGGGGCGGGGAACGCTGGTGTTGAGGGGCACTGCCAAGCCACAGGCCTGGCCCTTTCCCAAGAGCCACGCTCAGGGCCCGGCTGCCCTTGCCTGGCCGCCTCAAGCCCCCCTGTGCCCTGCGGGCCCCAGGCGCCGCCCCCCCAAGCCTTACCACACAGCACGGATGCTGACTTTGAGGCCAGGGGTCAGGTCCTCGGCCACAAACTCGCAAGTACAGCTCTTGTTGTCCTCCACGGCGTCCTCTCCCGGGAGGCTGGCCTCTGGGCACAAGGGGACAGAGCTTGTGAGCGCAGCCACGGTCCCCTCCATGGGTGCCACCTCCAGCATGTCCTTCCTTCCTGTGGTTCTGCCCTCGTGACCAGGCTGCCGCTGCAGCCCCCAGAGGTGCAGGACAGAACAGGCATCATACAACAGGAGGGGACCCGTGCACACACATACATTCACCCACACACAGCACTGACACATAGGCTGGACACAGGTGGGCACTGTGGGCAGTGTCGAAAGCCAGAGCATGTCCGTGTGGGCAACAGGTCAGGTCCGGCTGCTCCACGCCCCACCCAGCTTCCTGACGGTGGCCTGAGAGCAGCAGAGGAGGAATGCTTGGGCCTGCACCCACAGTGAGTCCTGGATGGAGTTTCTGCCTTCAGCCCGCCTCAGCCCCAGCGGTTGCCACCATTTAAGAGAGTAAACCAATAATTTAAAAAATTCCTCTATCTGTTTCTGTAGCTTATCTTTCAAATACATAAAAATTTTAAAATAAAAGAGCCTTGATCACGTGGCTGGAGCCCACATCCCCCGGTGGCTGGAGCCCACATCCCCCCATGGTTGCAGTCCCTACCTCCCCAACCGTACCCCAAGCCTGGCCACACGCACCTTCTGAGTTCTGCCGAGAAGCAGCACCCTTGATACGGAAGGCCTGGCGGGCACGGCTGCGGTCCCCAAAACTCCAGCTCTTGGGCACCTTGCTGGGACTGTCCTCCAGGCTCTGGCCAGCACTGGGGGAGCGCCGGACGCTCTGGGCCTGGGGGGACCCCTTGCCCTTGGTCGCCACGCCGCGGGGGCTGGAGAAGACACGGTCCTTCAGGCTCACCTTCTGGCTGCTCCAGCAGGACCATCAGAGAGAGAGAAAGAAAGCCAGGGGTCACTCAGCACGTGTGCGGATGGCAGGGAAGCAGGGGACGCGGAGCCTTGCTTTCTGGGCAGCCATGGCTAGTGCCTCCCTAGCTCTGCCTCAAACTGCAAGCCGGAGGCCTTCATGGAGGCCCCGGCATCCTGAGAACCCAACATCCCGGCAGCCAAGGGGATGCACACACTGAGGGGACTCTCGCAGGAAGCCTCGGTCCCAGGCTATTTGGTCACCATGGAGACAGTTCCGGCAGCTGTGGACTGGGACCCACAGCCTCACTGCCTCCACTGCCCTTGTGGGTGGGGAGTTCGCTCACGCAGTCAAGGACTTGTGGGTTAGTTTCTGAGGGGGCAGCGGTGGGGATGACCACACCCTGGCCTCGGCCCTGCTGAGCAGCCACTGCCAGGGAGGCAGGCCAGCAGAGGACACAGGGATGACCGCCCACCACTGGGCCTGGTCTACCCCGTGTCCCACAGGCACCCGGGGCACAGGTAGGGGCAGCAGCTGCACCCGCTGAGGCCTTTTAGGGGCAGGGGCCAGGATGCCCAGTCCAGATAAGCTTCAGTTCCTCTCCAAGGGAGATGCCCCTCTGTGTACCATGCCAGGCCACAGGTGGTCTCGCCTCTCCTGAGCACTCTCCCTTGCCCCAAAGCCCAGCCCAAGACACTCCCGGCCGCAGGGAACACAGACTCTGTGACCCCCTTGCTCATCTGCGCCCATGGGCAGGTGCAGCAAAGGGCCAGAGCCCCTCCCCGTGCAAGCTTGGCTGATGAAGCTCCCGACAGTGGGCAGGCAAAGGCTGCGGTGGCAAGGATGAGTCCAAACTCACTCAGCCATCGGGATGCACAGGGCTGGGGGTGGGGTGCCCACGGAGCCCCATCCTCCTGGCCAGCAGGTGGCCAGAGAGCACTGCGGCCTCCTGCGGCTGCTGCTCTCACCTCTGTCAGAAGCCCAACCCAGGGCCAAGGCCCTCGCCATGATCACCCAGGGTCACCCAAGAGCACTGCAGCCTGGGCCTCGGCTTTGGACCTGAAGGAGACTAGAGCTAGAGCAGGGGCATGTGGCCAAGCCTGGACACGCCCCTCCATCTCCAGGTCCCCCTCTGGCCATCGTCACCTGCAGGTGAGCTCATTCCCCACGAGCTACGGGCAGAATAAATGCAGGGGGCTCTGACCAGGCAGACACCTCAAAGTGGGAGGGGTGGGAGTGAGGTCCCCAGTGGAAGCCCAGGGAGAGGCAGGGCAGCTAAGCCTGGAGCCACGCTGAGCAGGGAGAGGGATCCATGCGCATCAGCCCAGGCTACATCTGAACTCCCTGGGCCCAGCAGCTCTGGACAAGAGGGGGATGGACAGAGGGCACTCAGGGACAGCCAAGGAGCATGAGGTCTCCCCCAACCCCACTGGCCCTAAAAAAGGCAACAGGCTAGGGCAGTGGTCTCAGCCTCCAGGAAAGCAACTGTGCTGGCCATGGCCAGCCTCAGCCACCCGGTGCCTGATGGGAGGCTTTGTCACCTGAGCCACAGGTCAGCCAGGGCTGGAAGAGCAGTGGGGAGGTGCTAGGGAGCCCTGGTCACTCCTGGAGGCTGATGTAGCACAGGGGGCAGCACCCTGGGTCCACATCTCGGGACGGGCCCCTGCAGGATGTTCTTGACAGACACACTGAGGAGGGTGCTGGCCCGCGGGGTGCTGGGGAGGGGGCTGGCCCACTGGGTGCTCCTGACAGACATGCTGGGAAAGAGGTTCAGCGCCCCCATCAAGGGCCTCAGTTCATGCAGGAGGCAACAGTTACCTCCCCCAAGAGAGGCTAGGATCAGGAGCTTGGGGACCCCCAGCTTGGGTGACCCGAGTTCAGCTAGCAGTGCCCTTGACACCCCAGAACTTCTTCCTGCAGATTTTTAAGTAAAACCGGAAAACAAAAAGTGGCCCAGTTGGACTGGGTTAGGGGTCCCATGTCTCTGCTTCCTCCCGGGGGGCCTCCCAACATGGGGCTCCCCACCCCACATGGCCCTGGACCCTGCTCCCGGAAGACCCCCAGGTGCCCACTCTGCACTAGCCCCTTGGACCAAGCTCTCAGAAGCCTCTCCACGCAGGCAAAGGTGTGCGCCCCCGTTGGCCAACTGGCTCCTCGTTTCCACATGGCCACAGGCCCCCAGTGCCTGCCACAACAATGTTCCCCTAAGAAGTGCCTCCTGGGGGCCCCAGTCGGTGACCTGGTCATGTAGTCTGGGGTGGCGCCTGTGCCTCATGGGGTACCAAGGACCCCAATCAGCGCAGACCAATGCTGCAGAACCCCTGGGACCAAAGACTGCCCCACAGGGCAGGGAATGGAAAGGGAAGATGAGCTGGAAACAGCAGTCAGGAACACAGCCTGGGCACACAGGCTCAACCCCACGAGCCGCCCAGGGCATGGCCAAGGTGTGCCCGTGTCAGGGCCAGAAGGGGTCTCCGCGGCAGAGTAGGAGATCCTGGTGTCCACACCAGCTGCCCACTCAGACCCCACGGGCAGGGGCCTCAGGGGCCCTGGAGCACCGCCGTGCCCCAGTGCAGGATGGCACCTGCCCTCCTCAGGCAGCCTGCCCGCAGCAGCCACCACGGACAGACTTCTTCCTGTGGACCTGCTGCACCACTGAGAAGTGCGTGACTGTCCACGGAGGACGGAGAGCCCCCCACACCACCAGTCTCCAGGAGCAGCGGGCAGAAGTTGTCCTCACCTGAGGGCAAGGCCCTAGGTGGGCAGAGCGTGGGGAGGCATGGGCAGGCAAGCGAGACAGGAGTGGGGGCCCTGGAACGTACCGGAGCGCGGGGCCGAGGGTCCTCACCTGTGGTTCTGCTTCGGGGTCAGCCTCTTATCCCCAAAGACAGAGCAGACGAGAGAGCAGCCCGAGAAGGGCAGTGACAGGGATTAAAAGCACTTGGGGGGCAGTAAGGGTTTCCAGATTTAGGGGAGGGGCAGGAGAGAGAGAGAGAAAGAGAGAGAGAGGCTGAGAGAAGCTCGTCGGAGGGGCAATTCCGGCAACGGCAGCAGCAGAGACCACAGGAGCCAGGGCAGGACGTGGCAGAGCAGAAGTCTGCCCCATAGGCCGCCGGGATCTCCTGTGTTCCTCCAGCCACCCGGACAGTGTCATGAGAGAGGATGGTCCCCGCTCCATCTCACCCTGATAGGCACCCTCCAGCCAGGGCCACACTGGGCTCTGGGCCAGCCTTTAGGAGTTTGGAGCCCAACTCCTCAGCTTGAGGCACTGGCCACCGTCTGTTACTGCAAGGCTGGAGTGGGGGCCCCGTTCCCACACCCGAGCAGCCTGAGCAGCCCCGAAGCCCCTCCACCCAGGAAGGCGCAGGCAGCCTGGGTCTGGGATGCGAGGTCTGCGACGTGCCCTGGCTTCTCTGTCCACTGCAGACAGCAGCAGCTCTCATGTGCACGTGGCCCACCAGGGCTGGCCCGGGGTCCCATGCAGGAGGCCAGACTCTGAGCACAGTGGGAGCACGGGGAACCCCAGACACGGTCAGCGCCTGAACAGCATCAGGACGGGCAGAAAGGGGCTTCCCCACCCTTCCCAGGACAGAACCCAGAAACTCATCCCCAAGATACTCCGTGCTCAGCAAGCACACAGCCTACGTGGGGCTACAGGACAAGCCCGGCCCCTCCCAACCTGCCCAATCCTGTGCTGCCACACATCAGGGGTCTACCCAGCTTGGCAGCATGCAGCAAGAACTCCAGCAGAAACTCCTACACCAGCAAGTGGAAGGATGCGTCACGGACACGTGAGGGAGCTACCAGAATTTCCCAGGGCACATAGCAAAGAGCTGCCTACTGAATCCAAAGAAAAGGGGAGGAACATGGGAGCCATTTGATATGAGAGCAGGTGCACACCCACGGGAGAGCGTGAGGACCTGGCAGGTGCATACCCACGGGAGAGCGTGAGGACCTGGCAGGTGCACACCCACGGGGAGAGTGAGGACCTGGCAGGTGCACACCCACGGGAGAGCGTGAGGACCTGGCAGGTGCACACCCACGGGGAGAGTGAGGACCTGGCAGGTGCACACCCACGGGAGAGCGTGAGGACCTGGCAGGTGCACACCCACGGGAGAGCGTGAGGACCTGGCAGGTGCACACCCACGGGAGAGCGTGAGGACCTGGCAGGTGCACACCCACGGGAGAGCGTGAGGACCTGGCAGGTGCACACCCATGGGAGAGCATGACGACCTGGCAGGTGCACACCCACGGGAGAGCATGACGACCTGGCAGGTGCACACCCACGGGAGAGCGTGAGGACCTGGCAGGTGCACACCCACGGGAGAGCGTGAGGACCTGGCAGGTGCACACTCCCACCCAGGCCCAGCCGTAGTCTGCATCCTTTGCACACACACAACATGGACGCTGTGCCCCAGCATAGGCAGAGGGCGGTAGCAGGGCACTGACCTTGCTGTTGGCTCCGGCTGAGGCTCCTTCCTTCAAACAGAAGTGACAGGATGTCATTTCTGGCTCTGCTCCCACCAAGGGTGCCCCCCAAGACCCTCTACTTCCCCCTCCCTTGGCCCTCGGGCAGCAAAGTATTCAAGTACCCACCCATGTGCAGCCTGCGGCAACCGTGAGAACCCAGTGAGCAGGTCAGGGGCCTCAACCGAAGGGATCCCCATGTGGCCCGAGAGGCCAAAGGTCTGAGCCCCATGTAGTACCCTGCTCTCTGTATCCCCTTGAGGTCAAAGTCACAGGTTTGGGCCTGGCGTGCTAGCCTAGTAGAGAAAGTGCTTGCCTTGAATGCACCAGGATCCCACAAAGGCACTGGTTCTAATCCCAGCTGCTACACTTCCCATCCAGCTCCCTGCTTGTGGCCTGGGAAAGCAGTCAAAGCCTTGGGACCATGCACATGGGAGACCTGGAAGATACTCCGGGTTCCTGGTTTTGGATCGGCTCAGCTCTGGTCATTGTGGCCACTTGGGGAGTAAATCATCTAACAGAATATCTTCCTCTCTGTCTCTCCTCCTATTTGTATATCTGATTTTCTAACAAAAATAAAATAAATCCAATAAATAAGTAAATAAATATATCTTAAAAAAAAAAAGTCACAGGTTCCAGACTGGGAGCCCTCTCATGGAGGCTGGAGGACACTGACCTCAGCCAAGCCAGCTGCGGCTCTCAGCCTCCACTTGTCCAATGTGTCCAGTGTGTCCGTGCGTCCGCCCGTGGGCCTGTGTGTGTCCGTGCGTCCGCCCGTGGGCCCACATGTGTTCATGCGTCTGCCCGTGGGCCCGTGTGTCCATGCGTCTGCCCATGGGCCTGTGTGCCCCCATGCATTCATGTCTATCTGCCATGTGCCCTCGTGTGCTCGTGAGTGTGTGTGCCCTCTTGAGCCTGCACTGCCCACCTCAGGTCAGATTCCGTAGCAAAGGAGAATGGCAGGAGAGGATGTTGGTGCTGAGCCTGCAGGAGCCCCTGGCGGCCCTACTCTACGCCTCCTGGCCCCTCCACCCACGGCTCCCGGAGAGGAGGTCCTGAGGGGCAGCGGCGGCAGACCCCCCGGCCAGGGGCCGCTGACCTGAAGGTGAGTCCAGACTTGCTCTTGAGGTTCCTCAGCAGCTCCAGCTGGTTGAGCGGCGGAATCAGCCTGGACGAGAGGAAGTACCGTGAACATCCACCAGGCGTGCCTCGGCCCTGCTCTCAGCGTCCACCAGCCAGCCCCAGGGGCGCCTCGGCCCTGCTCCCAGCGTCCACCAGCCAGCCCCAGGGGCGCCTCGGCCCTGCTCCCAGCGTCCACCAGCCAGCCCCAGGGGCGCCTCGGCCCTGCTCCCAGCGTCCACCAGCCAGCCCCAGGGGCGCCTCGGCCCTGCTCTCAGCGTCCACCAGCCAGCCCCAGGGGCGCCTCGGCCCTGCTCCCAGCGTCTACCAGCCTGCCCCCAGGGCACATTTGCCCAGCCCCAGAGTGCACTAGCTGGCCCCCAGGGCACCTTAGCCCTGCCCCCAGCGTCCACTAGCCAGCCTCTGGGCTGCCTTAGCCCTGTCCCAGAGTGTACCAGCTGGCCCTCGGGGCACCTTGACCCTGCCCCGAGTGACCATCAGCTGGCCCCCAGGATGCCTTAGCCTGCCTCCAGTGATCACCAGCCAGCCCCCGGGGCGCCTTAGCCCTGCCCCCAGCGTCCACCTCTCAACTGGGAATGGGGTGTGGCTTGATGCCACAGCTATCGCCCCTCACCCTGTACTGGAGTCACCCCCTCTTCTGACCCAGGGCAGCCACAGACAATAGCAGGTAGTGGTGCCGAGGCAGTTACAAGGGGTGCCCACCGCTTCCACAGTCTCCGACTCACCTTGCAGAACAGGCCCGGGGCTCCCTATATCCAGGCACCCTCCCCAGGCCTAGGTGAATGCCCTGCACTGCGGCCCCAGGCCTGGCTGCCATGTCTCTGTCCCTGCCTCCCAAAGATCCTGCCCCGAGGACCGCCAGCCCCAACTGTCCTCTGGGTACCCTGGGCCCCAGCCCCTGCTCACCGAGCAGCCCCTGAAAGATGGGCCTCAGCATGGGGTTGCCTACCCTTGCCCACCACATTATTCTCCCCCTGCCCCCCCCCCCCGGTCGCCCCAGGGGACAAGCAGGAGCAGGGCAGCCGGTTAGTCAGCTAGTGCTGGGGGTGTCTGTCCAATGGTGCCTGGCCCCTCCCAACCCCGCCACCACAAACACACACACACACAGGCGGGTTAGAGCATCCAAGCCAGACGGAGCCACCATGCCTGGCCACTCACGGCAACAGGGACAGTCACGGAGCCAGACAGGGTCAGATAGGGTCAGGCGGGGTCAGATGGGTCAGGCGGGGTGGGGCCAGGACAGCTCAAGGTCAGATGGAGACCAGAGGGGATAGTCGCTAGGGACAGAGGGACAGAGCGCAAGGCCTTGGCAGGGCCTGACACAGCCTAGTTATCTCTGGCTCATCCTGGATGGCAAGGGAAGTTGTGTGGATGCTGGGCCCGACAATGGCACTGGCTGGGGCCTGAATCTGGAGGAGGGCCGGGCCTGGGATGAGGAAAGTACAGCCGTCGCCCCCCCGCCGCCTCCCTCCGCCCCCTCCCCCCCCCCCCCCCCCCCGTCACCTTCATCCTCTGTGGGGGAGCCCAGGGTGCCCAGGGAGCGGCCCAGGGGCTCCATCCCAGCACAGTGCCCATGAGGGGGCCACAGGAGGCTGGACAGGGCCAGCCAAGCCCAGGGTGCCTGGGGAGCGACCCAGGGCAGCTCTGTCCCACTCTGAACCACGCCCCAGCTGGGCCTGATGGTGGCCCTAGGCAGAGCAAACACCACGGGCGGGGGTAGGACAACGCAGGGAGCAGGCAGGGGAACACACGACCTGGGTCAAGGGCACGAGGGGACAGGAAGCACAGGAAGGGCCGGGAGGACATGGAGCACAGAGCGGCCAGCCGGCCACACAGCTCCTACCTGGAGGCGCCGTAGGTCTGAGTTTGCGAGCTTTGAGTGTTCACACAGGGAGGGGCGGGAGCCAAGGAAACGGGTCAAAAGGAAGCGGGCAGGAGTGAAGGGCAGTGGGGGCAACAGAACAGAGAATTAACACGGTGCCCAGGGCCTGGCAGACAGACGCAGGCCAGGGCTGGCCAGGTGAACCACCAGCAACAGCGGGGCGGGTGGGACTCAGATGACCCCCGCCTGCTCTCCCGAGGCAGCCCCCCGACTGGGGGGGGCAGCCTCACAGGGTCTCTTCCCAACCCCAGCAGACAAACCCCCTGCCTTGTGGGGGGCTCTACCTGCACCCCCAGGGAGGAGCAGACTCCCAGCCCAGGATCCACGGGCAGCCATGGCCTGGGGACATGACCTGTGAGCAGCAGGCCCGCAGCCAGGACTGGCAGCATGCGGGCGCAGGAAGCTAGAGAGGGGCAGAGGAATAGGACCCCGAGATGAGCCCCCAGCCCCCTCCTGGAATGAGAACATTTCAAAGGAAAAAGTCAAGCTCGGTCAGGCAGACACTGCAGATGCCAGCGTACCTGTACATGGGCACGGCCACTGTGCGCTCATAGTACTGCCACGTAGAGTGCAGGTCAGTGCGGGACAGGTTGGTGGCATAGAACCTCCAGGCCGACTGTGGGAGAGACCAGGTGAGAAGCGCCTGCCCATCCACAGCCTCTGCCCAGGGCTCAACCCCCAGGCCCTCTGCCCAGGGCTCAACCCCCAGGCCCTCTGCCCAGGGCTCACCCCCAGGCCCTCTGCCCAGGGCTCAACCCCCAGGCCCTTTGCCCAAGGCTCACCCCCAGGCCCTCTGCCCAGGGCTCACCTCCAGGGCCTCCCAGTCCTCACCCCCAGGCCCTCCCAGCCCAGGGCTCACCTCCAGGGCCTCCCAGCCCAGGGCTCACCCCCAGGCCCTCCCAGTCCTCACCTCTGGAGCCTCCCAGCCCAGGGCTCACCTCCAGGGCCTCCCAGCCCAGGGCTCACCCCCAGGCCCTCTGCCCAGGGCTCAACCCAGGCCCTCTGCCCAGGGCTCACCCCCAGGCCCTCTGCCCAGGGCTTACCTCCAGGCCCTCTGCCCAGGGCTCAACTCCAGGCCCTCCCAGCCCAGGGCTCACCTTCAGGCCTTCTGCCCAGGGCTCACCCCAGCCCTGCCAGGCTCCCTCCAGGCTCCAGTCCTCCCCTATGCCCCCAGCCCAGGCTCCCCAGCCTCCGCCAGGCTCCCTCCAGGGCTCCCAGCCGGCTCACCCAGGCCCTCCAGCCGGCTCACTCCAGGCCTCTGCCCAGGGCTCACCTCCAGGCCCTCTGCCCAGGGCTCACCCCCACGCCCTCTGCCCAGGGCTCACCCCCAGGCCCTCTTCCCAGGGCTCACCCCCACGCCCTCCCAGCCCAGGGCTCACCTTCAGGCCCTCTGCCCAGGGCTCACCCCCACGCCCTCTGCCCAGGACTCACCCCCATGCCCTCGTCCCAGGGCTCACCCCTAGGCCCTCTGCCCAGGGCTCACCCCCATGCCCTCTGCCCAGGGCTCACCCCCAGGCCTTCTGCCCAGGGCTCACCCCCAGGCCCTCCCAGTCCTCACCCCCAGGCCCTCCCAGCCCAGGGCTCACCCCCAGGCCCTCTGCCCAGGGCTCACCTCCAGGCCCTCTGCCCAGGGCTCACCCCCAGGCCCTCTGCCCAGGGCTCACCCCCAGGCCCTCTGCCCAGGGCTCAACCCAGGCCCTCCCAGCCCAGGGCTCACCTTCAGGCCTTCTGCCCAGGGCTCACCCCCAGGCCCTCTGCCCAGGGCTCACCTCCAGGGCCTCCCAGTCTTCGCCCCTATGCCCTCTGCCCAGGGCTCAACCCAGGCCCTCCCAGCCCAGGGCTTACCCCCAGGCCCTCTGCCCAGGGCTCAACCCAGGCCCTCCCAGCCCAGGGCTCAACCCAGGCCCTCCCAGTCCTCACCCTAGCTGGCAGCCTTGGACAGACCTACAGGACATCAGCCTAGACATCCCCTGCTTTGGAGCAGGTTCTGTAGGCAAGCTTGCCCCTCCTGGTCTGCAGCAGTCTGCACTCCAGCCGCACTTGGGCCTGGGACATTCTGCAGGTCAGAGGAGAGGGAGGCGCCCAGACCCAGAGGGCCAGCAGGGGCAGTAGGAAGGGGTGGGCCTAATGTCCTGGCACTCTGGGACCTGAGGCAAACCCTGTCCTGGGCAGCTGACAGGCAGGGTGACCTGGGCAGCAGCCTTCCTCACACAGCCAGCACTGTGGTTTCACTGATGACACCCCACATAGACTGTGTTTCATGTCCCAACTGCCCCACTGCCCATCCAGCTCCCTGCTAACAGCCTGGGAAAGCAGCAGAGGACAGCCTGAGAGCTTGGGCCCCGGAACCTGCTGGAGAGACCTGGAGGAGGCTCCTGGTTCTTCCTGACTCAGCCCCAGCCAGTGTGGCCATCTGGGGAGTGAATGAATGGATGGAACATCTAGTTCTGCTTTCATATAAACATCATGAAAAATAAACAAACAAAACAGTTGCTTGGAGCATAGGCCGGTTCTACTCCAGCAGTGGGGCAGGGGTGGCCAGCGCAAGGCCTGGCAGCTTGAGTAGGACCAGTGCCCCTATACCCCCTAGGCCGTGAGTGGCTGGACACCACCCAGGCCCTGCTCCCACCTCCCTGGGCCTTGCACCAGCCAGCTCACCTGGATCAGGCCAGCTGCCGGGTTCCGCCTCTTCTCAAAGTGCTTCTGCCGGTGCTGCTCCTGTACCTTCAGGGCAAAGCCAGAGCCCAGGATACCCTGCGAGGGGGCAGGGTCAGCTCAGGCCACGTGCCCGCCCAGCCTCCGTGCAGCAGGGTTGTCCATGCCAGTGTCTGCAGCCTGAAACCGGGAGGCCCTGGAAGCCACAGCCCCACACAAGGCTCCATCCAGTGACCAACAAATTTCAGCAGGATGATGGGCCTGGGCACTGGGGCCAGGAGGTGACCATCCCCAAAGGCCAGCAGCCCCTGCCCTGGCTCCATGGAGGCTGGATCCCACAGAAGCCCACAGTGGAGATGGCCAGGGCAGCCGAGTAGCCCCATCTGCAACGGGGGCGGGGGAGGGGGACTTGGGACTCACCGCAGGCAGCGCAAAAAAGGAGACGCCGATGAGGGTGAAGGTGGCAGCTAACAGCCTCCCGTTCCAGGTCTGGGGGTACTTGTCCCCGTAGCCAATGGTGGTCAGCGTGATCTGGGGACAGCACAAGCTGATGCCACCAGTGGCTGGGGCAGAGGCCTCTTCCCCATACTGCCCATGTGGGGCCCCAGGGCGCCAGGGTCAGTGCTGGCTGCCTTTCCCCACATCCCCTGCCCTGTGTGTGAGGGGGTCACCGTGAGAGCCCCAGGAGCACAGCACACAAGAAGGAGAAGCAAGGGGGGACTCCTGATCCTTTGCTGAGGTCACCCAAGGAGCTCGGGTCCTGGAGGGTGGAGGTGGGGGCAGGCTAGAAACAGTGGGCAGCCAGTGGCAGTGGACAGGAGGGTAAGGAAGAGGGTAAGGAGGGGACCATCCCCCTGAGAGGTCCATAGATGGCCCTGAGGCTCCTGGAGAGGTGGCCAGGCCACCTGCTGACTGAGGGGGCCTGGTGCGGGGCACAGTGTGTGGGGACAGGTCTCCAGGCCCTGACTGAGGGGGCCTGGTGCGGGGCACAGTGTGTGGGGACAGGTCTCCAGGCCCTGACTGAGGGGGCCTGGTGCGGGGCACAGTGTGTGGGGACAGGTCTCCAGGCCCTGACTGAGGGGCCTGGTGCGGGGCACAGTGTGTGGGGACAGGTCTCCAGGCCCTGACTGAGGGGGCCTGGTGCGGGGCACAGTGTGTGGGGACAGGTCTCCAGGCCCTGACTGAGGGGCCTGGTGCGGGGCACAGTGTGTGGGGACAGGTCTCCAGCTGCTGACTGAGGGGGCCTGGTGCGGGGCACAGTGTGTGGGGACAGGTCTCCAGGCCCTGATTGAGGGGGCCTGGTGCGGGGCACAGTGTGTGGGGACAGGTCTCCAGGCCACCTGCTGACTGAGGGGGCCTGGTGTGGGGCACAGTGTGTGGGGACAGGTCTCCAGGCCCTGACTGAGGGGCCTGGTGCGGGGCACAGTGTGTGGGGACAGGTCTCCAGGCCCTGACTGAGGGGGCCTGGTGCGGGGCACAGTGTGTGGGGACAGGTCTCCAGGCCCTGACTGAGGGGGCCTGGTGCGGGGCACAGTGTGTGGGGACAGGTCTCCAGGCCCTGACTGAGGGGCCTGGTGTGGGGCACAGTGTGTGGGGACAGGTCTCCAGGCCCTGACTGAGGGGGCCTGGTGTGGGGCACAGTGTGTGGGGACAGGTCTCCAGGCCACCTGCTGACTGAGGGGCCTGGTGCGGGGCACAGTGTGTGGGGACAGGTCTCCAGGCCACCTGCTGACTGAGGGGCCTGGTGCGGGGCACAGTGTGTGGGGACAGGTCTCCAGGCCCTGACTGAGGGGGCCTGGTGCGGGGCACAGTGTGTGGGGACAGGTCTCCAGGCCCTGACTGAGGGGGCCTGGTGTGGGGCACAGTGTGTGGGGACAGGTCTCCAGGCCCTGACTGAGGGGCCTGGTGCGGGGCACAGTGTGTGGGGACAGGTCTCCAGGCCCTGACTGAGGGGGCCTGGTGCGGGGCACAGTGTGTGGGGACAGGTCTCCAGGCCCTGACTGAGGGGGCCTGGTGCGGGGCACAGTGTGTGGGGACAGGTCTCCAGGCCCTGACTGAGGGGCCTGGTGTGGGGCACAGTGTGTGGGGACAGGTCTCCAGGCCCTGACTGAGGGGGCCTGGTGTGGGGCACAGTGTGTGGGGACAGGTCTCCAGGCCACCTGCTGACTGAGGGGCCTGGTGCGGGGCACAGTGTGTGGGGACAGGTCTCCAGGCCCTGACTGAGGGGGCCTGGTGCGGGGCACAGTGTGTGGGGACAGGTCTCCAGGCCCTGACTGAGGGGGCCTGGTGCGGGGCACAGTGTGTGGGGACAGGTCTCCAGGCCACCTGCTGACTGAGGGGCCTGGTGTGGGGCACAGTGTGTGGGGACAGGTCTCCAGGCCCTGACTGAGGGGGCCTGGTGCGGGGCACAGTGTGTGGGGACAGGTCTCCAGGCCCTGACTGAGGGGGCCTGGTGCGGGGCACAGTGTGTGGGGACAGGTCTCCAGGCCCTGACTGAGGGGCCTGGTGCGGGGCACAGTGTGTGGGGACAGGTCTCCAGGCCACCTGCTGACTGAGGGGGCCTGGTGCGGGGCACAGTGTGTGGGGACAGGTCTCCAGGCCCTGACTGAGGGGCCTGGTGCGGGGCACAGTGTGTGGGGACAGGTCTCCAGGCCCTGACTGAGGGGCCTGGTGCGGGGCACAGTGTGTGGGGACAGGTCTCCAGGCCCTGACTGAGGGGGCCTGGTGCGGGGCACAGTGTGTGGGGACAGGTCTCCAGGCCCTGACTGAGGGGGCCTGGTGCGGGGCACAGTGTGTGGGGACAGGTCTCCAGGCCCTGATTGAGGGGGCCTGGTGCGGGGCACAGTGTGTGGGGACAGGTCTCCAGGCCACCTGCTGACTGAGGGGGCCTGGTGTGGGGCACAGTGTGTGGGGACAGGTCTCCAGGCCCTGACTGAGGGGCCTGGTGCGGGGCACAGTGTGTGGGGACAGGTCTCCAGGCCCTGACTGAGGGGGCCTGGTGCGGGGCACAGTGTGTGGGGACAGGTCTCCAGGCCCTGACTGAGGGGGCCTGGTGCGGGGCACAGTGTGTGGGGACAGGTCTCCAGGCCCTGACTGAGGGGCCTGGTGTGGGGCACAGTGTGTGGGACAGGTCTCCAGGCCCTGACTGAGGGGCCTGGTGTGGGGCACAGTGTGTGGGGACAGGTCTCCAGGCCACCTGCTGACTGAGGGGCCTGGTGCGGGGCACAGTGTGTGGGGACAGGTCTCCAGGCCACTTGCTGACTGAGGGGCCTGGTGCGGGGCACAGTGTGTGGGGACAGGTCTCCAGGCCCTGACTGAGGGGCCTGGTGCGGGGCACAGTGTGTGGGGACAGGTCTCCAGGCCCTGACTGAGGGGCCTGGTGTGGGGCACAGTGTGTGGGGACAGGTCTCCAGGCCCTGACTGAGGGGCCTGGTGCGGGCACAGTGTGTGGGGACAGGTCTCCAGGCCCTGACTGAGGGGGCCTGGTGCGGGGCACAGTGTGTGGGGACAGGTCTCCAGGCCCTGACTGAGGGGCCTGGTGCGGGGCACAGTGTGTGGGGACAGGTCTCCAGGCCCTGACTGAGGGGCCTGGTGCGGGGCACAGTGTGTGGGGACAGGTCTCCAGGCCACCTGCTGACTGAGGGGCCTGGTGCGGGGCACAGTGTGTGGGGACAGGTCTCCAGGCCCTGACTGAGGGGGCCTGGTGCGGGGCACAGTGTGTGGGGACAGGTCTCCAGGCCCTGACTGAGGGGGCCTGGTGCGGGGCACAGTGTGTGGGGACAGGTCTCCAGGCCACCTGCTGACTGAGGGGCCTGGTGTGGGGCACAGTGTGTGGGGACAGGTCTCCAGGCCCTGACTGAGGGGGCCTGGTGCGGGGCACAGTGTGTGGGGACAGGTCTCCAGGCCCTGACTGAGGGGGCCTGGTGCGGGGCACAGTGTGTGGGGACAGGTCTCCAGGCCCTGACTGAGGGGCCTGGTGCGGGGCACAGTGTGTGGGGACAGGTCTCCAGGCCACCTGCTGACTGAGGGGGCCTGGTGCGGGGCACAGTGTGTGGGGACAGGTCTCCAGGCCCTGACTGAGGGGCCTGGTGCGGGGCACAGTGTGTGGGGACAGGTCTCCAGGCCCTGACTGAGGGGCCTGGTGCGGGGCACAGTGTGTGGGGACAGGTCTCCAGGCCCTGACTGAGGGGGCCTGGTGCGGGGCACAGTGTGTGGGGACAGGTCTCCAGGCCCTGACTGAGGGGGCCTGGTGCGGGGCACGGTGTGTGGGGACAGGTCTCCAGGCCCTGACTGAGGGGCCTGGTGCGGGGCACAGTGTGTGGGGACAGGTCTCCAGGCCCTGACTGAGGGGCCTGGTGCGGGGCACAGTGTGTGGGGACAGGTCTCCAGGCCCTGACTGAGGGGGCCTGGTGCGGGGCACAGTGTGTGGGGACAGGTCTCCAGGCCCTGACTGAGGGGGCCTGGTGCGGGGCACAGTGTGTGGGGACAGGTCTCCAGGCCCTGACTGAGGGGCCTGGTGCGGGGCTGCCTCTACCCTGTAGGCCCTGACCACTAGAACTGCAGGTGCCAGTCGGGACAACAGTATAGAAGGCTCCAGAACGGGTCAAGCACCAGGGCCACCTGCCCAAATCCCTTCTTAACTAAGTGTGTCTGAGGGTGCAGCACACTGCTTCGCTCCCCAAAACCTCAACGGCAGCAAGGTGGGGACAGGGGAGACAGATGCGGGTGGGGTCGTGGACACAGCCCAGCATCCACAGTGCCCGCTTCAGAGTCGTTTTCTCGGAAAGCAGCAGTGTCAGTGGCCCCGCCTCAGCCACGAGACACACTGCTCCAGAGGCCAGGAAGACCCCGGGGCAGAAGAGGGGCAGTGAGCACAGGGCTTGGGAGGGGGGCCAACAGCACGTGGACAGCAAGGCTCCCAGCCACCGACTGCCCACAGCAGTTGTCTCCAGAAGGACAGACCGGCCAGGCCAAGGACCATGGCCACAGGACCCCCCAGGATAGTGATTGTGCCCGCCCGTGCCCACCTCAGGGCACAAGATCCATGCAGGCTTGACCAGGGTGGGGCCTCCATGTCCCTGGCTGACCACTGAGCAGCTGGGTCCAACGTGGGGTCTGCCCTCTGACCTCTGCCTCCTCTGGCAGGGAACAGCAAGATCCTTCTCAAGACCCTGAGCGGGCTACTGCCCTGCAGGGGAAGGAGCTGGGTGGGGCTGGGCTGTGCTGGGAGCAGCTGCCCCTGGGCTACCCAAGAAGCTGTGGGACCCTGGGTGGGGCTCCAGCTGCACTTAAGCCCAGGTGAGCCAGACTGGGGTGGGAGCCGCAGGGAAGGGGCTGGCAGCCCTCCCTCCCCTGTCCCCCCTGCGTGGCCAGGAAGATGCCCCACAGAGTTCCCCTCCCCTCTTGTAGCTGGGCGGCAGGTGTTGTAGCCATGGGCAGCCAGCAGGGACCCCGGGGGACAGAGCAGGTGCTGTTGGGGGGTACACAGCAGGAGTTGGGGACTCACCAGGCCCCACCAGAGTGCATCAGCATAGGTATCAAAGTGGTCGTTCTCGCCCTTCTCTGCCAGATACACCAGGAAGGAGGCCAGGATGAGACAGAGGAAGCCAATGTACCAGGCCGTGACCAGCTCCTGTGGGCAGCGGGCAGCGTCAGCAGCCCCGGCAGCGGGCCAGTGTGAGGCTTAGCCCCAAGAACTCTCCAGGCACAGCTCCGACACCCCAACACACACAGCGTTCAGAGACGAAGGGTGAGCCCCACCTTCTCCCCATCCCGGGCAGGAACAGGGAAAGGGGCTGAGCTCAACACAGTGGGGCCTCACCCGTAATACAGGATGCATGGCCCCAGCCCATTCTACCGGGCACAACCCCAGCCCCCAGCCCACCAGGCCCCCACAGTCCCCAGCCCACCAGACCCCCGCAACCCCCAGCCTCCCACAGCCCCCAGCCCACCAGCCTTCCACAGCCCCCAGCCCACCAGCCTTCCACAGCCCCCAGCCCACCAGACCCCCCCAGCCCCCAGCCCACCAGACCCCCACAGCCCCCAGCCCACCAGGCCCCCACAGCCCCCAGCCCACCAGACCCCCACAGCCCCCAGCCCACCAGGCCCCCACAGCCCCCAGCCCACCAGACCCCCACAGCCCCCAGCCCACCAGACCCCCACAGCCCCCAGCCCACCAGACCCCCATAGCCCCCAGCCCACCAGGCCCCCCAGCCCCCAGCCCACCAGCCTCCCACAGCCCCCAGCCCACCAGGCCTCCACAGCCCCCAGCCCACCAGGCCCCCAAATTGCTCGCTCACCTTGCTGTGGGCATAGACCACAGAGCCCAGCAGCTTCCAAGTGCCACCCCTTCGGTCCATGCGAATCATACGCAGGATCTGCAGGAACCGCAGGCTGCGCAGCGCTGAAGTGGCGAAGACGTTGCCCTGGGAGCCCGCGGCCAGCACCGCGATGGAGGCGATGAGCACCATGATGTCTGCGGACAAGTACGTGGTGTCTGCAGGGACCGACCTGGCCTGCTTCCCACGCCTTGCCCACCAAGGCCGCTCCTGCCCGCCCAGGCCCCGCCCACCCTGCAGCCCCGCCCACACCATGGCCGGCCCCGCCCACCCTGCAGGGCCACGCCCCTGGTGGCCACGCCCCCGCCGCTCACCAATCACACAAAATGGCTTCCGGGCGAACTTGAGCCGCCCCCTCCAGCCGCGGTAGCGGCAGCAGCAGCCGGCGGCCCAGATCCGCACGAAGTACTCCACGCCGAACACCACGATGGTCACGATCTCCTGCAGACACAGCGCAGCTGACACAGCGGCCACCTGGCCTGGGGACGGGGGCCACAGCGCAGGAGGCCTCTGCCGGGCACTGCTCAGCCGCCAGCCACCCCAAGGCCCCAAGGCCTGCAGCCCGGCCCTTCCCTCTGCGACCCGGCCAGGGGCGCGGCCTCCCGGTGGGCAGCAGCACCGAGTCACCCCCCCCCCGTTGCCAGGGTACACCCCATCACGCAGCCGCACCCCTGGCTTCCACCTGTGTAGGACACCCAGGGCTGTGGGCGAAGGGCTGCCTTAAGAGAACCCAAGGGTGGGCAGCGCCAGACCCGCCAGGACGTGGAGAACTGGAGGGCGGGCAGTGGTGACACCTCTGGGAGGAGGGTCGGCTGGCGGACCTGCCAGTCTGCGAGCGGGCCAAGCGCGGTGGGGAGGCCCCGGGCACTCACTAGGATGTAGAGGGCGCCCTCGGAGCTTTTCTCGTATTCCTTGATGGTGGAGAACACGGACAGCACCAGGCAGGAGAAGACCAGCAGGAACCTGGGAAGATGCAGGCGTGACATGGTTGCAGGTGGAGCTGCCCACAGCCAAGGGGTCGGCAGCCCACTGAGGGCCACGGTCTGAGCAGCCCAGGCGGGTGGAGCACAGAACACGCCCCAGCAGAGCCTGCTTCCCACGGGGCCTTAGCTTTGTCCACATTTCTGCACTCGCGAACCTGGGTCCTGACCCAGGTAGGTGAACGTGGCAACCATGTACTTAGTGGGAAGCTACTGGGGGACAAGTGAACGGTCCCACCAAAGATGGGCACACCCCATCCTCACTGCACACAGTAGGCCCTCAGGGAGCCCCATCCTCACTGCACCTTAGGTCCTCAGAGCCTCCTGTCTGTAGCATTCTGTCTCCCCCCTTTTTGTGGGGTGCTCTGTGCTCCCTCACGTCTGACTGAAGGGTTGGTCTGGGATTCCTGCAGGCACGTGGCCCCGGGAGCAGCCAGGGAATCCGCAGGATGGTGACCTCTAGGGAAATCGGCCGCGGCAGAGGCCAGCACAGGCTCGGGTCCTGGGGCCAGGCATGGCAGCAGTCCCTACGCCTCCCGCTGAGCCCCACAGGGTCCCCCCGGGCCTGGCAGACATTTAGCACTGCCACCAGGAACCCCAGGCCGGGGGCACCTCCTGGGGCAACACAGTGGCTGACTCCTCTGGCTTCCGGGGGTCCCGGTCAAGGGCAGTGGTGTTGGCAGTGTCCACCACAGACTCAACACTGCAGGGAAATGGTCACATTTCAAACTGCAATTAATTTCCTTTTCTCGCGGTTAATTTATTCAATTAGCAGAGCCTGTGCCTCTGGCTGCAACTCCCATGCCGCAGCCAGGGCCCTGGAGGCCCGGGCAGTGGGCGGTCCCGGGGCAGGAAACGGGGAGAGGACCAGACCTTGGCTTGGTCAGTGGACAGGTAATCCTGGCAGGCCTCCCAGAGGAGGTGAACATGGGGCCGAACACTGCAGGGGCTGGTGAGTGGAGAAGGAGAGGCAGCAGACCACAGGCCCCTGGGGCCAGGCACTGCTCTGTTCAACAGCTGCCAGATCAGGCATCTCAGAATGTTCTGGAAACCCCGGAGGCGGGGCACACATGACAGATTCAAGGCTCCATGGCCCCTTCTGGGGGATCACGGGGACAGAGACTGTGAGACATTCTGGAAGGTGTAGACCGGTGCAGGTAAGCACTGGGGTTGGGAATTCTGCAGTGGAGACATGGGGCCCTGAGGTGTCTACACCCCTCTCCTGGGCCTCACCAGAGGGGACCCACCCCCCAGGAGGAGCTGTGTGGCAGAGGACTGGTCCAGGCCCGGTCCCACAGCTGGGGAGCCACCTGGGGACTAAATCAGGGTACAGAGCCATATGGGTCAGGCCATTGGGAAGTGGCTACAGCTCCCCCACCTCCAACCAGCCTGAGCATGCCACAGGACTGCGAGGGGGTGCTGGTGAGGGGACAGCCTCTGCCACCGCTCCCAGCCACACCGCACCGAAAGCCCTTCCTACAGCCCCGTCCAGCAAGGGCCAGGCCGGCGGGCCAGTGGAGCTACACACAGCAGTCAGCTGCAGGGGCTTCTCTGGCAGCTGTTGCCAAGGAGACGGGCACAGCTAGCAGCTGGTCCAGACCCCGGACGGGGCAGCAGGGACCTGGGCCAGCCCGGCCAGCTCCTGGCTGTTGAGAGCAAGCAGCTGCTGGGGTAACCATCTCCCCAACCTAGCCTGCCCCCGTGGGGAGGGTGGTGGTCACCCCACCTGGCAGTAGTAGGTACTGAGGGCCAGGTCCCCTCTCTGAGAGGAGGGCGGGGTCCAAGGACGAGCCTTGGGGGGGGGGGTCTTTGGGCAGGTGGAGGCACAAGCAGCCAGAGCCCCCTCAGCAGTCTGGCACAGGAGCCCTGGGGGTGCACATTGTGCTTGGCTTGCACTCAGGAACCTCACCCAAGGAACCTACACCCCACCCCGGCCCCCACCCAGGTCCAGTGCCCCAATGGCAGGCCTGCTGTGGCGGCTACCCTGACCTCACCTGCTGGGACAGATGTTGAGCCGGGCTCCAGTGCAGAGGAAGCTGCCTGCTGCGTACTGAGACATGGGGCGAGTAGACACGTCTCACACAGCCAACTCTGCCCCTGCTGTGGCCAGCGAGCAGCCCAGGCCAGGCTCCCGGGGGCCCCTCTGCTGTCTTGTCCATTAGGGCCAGCCCCAACCACGGACTGGAATCTAATTTTACCAGCTAATGAAGTGCCACGCTGCCAGGACCTGCAGCCACCTCTGCCGTGCCAGTGAAGCAGGCGGCGCCATGCCTGAGGCTGTGCTGGCCCATCCACAGAAGAGAGCCCGGTCTAGGACCAGGGTATGGTCCCCCTCAGCAGGGCAGGCCCTGGGCCCAAGGCTGGGGACCAGGAAACCACAGCTTGCAATGCTCAAGGCCCAGCTGGGCACCTGGGACCTTCAGGGCTAGTCCTGGCCGGCCAAAGCCCTCCCTGCCCCGAGCAGCCCTCCGGTCAGCACCCAGGACAGCACCTCTGGCCAGGTCTCTTGCAGTTAGCACAGTCCCTCAGTAATCCCTGGCCATGAACATCTTATCTGGGCAGCCTGAAGGACCAAGAACCACAGCTGAGCATTCAGGAGACCCCTCGACCAGCTCTGCTGACAGAGGAGGCGTAAGGCTGCCCCATGGCGTCTGTCAGCACTTCCCAAACACCAACCCTGCCTCTCAGCCCAGGGTGCCCAGGACCCCCACTGCCCAGGGGCTGAGCTGTGCCAACCCGGGAGCTCCTGCCAGGACCCATCCGGCTCCCCTCCCCAGGCTCGGAAGCCTAGCTCCGGGGCAGCAAGAGTCTGAGCAGCTTCCCACCTGTCCGCCCCAGCAGCTGGCAGCGTCCTCTAGATGAGACAGGCACAGTGAGCCAGCTCTGCCCGCTGGGTCCGACAACATGGCAACTCAGGATGCAAGCATTCGCAGAGGCAGCCTCAGGGTCCTGTGCCCCCGGCCACACACACCAGGACATGGCCCCCGGGTTTCTGTGAGCAAAGAGCAGAGCCCCTCGCACAGCAATGGACACAGCAGGACCAGGCACAAAGCAAGCAGTGACCAGGACCACTGCAGAAGGGAGGAGGCCAGGGCAGGGCACGTGGAGCACTTTCAACAAACTGTCTTATAGGTTCTGGAGTTTCACGCCGAGCTGGCTTGACTGAACACGGGTATGTGTGTGTGTGTCCAGGCACGTGTGTGAATGTGTGTGTCCAGACACATGTGTGTGAAGGTGTGTCTGTGTGTCCAGGCACATGTGTGTGAATGTGTGTGTCCAGACACATGTGTGTGAGTGTGTCTGTGTGTGTCCAGGCACGTGTGTGTGAGTGTGTGTGTGTCCAGGCACATGTGTGTGAGTGTGTGTGTGTCCAGGCACATGTGTGTGAGTGTGTCTGTGTGTGTGCGTGTGTGAGTGTGTCTGTGTGTGTCCAGGCACGTGTGTGTGAGTGTGTCTGTGTGTCCAGGCACGTGTGTGAGTGTGTCTGTGTGTCCAGGCACATGTGTGTGAGTGTGTGTGTGTCCAGGCACATGTGTGTGAGTGTGTCTGTGTGTGTCCAGGCACATGTGTGTGAGTGTGTCTGTGTGTCCAGGCACTGTGTGAGTGTCTGTGTCCAGGCACGTGTGTGAGTGTGTCTGTGTGTCCAGGCACGTGTGTGTGAGGTGTGTCCCTGTGTGTGTGTGTCCAGGCACGTGTGTGAGTGTCTGTGTGACACTGTGTGAGTGTGTCTGTGTGTGTCCAGGCACGTGTGTGAGTGTGTCTGTGTGTCCAGGCACATGTGTGTGAGTGTGTCTGTGTGTCCAGGCACGTGTGTGAAGGTGTGTCTGTGTGTGTCCAGGCACATGTGTGTGAGTGTGTCTGTGTGTGTCCAGGCACGTGTGTGTGAGTGTGTCTGTGTGTCCAGGCACGTGTGTGAGTGTGTCTGTGTGTCCAGGCACGTGTGTGAAGGTGTGTCTGTGTGTGTCCAGGCACATGTGTGTGAGTGTGTGTGTCCAGGCACATGTGTGTGAGTGTGTGTGTGTGTCCAGGCACATGTGTGTGTGAGTGTGTGTGTCCAGGCACATGTGTGTGAGTGTGTCTGTGTGTGTCCAGGCACATGTGTGTGAAGGTATGTCTGTGTGTCCAGGCACATGTGTGTGAGTGTGTCTGTGTGTGTCCAGGCACGTGTGTGAGTGTGTCTCTGTGTGTCCAGGCACATGTGTGTGAGTGTGTCTGTGTGTGTCCAGGCACGTGTGTGAAGGTGTGTCTGTGTGTGTCCAGGCACATGTGTGAAGGTGTGTCTGTGTGTGTCCAGGCACGTGTGTGTGAGTGTGTCTGTGTGTGTCCAGGCACATGTGTGTGAGTGTGTGTGCGTCCAGGCACATGTGTGTGAGTGTGTCTGTGTGTCCAGGCACGTGTGTGTGAAGGTGTGTCTGTGTGTCCAGGCACATGTGTGTGAGTGTGTCTGTGTGTGTCCAGGCACATGTGTGTGAAGGTGTGTCTGTGTGTGTCCAGGCACGTGTGTGAGTGTGTCTGTGTGTGTCCAGGCACGTGTGTGTGAGTGTGTCTGTGCGTAGTGCACTGCATTCTCTGTGCAGGTGTGTCTGTCTGTGTGCGTGCTGGAGCTGCCATGCAGATCCAGTCACCGCTGGAAGGAGGGATAAGAAATGCCCAGTATCCCTTCAAAATGGGAATCCAGGGTCCCCAGACCACCTTGTGCTGACAGTTCCCTGAGAGCCGAGCCAGGGGCCCCTGGTCTGCAGCGACCCCTGCTGGATGCAGAAGCTGCTGTGTCCACAACCTCAGCCTAGCCACTGGGTGCAGGGCCTGGGGGTCCATTTACGAGCAAAGCAACAGGCAGATGCCTACTGCTGCCCGTAGCTGCCATGGCACAGCCCTGTGACTTATTGCTGACTGGAATGGCTGACCTCTGCCTGGCCCTGGACTGGAAGCCCTGTGCCTGCACATCTGGGTCTGCTTGCTAGACAGACCTATGGTGTAACTGGACACGGCGCTGTGGCCACTCCCCAGCAACTCCACAGCCACAGGGCACAGGGTTTGGCGGTGCAAGACCCTCCGCCTGCTGTGTCAGCCCAGCCTTGAGAAGCCCCTGCCTCCTGGCACCAACCCTGTTAGAACATCCCTCCCTGGCCAGACCTGCACCAAGACAGACTGAAGCATGAGGCCCAGCACTGGACGGTCCCACCAGGCACAGTCGGACAGGGCAGCACATCCACAGCCCATCCAGCACACTCTGCCCGTGGCTGTCCTCAAGTTCAAATCAACCTGGGCGCTGACAGCCGGCTAGGACCACACAGCCTACACTCTGCCCCTTGGGATCTGGGGCCACATGGGGAGGACCCATCAGGATGGAGGAGGCCGCAAGCAGGGCCTGGACGCACATCCTGCCCTTCCTCAGCCTGGCCAGGGCCAGCCCAGGCCCCTAGCTCTGTCCAGGCACAGGCCCACACCAGGGATCCCAGGGCAGGCGAGCAGCCCACATGCCTCGGTCTCCAGGATAGCCTGGAGCTCCACCGACCTTACTCCACCTCGGATTCCCCACCAGTCAGACCACAGCAATGTATCTGTGGGCCCAGGACACGGAATAAATGTGGCGCCCTCTCACTCCTGTTCTGAGACTCAGGGGTTGTGGCTGGGGGCACTCCGTAGGATTCATGCCTTACCAGAACCCTGAGGCATCGGCTGTGGTTATGCATACAGCAGGCTCAGCTTGTGCACACAGTTGGCTCCAGTTCCGCACAGTCATCACGGGTCGGGCACAGTCGGCTCTGATCAGGCACAGTTGGCTCTGTCCGGCATGGCTGGCTCTGGCCGGGCACAGTCGGCTCTGGCCAGGGGCACAGTCAGCTCTGGCTAGGGGCATAGTCGGCTCTGGTAGGGCACAGTCAGCTCTGGCAGGGCACAGCTGGCTCTGGTCGGGGGCACAGCTGGCTCTGGCCATACAGTCGGCTCTGCCCGGGCACAGTCGGCCCTGGTCCCACGCGACCAGCTCTGGCTGTGTGCAGTTGGTTGCCGTCAACTCAGTCTGGGACAGACCCTGCCACAATGCTGCTGCCCCTGACCCCTGTTGCTCCCGGAGCAGTTGCCGGGCACAGCTGCCCAGAGCTGCCTGTGGCTCACACCCTCTCCAGGAGGGGCCAGTGCAAGCCGTTTCTGTCCAGGTAGCTGTACCTCCACTTGCCCTGTAACCCCCATGTGGAAAAGCCCCGGGGCGGAGGCCTGTGGCTGGGGTTCGGCACTGAGGACCGCCCCAACAGAGCTCTGTCAGAGCAGGCCCTCCACGGCCCACCTAACTCCTCTCTCTCCAGCCCCCCAGCCTCTGAGACACCAGGCGGCACCCCTCTGCTAGGCCCAAGGACTCCTTCCACATCAGCCTGGCTCCCCAGCTGGGGCCAGGAGGTCTCAGTGGTCAAGTACCACGCCTAGCAAGCACGCGGGACCTGGCATGGAGCTCCTGGTCTGGGCACCTGGGGACAGACCGGGAGGACAATCCCTCCGGGTGTGGCCCTCCCAGAGCAGCAGGCAGGCCAGCTGTGGCCTGTGGAGGCTGGGCCCCCAGTCTCCTCCTCGCCCCCACACCTGAGGAGGGGGCGGCTCCGCAGGAGACAGGTCCGTCCTGCACCTGAGCGCCCACACACAGCAGGGAGGGGCGCCACAGGCACAGGGACAGAACGCCCCTGACCGCCGGGGACCCCAGCACAGAACACACACCTGGCTACTGGACCCGGAAGGCCCGTGGGCAGCGCAGGGAGCCAGTGGTGGCCCCGGAGGACCGCCTGGAGAGGGGGCCTCGCTCTGCCCCCACAACTCCGAGGGTCCACGCACACCCGCCCTGCTCCTGCCCTGGCCTCGGCCCCTCCGCCCTGCACCCCTCCCCCACCATCCCTAGTCACTCTCGGGGTGCCAGCCAGGGGGGCATGCCTTCCCCTCAGCCCGGGGGTTTGTCCGGAACTGCTCCCATCCCAAAATGCCTCTTCCACACAAAATGGCCGAGCCTGGTGCCGCGTCCCCGGCGGAGCCAGGATGGGGGAGCAGGCGCCCTGGCACTGGGGCCAGAAGCCACTCCAGCGCCGGGCCAGCACCGGGCCTACGGACAGCGGCAGCCGCGCGCCGGGCCAGCAGCGGCCCTCCAACAGCGGCCGCCCCTGCGGGTCCCGGCGGCGGCTGCGAGGGGGCGGGTCAGGCCCGGGACTCCCTCTCCTCGGGCGCGGTCGCGCCGGGAAGCTCCCCTCGCCCCGCCACGCATTTCCTCCGCGCGGACCCGGGAGGCCCGGAGGTCGGCGGGGAAGGTCACTTGGCCCGGGAGGCCCAGCCCGAGGGGCGCCGCGGGGGTCCCGAGCCCACGCAGGGGGGCTCCGCCGCGCTCCCCGCCCCCTCCCCGGCCGGCCCTTTGTTCGGCGCCGCGGCCGTGGGGAGGGGCGTCTCGGCGGAGGAGGGGGTCCCCGCCGCGCCCCCCGGGGCCCGAGTCCTCCCGGCCGGGGCGCGCCGCGTGCGGAGCCCGCACTCACACGTAGGCGTGGTAGATGAACGCCCAGCCGCGGGGCCGCTCCAGCACGTTGTACAGGAAATTCTGCAGCTTGCGGTAGAAGGCGTTGCGCTTCGGAGGCTTGCCGGCGCCCGCGCCGCCCGCGCGCGGCTTGCTGAGGATGCTGCCGCGCTTGGGCGCCTCGGAGCCGGCGATGAGCAGCGCGCCGTCGCGGGTGGAGTCGGGCGCGCCGGGGTCCAGCCCCACGAAGCCCACCTTGAGCTTCTTGTCCCCGCCGGGGCCGGGGTAGACGCCGCCGTTGCGCGACTTCTGCACCATGGTGGCCGCGGCGCCCGGCGGGCGGCTCAGCGCGGGCGGCGCGCGGGGGGCGGCGCGCGCCCCAGCCCAGGCCCCCGGCCCGGGCGCCGCATGGCCGAGGCGGAGGCGGCGGCGGCGGCTCGGCGCTCCTGCCGGCCCGGACCGCGCGCGGGGACGCTGCGGCCACCACCGAGCTGGGGCCCCGCCTGCGGCTCCGCCCGGCGCCTCGGCCCGCCCCCGTTAACCCCTGCGGCGCCGCGGGCGCGCTCCCCTTTGAGGTGGGCGGGCGGACGCCCGTGCCCCAGGGGTGCCAGCGTTGTGTGCGACTTGGGACCTGGAGAAGGGATGGAGTGTGGGAAGCAGCCTGCGGCTGGGGGCCTGTCAGGTGGAGAAGACCCCGAGGGCAAGTGGCCAAAGGTGATGCTGGGGGTAGGCCTGAAGCCGCTGCGACTGTCTCCAGGCCCCACACGGAAGCCTTTCACACACACCTGGAACAGGTAGCAGCACCGCCCGCAGCCAGCGTTTCCAGCTGCCCGGCACCGCAGGAGCCCAGTGGACGCTGTCCAACAGCTGCCCCACCCGCACCCGCGCCTGGCCCGAACAGGAACCCGCTGGTGGCACATCAGCAACCTTGGTGCCAGACCAGCCCCCCGAGCCTAGCCAGCGGCCGGCCTCTGTTGTTTCCTCGAGCTGAGAACGGGAGTGCCCACGCTGGCACAGTGCTAAGTTGCCAGTTACCACAGCCACAGGTTGTTCTCACACACGTGGCACACCAGCTTGGAGGGGGCTTGCCCAGCTCTCATCCCCTGTACCAACCTCAGGCCTGGGACAAGGGATGAAGTGCCAACCAGCCCGTGTAGAGGGAAGGGTGGGTCGCAAGGTGCCCACAGCCGCATCGGGACCTTGCTTGGCTCACCTGCCAAGGGGTGGGGGAGGGAACCGACTTCAGCTTTGCACCTGCTCAGAGGCAAACCCCAAGGGCTGGGTCACGTCGCCTGCTAAAGGGTCCCTCACAGTCCTGTGCGCAAGCTATGGGTCGGGAGCAGGGAGACTCCTGCCCGCTTCGTCTGACAAAGGGGCTCTATTAAAATAACAACTGTTTAAAGGAGGAGGGCTCCATCACTGTGCATAGCCTCCGGGCTCCGCCGCGCTCCCTGTTCTAGGGCCTCGTCACGGAGGGCTCTGTCAGTCCCATAGGTCTGTGACTGTGGCCACGTCCTGGCCACCCCTGTGCGCTCCACACCCCAGGGCACAGCGGGCATGAAGGTGCGTTTCACGCAGGCACCAGGAATTCCAGTTATTTAAAACAGAAAGAGATTTCAGGCCCGGATAGTCTTTGCCAAGATTGCGTCGACTAGATGGCAGTGAGCAGAAGTGGAAAAACTCAGTGCCACGTGACTGCCAGGCTGGGCTGCGGGCTGCTCCGGCCGGGCGCTGTCCCTTCAGCACCACCCAGGAGCCTCCCGCCAGAGCCTTGGCAGCTGGAAGACCAGCAGAGTCCCATATGTGCCACTCCTCACCGCCCCACAGAACAGCCCGGGAGGCCCTGGCCCCAAGCCAGGTCTGGCTCCAGTGCCCCAGTGGGCATGGTTGTGGCTGCTGCTAGGTGGGGAGTGGGGAGTGGGCATCGATTGCTGCCTATGGCTGCGGGTCTGAGGCTGGCCTGTGCACTCCCCAGAAACCCCCTTCCCTGTGCTGGCCCAGGCCTGGAACCTGGAGCACATGGAGCTGGGGGCATGGATGGAGCGCACAGGGTGGGGCCCACAGAGCCACTCCTGCTGGCATCTCTGCCACACCCATGGTAGTATCAACCGCAAATATGGGTAGTGAGCAGCAGGGCATCCTGGGCCACCAGGGGCAGCTGGAGCAAGTGCCTTGTGGGTCAGGACACCTGCTACAATAGCCTGGGGCAGGGGCTGCACATGAGAAACCAGATGGGCAGAGGCAAGCTCTCCGTCACTGCCAGGTCAGTCCATGCCCCCAGGAAGGGACAGGAAGAGGAGCGCTAACGGGAGGCCACATTGCCCTCTTTGGGCCTCGTTCTTCAATGTCTCTTGACTAAAGTCGATAAAAATTCAATTTATACTTTTGTGAAAAGGACCAGAGCTCCCAGCTCCTAGCAAGCCAGCCAGCAGCCCTGGAGGCTGCACAGGCCTCCTAGCCCATGCCTGACCGCAAGCAGGGACCAGCAGCCCACACAGCCAGTGGACAAACACAGGAGCTGTGGTGACTGTCCCCGCCCCCAGGAGCACTGCCTGGGTCTCCTGCCCTCCGCCCCGTTCCCCATCTCAGGGCTGCTGGCCCAAATGGCCAGGTGTGGCTCAGAGCTCCAGTCAGGCTGGGCACCAAGGGGCTGTACACTGGGGAGTCAGAGGTAGCTCCAGCTCAGTCTTGGAAAACGCCTCTTGCCAGTGCAGGACCACCTCCTGCCCGTCTGAGCCTGGCTGCCCTCCTGCTGCCAGCCTGGATGCTCCAAGGTGTCCAGGCCACTGTGGACAGAGCTGGCTGGCCTGGGGCTGAGCCCAAGGGGTGCCAGAGTTCTTCTTTGCCACCAACCCTGTTGCCAGGACAAGATCACCCAGCGCCCACCATGGGGGTGGCTCAGCAAGGCGTGCACCCAGCAGACTCAGGACTTGACCCTCCTGGGCACCTCTGGACCCCTCCCCTTCTCCAGCTCCCTCTGTTGCAACCCAAATCCAATTCAGTTGTTAGGAGGTGGAGCTTGGTGGGGAGGTGAGGAACTCACAATGGGATTGGTACTCAGGAGAGGGTGGGGCCAGCTGCAGGTCCTCCTGGAACAGGGGACCTGCAGCTGGCCCCCTCTGAGTTGAGGCTCATGGACTGGGGACTGCCCCCAGGTGTTCAGCTGTCCCCGTCTAGGCAGCCAAGCCCTTCCCAGCTGAGCTCAGCTCCACACAACTTCAGGAGTAGGAGTGGGCCAAAGGTTGGGTTCTTGGTGTGCAAGGCCAGGCCTGACCAGGGTCTCCCCACAGAGCCTGCAGGTCACTCCCAATAAGAGGAACCTTCAGGGACACAGGCCTGAGAGTATGGCCTAGTTCTTGCCCTGCTTCCCCCTCGCCCTGTGAGTGCCACAGCCCACAGTCCTGTCCTATGTGAGGCCCCAAAGTCCCGGCCATCCATAGTGAGGCTGCCCCGCAAAGGCCACCATGGTCACTCCCTGACCATCACACAGGGAGGGCAGTCCCTTCCCTCAGTGGAGCTCAGGCACCTGCCCACTGGGCACCTTGTGGCATTGCAAGCTGCCCAGCATGCCCATACTCTGGACTCCAGCAGACAATCAAAGCATACGTGTGTGTGCACGCCTATACACACGTATGCTCACACGTGCACCCGCACACAGGCTGTCTACACGCAGGTGACCCAGCTGGCAGGAGCCGCAGCCCCTGGAGCTCCCATTCGGGCCAGTCACCATCAGGGACATCTGCCTCATAGCCATGCCAAGCCTGGCGAGGGCAGGGTGTCCTTCCCACCAGACACCCAGGGAGACGAGCACAGAGGCAGCTCAGATTTGGCCAGCTCAGCAGCCCATGGCCTGCTGAGGTCTCATCAATTTTTCAGAAGCGTCCACGGTGTAGCCCAAAGCTGCCCTCACTGTTTGCGTGGATCTGCACCCTTTGCAGGGGCGAGTCCCCACCCCCACCCAGCCTCAGGTCCCCAGGGGACCTGGCCCCAGGATTCCCTAAACTCGTGTCCAGAGCAGCGCCTCTCGGCCTGCCCTCAAGGACAGGGCCCATGCCCCCACTGGGTCCCCAACCCCTTCCTTTCCCTAGGTCCAGTGTCAATACCGGTCCCCAGTGGGCAGAGTGAAATCTTGCAAAGACCCTGCCCCACCCTACATCCCCAGTTAACCCTTATGACACCTTGGGGCAGGTGCCCTCTGACCCTGTGCAGGACTCAAACCCGTGCCTCGTCCACTTGACGACCACCTGAGAGCCCACTCCCCAAGCTCAGTCCAGGCATAGGGGCAAGGGGTGGAGGGCAGAGCTGGCCACACCCCACCAGGATATTTTTCCTCTGCATATAGCAGAGGCCTCCCAGGCATGGGGCGTGCTCTCGTGTCCTGCCTACGGGAGGCCACACAGCTCTAGGCCACCCCAGGAACTCCCAGAGACCCAGAGGGGGCCAGCCTGACCCCCCCCCCGCCATGGATGCTGCCGCTCACCCTCCTCCTGCAGACTCCTCCCGGGTGTACCTCCCCCAGAGACCCCAGCAAAGCGAGGTCCTCAGACACAGCCCTTCACCACTGACTCCCGAAGGGGACCCGAGGCTCAGAGACCTTCTCCTGCCATGGCTTCTGGGAGCCCCCAAGGTGCCCCCTGTGCCCCCTGCTCACCCGGAAGTATGCAATGCAGTCCTGTGGTTTGCCCACGGTATTTGGGTGACCGAGGCCAGATGGGCCAGCGCTTGCAGCCACACCCATGGCAAGAGGAGGGCCAGAGTCCCCAGGGGCTGTCAGGTGGGGGTCCTCGCTCCTGTCCTGCCTTGGGTTGTTGGCAGGGTTCTCTGGCAGGAGCTGCTGGGGCCAGGACGGCCTCTGGACTCGACAAGGTGGCACAGGTCCCTGCTGGCCAAGGGTGGGGCACCCACCAGCCCAGCACTTGGAGTAACAGGCAGGCAACCCATTCCCCCAGCGACCCAGCTAAACACCCAAGTCCGGACAGGTCCAAGCCTCTTGGAGTGAGGACAGCAGAACTGCCTGTCACTGAGGTGTGCCACACCGGAAGGGGCATCATATAACCCTAACCCTAACCCTAACCCTAACCTTCAACCACGGTGAGGAGGGGCAGCCGCGGCTGGTGTGCAGGCAGGGGGCGCAAGGAGCGGGCTTGGCGAGGGGACACTGCCCGGCGGACGCTGACCTCCAGGCCAGCCTGGAACCGCCTCCTCCCCGGTCAGGGCAAGTGCTGGCCCGGATTCCGAGGTGGAGGCCCTCGAGTGAGGCTCACGGCCGTCCCGCGCCCGGCCCACCCGAGCGGCGCCCCGACCCCGCAGCAGCAGGTGCACACGCACGGCGAGGGGCGGACTTTATTGGACACAGGGGCGCGGGGTGGGCCGGCGGCGCTTTCCTCTTGAAGAACTTCCACTGGACCTTGATGGCGAGCATCCAGTCGCTGACGGAGAGCCGCCGGCAAGCAGAGGTGCAGACGTGCGCCTGGCGAGGGCGCGCCGGGGCCTGGGGGCGGGGCCGGGCGCGCGGCCGGGGCGGGCCCAGGGGAGGGGCTTGCGGGCGCGGAGGCGGGCCGGGGGCGGGGCCGGGCCGAGCGAGCGGCCGGGGCGGGGCCGGGGTTTGCGGGCGCGGAGGCGGGCCGTGGGCGGGGCCGGGCAGGGCTGCGGGAAGGGCGGGGCTGGCGGGACCGGAGGCGGACCGTGGGCGGGGCCGGGCCGAGCGCACGGCCGGGGGAGAGGATTGTGGAGGGGGGCCGTGGGCGGGGCCGGACTGAGCGGGTGGCCGGGGCGGGGCCAGGAGAGGGGCTTGCGGAGGCGGGCCGTGGGCGGGGCCGGGCCGGGTCCCGGCAGGGGCGGGGTTGGCGGGCGCAGAGGCGGGCCGTGGGCGGGGCGGGCGCGCGGCTGGGGCGGGGCTTGCTGGCGCGGAGGCGGGTCGTGGGCGGGGCCGAGCGGGCGGTCGGGGCGGGGCCGTGCTTCACTTGCCCGCCTTCTGCGCCTTCTGCGCCGACTTGGTGACCTTGCCGGCGCCGCCGCTCTTCTTCTCCACGTTCTTGATGACGCCCACGGCCACCGTCTGCCGCATGTCGCGCACCGCGAAGCGGCCTGCGGGGGACGCGCGTTAGGGCCTGGGGCGCGCGGCCTGGACGTGTCCCGGGCACACGCGCGTGGCGCACGAGTCGTGCGCCTGGTGATGCCCACCAGCTGGTCTTGGCCCGAGGCGGGTCCCGAGGCTGCCTCCCCCGCTGCGGCTCACCGAGGGGCGGGTACTGGGAGAAGCTCTCCACACACATGGGCTTCCCGGGGACCATCTCCACGATGGCTGCGTCGCCAGACTTGAGGGACTTGGGGTTGTCCTCCAGCTTCTTGCCAGAACGCCGGTCAATCTTCTCCTTGAGCTCGGCGAACTTGCAGGCGATGTGGGCCGTGTGGCAGTCGATGACCGGCGAGTAGCCGGCGCTGATCTGCCCCGGGTGGTTCAGGATGATGACCTAAGGACAGTCACCAGTGGCCATCACGCTGGCCCTCGGGGGCCCGGGAAGCCCCCGTCCCTCCCTGACCCACAGGCCCTGAGAACGCCCGGGCCTGGAACCCCTGGCAGGGAGGTGGCCCCGCACCCGCTTCTGCAGCTCAGAGGCCTGTACCCCAACTATTCTTGCAGAGGCCTGTACCCCAGCTGTTCCCTCAGTCTACTCTAGCCGTATGGCTCAAGAATTGGGGGTGCCCGTGTCTGGCCCCCTTGGGGATGAGTGACAGGGGGCACTGTGTCCGCAGGCCGCCCACCTGGGAGGTGAACTGGGCAGCTTCCTGCGGGGGGTCAGACTTGCTGTCCCCACACACGTTGCCACGGCGGATGTCCTTGACCGACACGTTCTTCACGTTGAAGCCCACGTTGTCTCCCGGCAGCGCCTCGCTCAGCGCCTCATGGTGCATCTCCACCGACTTCACCTCCGTGGTGATATTCACCGGGGCGAAGGTCACTACCATGCCCGGCCTCAGGATGCCCGTCTCCACGCGGCCCACGGGCACGGTGCCGATGCCTGGGGCCCAAGAGGGGGGCACTGTGAAGGGGCAGGAGGTGGGGGCCCCAGGGGCTGCGGGGTGGGGGAGGCCGCGTGGGCCTGCTCACCGCCGATCTTGTACACGTCCTGCAGTGGCAGGCGCAGCGGCTTGTCCGTGGGGCGTGTTGGGGGCAAGATAGTGTCCAGGGCCTCAAGCAGGGACACCCCGCTGGCATTCCCCTCTTTCCGCTCCACCTTCCATCCCTTGAACCATGGCATCTGGCAGAGAGGGAGGTAAATGGGTGCGTGGGACAGGGCACCTGCGTTCCCCAAAAGTGAAGTCCCCCTCCGCCCTGCCACCCCCCACCCCCGCCACTCCTCACACCCTCTCATGGTCCTAGGCAACGAGCCGCCTCCCCCCAGCTACACCCACAGACCAGGGCTGCCCCCACCACAGGTCTGTCTCCCAGGTGGGATCCCCTGTAGCACCTGAGTACCTGGGGACCATGCTACCCTCTTGCTTAGTCTCCAGAGCTAAATTCAGAGCCCGGAGCCAGCAGGGGTCTGAGCAGAGTGAGTGCAGTCACCCCAGGCTGGCCCTGCAGGCTGGAGCCTCCACATCCCTCCTGCTCTGCCCCCAGCCAGTGTGCCGGCTGCAACTCCCTGGCTCAGTGGGCAGCCACAGGGGCCATCCTAGGCTAGGAGCCTCCGGGGCTGGACAGTCTTAGGACAGGTCTAGGGTCCAAAAACCCCTCCCACCTTCACCCCATATGCATCAGGGCCCCCGGGCCACAGCCATGCATCCGAGTAGCTGAGAGTCGGCCCTCAGCCCTCACGGCCCACCCTCTGCCCAGAGCCCAACCCGCACCCTGAGCCCACCACCCCGCCCCAGCGTCCAGGGTCAGGACACCAGCCAGGGGGAGATGACAAGAAACACCCCCAGGCACTGGCAGAGAAGATCACCCCAGTGGCACTCACGTTGGGGGAGGGCTCGAGCATGTTGTCACCGTGCCAGCCCGAGATGGGCACAAAGGGCACGGTGGCCGGGTTGTAGCCGATCTTTTTGATGTAGGCGCTGACCTCCTTCACGATCTCGTCGTAGCGTTTCTCACTATAGGCCGGCTCCGTGGAGTCCATTTTGTTTACACCCACGATGAGCTGCTTCACGCCCAGTGTGTAGGCCAGCAGCGCGTGCTCTCGCGTCTGCCCATTCTTGGAGATGCCCGCCTCGAACTCGCCCACGCCCGCCGCTACAATGAGCACCGCGCAGTCCGCCTGCCCGGCAGGTCGGCACAGTCAGCCCGGCCTCCAGGGAGCAGAGGCCCCTCATCCCCAGCACAGCCCAGTGCTAGTCAAGGCGACCACCTTGGACAGCAGGTCCCCAGGGACCATGCGTGTGGCACTCTGGGCCTGTGGCCCGCGTGGCCGCTGCCCACCTCCCCACCTGCCGGCCCGACTGACCCTGTCCTGGTCTGTGGGGGAGGGGAGGGCAGGGGAGTGTCTCCATCTCTGTGTCTTCCTCCGACTCAGCTGGCTGTCAGGCTGCAGTACTGGTGCACATGGGGGTCCCTGTCCCGGCAGGAAGCACCCCTCCCCGCCCGCGCACCTGGGAGGTGCCAGTGATCATATTCTTGATGAAGTCACGGTGGCCGGGCGCGTCAATGATGGTGATGTAGTATTTGGTGGTCTCGAACTTCCACAGGGAGATGTCGATGGTGATGCCTCGCTCCCGCTCCGCCTTCAGCTTGTCCAGCACCCAGGCGTACTTGAAGGAGCCCTTGCCCATCTGGGGGTGGGGGGACGGCTCAGGGCAAGACCGGGGCCGAGGCCACAGCAGCGACCGGGCTGCCCGCTGCCCGCCCCGACAGTCTGTGCTGCCCTTGGGCCAGGCCCTGGGCCAGTCCAGCATCCACCAGCAGGCGGCGCAAGGGCCCGGGAGCCAGGATGGATCTGCTGCCAAGGAGGGGGCATTTCTCTGAGGTGCCTGACAACCCCGGACCCTGGGTCACCAGGAAGTACGGCTTGCTGTGGGGCTGCCAGATCAGTAATCCCTCTGCTGTTTTTGAAAGAGGGAAAACAGACAGAAATCTTTGGAAATTTCCATTTGTTTCCCTGTGAGGCTCCTCCTCCCTTCCCCTCCCCAGGGAGCCATGGAGACACCGGCCCAGGTCAGGGCTACAGCTTCGCTGCTGTCCAGCTGGGCAGAGCCCCAGCCAGGGCGGACACGGGCCCTCAGGACAGCTACCCAGCAGCAGCGAGGACCCAGCCCAGGCACCTGCTACCTGCCCACTGCCTCTCCTAGGCCTGGGAAGGGGCAGACACGACCTTTGGCCCACATGTCCCACCCATGGGTCTCAGCCAGGAACAGGGAAGGTCAGCTGAGAGGCCAGGGTCCCTGCCAGGCACCACCAGGTCAGTGGGAGAAGAGGCCCCTGCGGGCGCCAGCCTATCCACGCTATTAATAGCTGCCTGCCTCAGGCCAGCCCAGGGACAAGTGAGGGCAGGGCCATGCCAGGCCCGACCTCTGCCTACCAGTGGCAAGCAGACCCTGGCCCCGGGGAGAGTTCCAGAACTCTGGGGTGGATCCTGCAGACAAGGGCGGTGCTGCCCCTCCAGTCTTGGGAGAGGCCACCCACCACCCTCAGCCTCTGCCTGGGACCCAGGCGTCCTGGGGCTCACCTCAGCTGCCTCCTTCTCAAATTTCTCGATAGTCCTCTTGTCGATGCCCCCACATTTGTAGATGAGGTGGCCCGTGGTGGTCGACTTGCCCGAGTCCACGTGGCCAATGACCACGATGTTGATGTGAGTCTTCTCCTTCCCCATCCTGTCCGGGGCTCTGTAGGGGGGAGGGGTGGCTCAGGGGGCACCCAGCGGTAAGGCAGGGTGGGGTAGGGTTCAAAGGGGAGAAACAGACCACCCCCCGCCTGGGCAGCCCACCTCCTAGCCCCGGGGTGCAATCTGCCCCGGTTTGGTCCCAGAGGGCACCTGTTCCCTGCCGAGGGGCTTAGCTCCCACCCAGAGGCCCAGGGCCAGCGCAGCCGGTGATGAGTCACCCTCGGCTGCACCCCCAGCCCCCCCCCGGGCCGCAGGGCCAGGGCCGCCGGCCCCGCCCCCACCTGCCGAGCGGTCAGTGCGCCCCACGGGCGCGGACGCCGCCATCTTCCGCTGTCCCTGTCCGCGAGCGGGCACAGGGGGCACAGGCCCTCTGGGGTGCCCAGATGAGGGCGTTGAGGATGGTTCAGGCCTGGGAGGACAGGCTGACAAGGCCACAGGTTCTGGCTCCCGGTTCTGGCTGGCGCGAGCGCAGTGGGGGCGGGGAGGTGCCTCCGTGCTCCCCCTGCCTTGGGGGCCAGGGTCTGGGGTCCACTGCGCGCGGCAGGTCAGGGGAAACCCCTCCCCCACCCTGTTATCCCCAGAGGCCAGGAGGCTGGGGGAGGGAGCTTGGGATGGCGACACGGTGCAGGGGCGAGGCCACCCCCCCATGCCGGCTTCCTCCCCTTGTCCTGTCGGGCTGACCCGCACCCTCAAGGGCCAGATGCCCCACCAGCCCCCTGCGGCCCTGCCCCAAACCTTCTAGGCCAATCGGCCAAGGTCACGGCGGCGGGGCAGCCTCGGTCCCCGAGCACCGCTCGCCGCCGGTCACCTGCGTGCTTCGGCCCCCTCCCCGCCCGGCTGCCCGCGGGGACCGACCCACGCGCTGGGGTCGGCGGCAGCTCTCGCCGAGCGGCACGGCCTCGCCAGCGCCTGAGGCAGACTCGGCTCTGCACCCGCACCCAAAGCTGGGCCGGGGGCGGGCCTCGCAGGCCCAGCGTCCTTACCCGGAGCCGAGGTCTCAGCCAGAGGGACTGGCGGCGCCGGCGCCGGCGGTTTTATCTCTCCGGGAGGGTTCCACCTATTGACGGTGCGGGCGCAATGCACCGCGCCCTGCAGTACGGCAATGCGGTGCGCGCGGGCGGGCGCAGCCGGGACGAGCCCAGGGGCGCGCGGGAGCGGGCGCGCGGGGGGGCGGACGGGGACGGGGGAGGGAGCGCAGCCGCGGACCGAGCGGCGGGTGGAAGAAGGGGGCAGGGCGGAGGCTGCAGGGAGGCGGGTGACAAGCCTAGAGCCAGCGGTCCTGGTCTGGGTGCTTCATGTGCTGTGGGGTGCAGACGCTCTGAGGGGGAGCCCTGAAGCTGCCAGCCTGCTCCAGAGGGCTGCTCCCAGCATCCCTGACACCTATGCCTGGGGGTCGGGGGTGGAAACAGCCTCAACCCTGCATACCCCCGTCCCAGGGGAGCCAGCCCAGGAGCCCAGGAGAAGCCAAAGCTGGGGCCTCCGGCAGCACATGAACACCCCAAGCAGCTGGTGGACTGGAGCAGACAGGCCCAGAGTGGGGGACACGGCAGGCTGGGGGGTTTCCCCCGAGGCCAGGATCTCAGCTTGTCCCCGCTGTGCCCCCACCACCAACGGGGCACAGCGCCTGGGTCTCGAGCAGGAGGTGAGGGGGCAAGCCCTGCACCTGCTCCTCACCCTCATGTTCCCTGGGACTGGTCAGACGAGGCCCCAGGGTAGGGTCCAGCACCGCAAGGCCCAGCACCTGCCCCTGACCGCTGGCAGGGCCGGTGTGCAGGTGCTGCTGATGCTGTCAGATGGGAGCCAGGACCTAAAATAAAACCTGGCAGGGAGGCGAGGGCCCTCCCCCAAGCTGGCCTGGCCCACTTGGGGTTCCAGCCAAGACTTTGGAGCCAGCCTGCTGCAGGTGCCACCCTCCCCCAGCACCAGGGCAGCCCACAGCCTAACGGGTCCTCAGGGGATGCCACTCCCCATGTGAAGCTGAGACCCTGCACTTCCCCTCCCCCAGTGCACGGCACCCCAGGGCGCTGCCAGCGGGTAGAAGGTGGTGTCTGGAGTGATGCTCTTGGTGGCCAGCAGTGGCTGCCCTGCAAGGCCCCGGAGCCTGAGACTTGGCTGCTGGCGACCCTCGGGATCCACAGAGGATGGGGTTTGGTGACCCAGGAACCCGCACCTGCCAGCCAGCACCACACCAGAAGCTGCTGGGCCTGGAGATGCTGAGCTAGGTGCTGCCGACTAGTACTAACCACCAATCACGAACTAGCACCTCTGACTAGTACTAACCACAAATCACAAACTAGCACCTCCGACTAGTACTAACCACAAATCACGAACTAGCACCTCTGACTAGTACTAACCACAAATCACAAACTAGCACCTCCGACTAGTACTAACCACAAATCACAAACTAGCACCTCCGACTAGTACTAACCACAAATCACGAACTAGCACCTCCGACTAGTACTAACCACTGAGTAGTGCCACTGATCACTAACTAGGGCTAAGTAAGTGCTGACTAGACGGGTCAACTAACTTCTGACTAGTACTATTCCACGGCTAACCCTACCTTGCACTGACAACTGTTGGCTGTTGAATGACAGCATCCGGCTGACCCCCGGCTGGCCTGAGCAGCGGCTCACCCTGAACAGCACCAAGCACTGACGCCCAGACAGCCCCGCACTGTGGCTGAAGCCTGAGGCGCTTCCTGCGATGGGTGGTGGGAAAGGACCAGCTGCTGTCAGAGGTTGAGGAGGGCGCCTCCTCCAGGGGCTGAGCACCCCAATCTTGGCTTGCCTGGACAGGGAATGAGGCTGAGTGTTCACTGTGACCCCCCAGCCGAGCCAGCAGGCCCAGCGTACAAGTGAGAGCTGTGGCTACCAGCAGCCACCAGTCCTGGTGGCTAACGGGGTGGGGCATGAGGAAGCAGGAGGAAGGAAGGGGCTCAGGCCCTGCCCACCCTCAGCCCCCTCCCACCCCCAGCTAAAATTAACTGTTGCCAAGCCTCAGCCCTGGAAGTAAACCTGCCTCCCATTGGTTGTCGGTGACGTCACGGAGCTAATAATAGCCGTGAGCTCAGCCACCTGTGCTTGGCCTTCCAGAGGGGCTGGGCCAGGCAGGTGGGGTCTGGACGCTCGCCCAGTGAGTCCAGGGCAGGTGGGCAGGCCGGGGCACCCTCCGACCTCACAATGGTTGCTGCCTGGCCTTGGACTCCAAGCAGTCTGCCAGCCACCTCAAGCCCTGGTCCCAGCAGGCCAGTGGGAGGGGCAGTCACCTGTGGCCACTTCTTGGGGCTGCGTGGGATACCACCTGACCAGCCTGGCAGGGTGGAGGGGAGCTTCAAGCTCAGGACTTCCTCTGGAAAGGCTAGATCATGACCCACAGACCAGCAAGGCTGCATGGGGCCGGACAGCAGTCACCAAGTCCACAAGAGCAGCCTGGAGGGAGACACAGCCTCACCAGCCTTGCCACCCACCCTTCTCACTCCCCCCCACGGCCCCCTCCAGGACCCAGTTTCCAGGCAGCCTGGCAAGGAGCTGTCTCCATGGCAACAGGCTCCTCCCTCCCCAAGAGCCCAGGCCTTTGCACACAGCAGTGCCCCAGGCCAATGGACCTCCACCACTGGAGAGGGGCAGGGGTCACTGCCAGCTGACCCCTCAGAGCCTTCTGACTGGCAGACCCGGAGGAATGTCCCTTACCTAGACTGGGGCAGGCAGGCACAGGCTCTGGCTGCGGCAGGGAGAGCACTTCCATGATTGAAGATCTGTTCGCTTATCGGACAGACTGAGGGACAGGGGGGTCTTCGGTCTGCTGGGTTGTTCCCCAGATGCTGTAACAGGCAGGGCCAGCCCAAGGAACCTGGGACTTCCTGGGAGTGGGGGGTCCCATGGTGCTGCAGGGGCCGGAGCACCTCCTGCACCATCACTGCCACCTGCCTCCCAGGCCACTGGCAGCTGCAAAGTAGCTGGACTAGACCTGCACTTGAATACCAAGATATGGTGTGAGCCATGGCATCGCCATGCCAGCATCACATTGCCTTATGGGAAAACTTGTTTTGCATCTGCTTGGAGGAAAGCTCAGGAGACATATGTGTGCTTGACTGGTTGGCAGGCCAATCCCTCATGAGACCAGCGTGTGCTGGGGGCCGTCCCAGGAGGAGAGCAGGGCAGACTGTGTGTGCTCGTGCTGGGGCCGTCCCAGGAGGAGAGCAGGGCAGACCGCATGTGCTCAAGCTAGGTGTCTGCTGAGCTTTCACAAGTTTCAGCCACCGTGGGCTAAAAGGACCCTAGCTGAATACCACACTGAGAGCAAGGAACCCAGAACTGCCTCCACCAGGTGCTGTGGCCACTCGCTGCAGTTGGGTCCAGACACCCAGAGCCCAGGGCAGGGAGCTACAAGCCAGAGCCATGCCCCGGGCCAAGAGCTCTCGGGCACAGGCCTTAGCTGCCAGTTGCCTTCACACAGCTGTGCTGTGCCGTGATTTGAGTGACCACGCAGTGTGATGTCTCTTGAAGACTCGATATGACAGACAGGTGCTATAGAAGCCTAGCCTATTTTATCTTATTTTTATTTTTTTTTTAAAGATTTATTTTTATTATTTTTTATTGGAAAGGCGGATATACAGAGAGGAGAGACAGAGAGGAAGATCTTCCGTCCGATGATTCACTCCCCAAGTGAGCGCAACGGGCCGATACTATGCCGATCCGAAGCCAGGAGCCTCTTCCGGGTCTCCCACGCGGGTGCAGGGTCCCAAAGCTTTGGGCCGTCCTCGACTGCCTTCCCGGGCCACGGGCAGGGAGCTGGAAGGGAAGCGGGGCTGCCGGGATTAGAACCGGCGCCCATATGGGATCCCGGGTGTGCAAGGCGAGGACTTAACCACTTGCGCCACCGCGCCGGGCCCTATTTTTAAAATATTTATTTGAAAGGTAGTTACAGAAAGAGGCAGAGATCTTCCATCTGATGGTTCACTTCCCAAATGGCCTCAACAGTGGGAGCTAAGCCAATCTAAAGTCAGGAGCCAGGAGCTTCTTCTGGGTCTCCCATGCAAGTGCAGGGTCTTAAGCTCTCAGGCCATCTTCCATTGCCTTCCCAGGCCACAGGCAGCGAGCTAGATTGGAAATGGGGCAACCGGGGCACAAATGGTGCCCACATGAGGTGCTGCTGCTGCAGGTCCCCTTAGCTGCCACATCACAATGCTGTCCTCCAAATGTCATTTTATTAACTACAGAGCCTAACAGTGTTAGCTGTGACCAGTGTGATGACTGACCAGCAGACAGAATGTGCCTGTATACACGAGGCCACCACAGGCTGAAGCCAGAACCGAACCCTCCCAAAAGAAGCCTGGCCAGCCCCCACCCTTCCTCCTAGGGCCTGGGTGGGACGGGCCCAGGCTCGTCTCTCCGGGACAGGGCCCGATGCTGGGATCCCCAAGAATCCAGGTCATTTCAGAATCTCTTGCTCTCCCAGTGTCAACTGGACTGACCAATGTGTCAGGAACCTCTCAGCCCAGAGGTCCGTATGGATGAGGCCCTGGGGCACATGCGGGCAAAGGGTTGGCTGTCAGGCCCCACTTTGAAGATCACACTTGGCCCCGGGGGCGGGGGTGGAGGGACAACACCAGAAGTCCCAGCTGGCCTCATGGTCCACCTTCCCAGAGAGGCTAGGACTCTGGCGCGCACAGACCTCTGGACAGAACACCTGCAGGCCACCCAGGTGGGCCAGAGTTACAGAAGGGAATGGGGGAGGTGCGGCAGGAGGGCCCTGGCGACCAGCTGGAGATGAAGAGAGCGGCCAATACAGGATGAGCTGCCCCCCACCCAGGGAGTGCAGGGGACACCCCCGCAGGCCCCGCCCTCTGGCAGGCACGGGAAAGGGGTCCGTGGGGCAAGCCGCCTGGAAGAGCGGAGCCTCTGGCGGGAGAAGCAGGCACTGCCCTCCCTGATATGGACACAAGAGGGCGTCCAGAGGCCGCGAGTGGGGCCCCCTGTGGCCTCCACCTCTCTCTCCCTCCCGCGCCACCGAGCACCCCTGTCCCCACCCCAGAATAGCCACGACCCCAGCCTGCACTGACCTTGTCTCGTCCAGCACAGAGCTCTGCCCCGCCAGCCCAGCGCAACAGCAGCAGGCAAGTCAAGGGCTAGGGACTCGACTCAGGGGTGTGGCTTCAAGTCACAACTGGGCGGTGTTGGGTGCTCACCAGGAGCTCGGCTTCCTCCTGGGCCGAACCGCCAGCAGGTACCCGCTGGAAGGGTGCACCCCGGGCAGGCTCGGAACTCCAGGGTGGTGGCACGACGGCCAGAGGTCCAGGTGCTCACTCTTGCCCATGCTCCTGGAGGCAGGGAAGTCCCACTCCCCCTACCTCTGATGGCACCTCGGGGCCTGAGCCTGTTCCAGTGGCAGCTTCTATAAGGGGCTCTGTCGGCACAGCCCTCCCCACCCCAGCTCCAGAAGCAGCCGCCAGCTCCCTGGAGTGCAGAGTGGAGACCTGGATGCCTAGCAGACCACAGGGTGAGAGTGGCCCCAAGGCTCTGCCCATTCCTTCCCCAAGTCCTCCCACCCACGCTGCTCAGAGCCAGTCCAGTGCTGCACACCCACCCTCAGCTGCCGCCCTGCTTCTGACATCCCCACATTGTCCTTGCTGCATCGTCCACTTAGGGTCAGGGCAGGTGGCAGTGTCTCTTGTGAAACAGGTGACCTGGACACTGCCCTCCAGGGGAACACACCTATATGAGGCCCAGTTGGCCACCAGTGGCTCCCAGAGGTGAGAGTCTGGGGGGACTCTGGACACAGGGTCTGCCATGCGGCACCCCTGGGTCACCCTGAACCTGAACAGCTCCCTGAACCTGTTGGGTGTCTTTGTCACCCGCAGAAGCCAGGCACAGGGTCAGGGCTGTTTGGCCCAGGGCTCCCCTTGGACCTGTGGCCCTGGTCTGTATGCAGGGGGTCCAGCTCCCACCATAGCTCCACCTAGTGAGTGGGGCTGCAGTGGGGACACTCGCACTGGCTTCAGAGGCACCAAGATCCCTGCCCTCCCAGCCCGGTGGTGACCCAGAGAGCAGGTCGTCCTGGTCCCTGGATGCAGCACAGAGAGGGCTGGGCTGTGTTCCCCCCTCCCCAGTGTGGCCACCCACTGATTCCTGGCTCCCATCTGGATGCTTGGGAGCACACAAGCTTCTTGTCGCCCACACTGCATGTCGTGTTGGAGAACTCTGCTTTCCACCAAGCTCCTGGCGAAGGCACCTGGGAAAGCAGGGGAGGATGGCCCAGCGCTTGGGCCCCTGCACGTTCATGGGGGACCCGAATGGGACCTCTGGCTCCTGGCTTCGGCCTGGCCCACCCCTGGCTGTTGCAGCCATTTGGGGAGTAAATAAAGGGATAGAATATTTCTCTCTTCCCTCTCTCCTTCTCTCTTTCAAATACATTAACCTTTTAAAAAGAGTAAGAAGAAGGCTAGATTTCTACCAGGAGGCAGGAGAGGTCTCTGGCGAGAGAGACATGAAGAACGTCCCCTATTCGCGATTCTACAAAAAAAAAATTTGCACGGAGAAGATTCATTTAAGGGTACTAAAAGCAAACCACGGTTTCATTGCAATGTGCAGGAGGAAATGGGTTAGCAGGCAGGAAACTTGGCAGGGCCAGGTGGCAGGGGATTCCCTCAGGAACACTCAGTGAGCTGAGAAGTCCAAGGAACTCCTGAGTGCTCCTGGCCCCCGCCCGCACCCCTGGTGGCCCTGACCCCCGCCCACACCCCAGGTGACCCTGATCCCCACCCACACCCTGGTGGACCTGACCCCTGCCCGCACCCCTGGTGGCCCTGGGAGTTGAAGAGTCCTGGGGAAAGATGGCCATGGTGGCCCTGGCAGTTGAGGCCTCCTGGGGAATGGACAGCTGGGTGGGAGGTCTCTTGCTCGCTTGTGGCGGGGTCCTGGGGCAGGTGGCAAGCTGCTGAGAAGTGTGCAGGTCCTCAGGGCTCCAGGAAGCCAGGCTGAGTCACGCCTACCCCAACCCTCCCCTGCAGAGGCCAGGGCACAGAGGTCTCTCAGTCAGCAGACCTGAAGACCTTCTCCCAAAGAGGGCTGCCCAGGCCTGACTGAGTGCTGCCACTCTCCCCAGATGCTCACAGCCAGGGCAGGGTCAGGTATGAGCAGGGAGCTCCATCCGGGTCTCTCCCATGGGTGCAGGGGCCACTGGGCCGTCTTCCCCTGCCTTCCTGGGCACTAGGTGGGAAGTGGGGCAGTTGGGACTGGACAGGCTCTCCCTGTGTGAGACGGTACCAGGTCCCCAGGACCTCGGGGTCTGAGCCTGTTCCAGCAGCAGCTCCTATAGGCACAGGACAAGTGTCCACCAGCGATCACAAACCAAGTCATGGGAAACCCAAGCAGGTGTCACCCGTAGGAATGCCATGGTATGTGGAAGGAAAACTTTTTTTTGGCATCAAATGCATTGATTTTTCTTAAAGATTTACTTATTTGTATTGCAAAGTCAGATATATAGAGAGGAGGATAGATAGAGAGGAAGATCTTCTGTCCTCAAGTGACTGCAATGGCCGGTGCTGTGCCAATCAGAAGCCAGGAGCCAGGAACTTTTCCTCCAGGTCTCCCAAGCGGGTGCACGGTCCCAAGGCTTTGGGCCGTCCTCCACTGCTTTCCCAGTCCACAAGCAGGGAGCTGGATGGGAAGTGGAGCTTCTGGGATTAGAACTGGTGCCCATATGGGATCCCAGCACACTCAAGGTGAGGACTTTAGCCGCTCTGCCATCGTGCCAGGCTCAAATGCATTGATTTTTTAAGAGTTATTTATTTTATTTGAAATTTTAAAAAAGCCACACAGAGAGAGGGAGAGCCAAAGAGAGATCTTCCACCCACTTGTTCGCGCCCCCCGATGGTCACGATGGCCAGGGCTGGAGCTCCAGCCGGGCCTCCCTTGTGGATGCCAGGGTCCAGACACTCGGGCCATTAGGAAACTGGGTCGGAGCCAGAGCGGCATCAAGGCCGGGGAGGCAGGAAGTCTGAGCCAATTCCCCCTCAGGAAGGCCTTTTCCCAGAAGCTGGCTTTACCACCACCCGGCCTCCCACCTGCCCACTGCCTTGGGCATTGGGGTCCAGATGCTCCAGATGCATCTTGGGGTCACAAGTATGCAGCTTCACCCCAAGTTCCCCTGCACCTGCTGAGGTCTCCCCATAGCCCATCCCCAAGCCGAGCATGGGCGGTTGGTGAAGAGCCTGCAGGTGTGGATCGACTGGCATCCCCGAGGAGGGCTTGCAAGCGTGGCTCTGAGCAGGCAGGCGAGAAGGGGGCACAGCACATGTGCAACAGAGGAGACTCAGGACAGCCACTTCATGGTTCTTCCTGCACCTGCAGCTGGGCCACAGGACAGTCCTCCTGGCCACTGGGGCCCAGGTCCCATACCACCTGCAGGTATGTGCACAGATGGCAGCTGAAGGAGCCCCAGAGACAGGTAGCCCCCCAGCCCCAGGCTACTGGGCACATACCCCAGAGGCAGCAGCTGGCTGACGCCCACAAAATACCCACCAGCTCTTCGTGCTGCCCGTGGCCTCGTGTGGGGTCCCTCATGCGGGGGATTGGGGGGAAGACTCTTTGTATCACCGAGAACCTGGCAGAGAGACGGCCAGGGCCAGGCGAGGCCGGGACAGGAGCCAGATGAGCCGGGGCAGGGGTCAGGTGAGGCCAGGGCAGGGGCCGACTGAGGCGGGAGCAGGGGCCAGTGCAGCTTACCGCCTGCACAGCAGCACGGCCAGCAGCAGGGCCAGCAGTGTCCCCAGTGCCATTAGCAGAGACGTCCGCCAGATGCCACTCGAAGCTTTCTCCTCTTCAGAGTCACATGCTGAGGGACAAGATGGAGGGCCATCTGTCTACTTGTCCTGGAAGTGGGGTGGGGGCCTGCATGGCAGGGGGCATCCAGACAGGACACTCTGCAATGCCACCTGCAGGGGGCAGCAGCCAGCTCAGCTGTCCCTGGCCTGTGGACTCTGCAGGGCAGCTCTGTCATGGAGGACCCTCCCCAGCTGGGGTCGCACTGGATCAGGCCCACGGCACGGCGGCGGCAGACAGGACTGTGTGGTCCTGACAGCCGGCGAAGCCTGAGTGGCCACGCCCATGCTGGAGGGCAGATGTCATCCCCTCACCGAAGTGTTGTGGCTCGCTCCAGTCACTGCTGGCCTCTGAGAGGACTTCTTCCACCTTGATCTTCACCATGAATGCACCGCGATGCAGCAGCGTGAACGAGTTTGTGTCTTGCAGGACCTTCAGGGCAATGAGGAAGGAGGGGCTGTGGGGACTGGGGTAACACTGCAGGGGCTTGCGATCTCAATCTCTCCCGCAGGGTGGCTGACAGGTGACCAGCCACGCCCCCAGAGTCCGGCTCACCCCCACCCTGTCCAATTTTTTAGGCTGATGCCTTGGCTGGGGACGGGAGCCTTGAGGGTTGTGCTAGACCAAAAGCAGGCCTAAGGGACACTCACGATGTCCTTCATTGGAGGTTCCAGGGCCTGCAAGACAAAAGCGGAGGGGTTGGCTGCTGGAGACCACCCCTAAGAAAGCCCCCTCTTTGGTCAGCTGTCAGAAGCCAGGGCTGTGACTGCTTATGGCGCAGCTGTGCTTGCTCCCACCAGTCAGGGAGAAGGAGGTCGAGTGCGGGAGAGAGGGATCAGCTCCCCTGCCACTGGCTCCCAGCAGGTCTTTAACGAGACACAAGTCAGGAGGCAGGGGCTCCAGGCTTGCCCCAGGGCTGGGCAGGTGCACAGGTACCTGACCTCTGCCCGCTGCCTGCCAGGACATGCACCAGCAGGCAGCTCAGCTTGGAAGCAGAGCCCGAGTTCGAGGCTGGGCCCTCAGACATAAAGTATGAGCAGCACGGCGGCCATGAGGCTGTGATGCCAGCAAGGTGGTGGCTTTTCATAGGACGCATGCTCTCAAGACCGCACCCCAAGGTGCAGGCACGCAGACCAGAGGCAGGCCTGGGAACGCGATTTTACCTTCTGAATGTGCAGTGTGTACCGGAAGCTGCAGTTGAAGTGGCTCTGCGTCTCCCAGTGCAGCTGTGAGTGTGTTTCGTTGCACCTGGTGGTGATGTTGGGTGGCCTCAGTAGCTCTGAAAGGTGAGACAAAACAAGACAGGTGTGAGCCCAAAAAATGCAAACCCCTACATCAGTCCTCTCACACCAGCCGCTCCTCCCCAGACCTCTTTCTCACTGACCCAGGCTGGAAAAGGTCAGGACCTTGGAGCTGCAGGGAATCCTGGAGGCCCGGGTCTGACCAAACACATGCACCCAGAGCTCCGGGCAGTACTGGGAGATGCCGTCCACGCGGCAGCCAACTTGCCGGCCCCAGGTGTCCACATGGTAGTTCAGGCATGCTCGCCACCTGCTGCTCCTGTGACAGCGACGGCAGGTTAGGCGCCCACCAGCAGGGCTCCCAAGCCCGGCTGAGCCCCAGTCCCACATACCCCTGATCTATCCAGCTGAGCTGATACTGCACGTCAGAGGGGGCTGCGCTGCCCACTGCCCAGTGACAGGTGAGGGCATCCCCGCCAGCAGTCTTGCAGGTCACATTCTGAGCAGCAGCTGCAGAGTCTCCACCTGGGGTGGCAGAGCAGACCAGCACATGTCACTGCAGGTCACCTGCTCATGCAGTTGACAAGGCTGGGGAAATGAGCTGGGGGTCTCAGGGCCCAGTTGTCCGGTCCACCCTGATGAGGAAGTCCCGCAAGAACTGTAGGGCAGGAGCTCAAATGAGAGTCCAGCAGATCTTGGGGGGCTGGTGCTGTGGCAGTGTGGGTTAAGACACTGCCTATCCTTGAATCAGTGAGAGTCCCAGATGCTCCACCTCCATCCAGCTCCCTGCTAATGCACCCGGGAGAGCAGCAGAGGACACGGGAGACCCAGGTGGAGCTTCTGGCTCCTGGCTTCATCCTGGCCCAGCTCTGGCTGCTGTGGCCACTTTGAGGAGTTAACAAAAGTCAGAGTTGCAGAGCGAAGCTGAGGGACCTGACAGGAGGAAGCACAGTGTCTGGGTCACCTGGCTGCGGGAACAGAATCCACGTGGAGAAGGGTGGGCTGGCTGCACGCACGGTGTAATTTGTCGGCTCACACAAGGACAGCACTCGGTACTCGCAGTACCTGTCCTCCCGCGCCTAGAAGAGACACAAGTGTGGGGAAGCACACGGAGCCCAGGGCCAGCCCAGATATAGCCATCTGGGGTGCAACACAGCAGGTAGAAGACATGCTCTCGGTACTAAGCCTTACGTGCCCAGCTTTGAGAGCTGTCTGTGGAGGAGCAGCGGGGCCCACCTTCAGCTTCTGCCTGGAGTTTTTGATGCACTCAATTCCGCTCACATTTCCACTGCGATCCCAGGTCAGCCTCTGGGAATGGGGGTCCATCCTGAGGTTCCTGATAGGCAGATTATCATCTGGAACATTCAATGCAGAGAAGGAGATGAAAGTCCTTTAAAAAAATATATTTGTGGGGCCCAGCGACATGGTCTAGCAGCTAAAGTCCTCATCTTGAACGCACCGGGATCCCATATGGTCCCTGGTTCTAATCCCGGTGGCCCCGCTTCCCATCCAGCTCCCTGCTTTTGGCCTGGGAAAGCAGTCGAGGACGGCCCAGGGCTTTGGGACCCTGTCCCCACGTGGGAGACCTGGAAGAGGTTCCTGGTTCCTGGCTCAGGATCGGCGCAGCTCCAGCCGCTGTCTTCACTTGGGGAATGAATCATCAGACTGAAGATCTTCCTCTCTGTCTCTCCTCCTCTCTGCATATCTGACTTTCTAATAAAAATGAATAAATCTTAAAATACATACATATATATATATTAAAATACATACATACATATATATATATTTGTGACCTTGGGGTCTGGGTACACAGAACTTCTATCAGCCTGCTGGCTGCTGGGAGGACCCGGGCCAGGCTGGACTCCATGCTTGGGACCATGGTTACAGCCACAGTGACCATGTAGTTTGCTGGGTCCATTTGGCACTAGGCTCTTCTGCCTACTGGCCACCCACATGCGAGCTCTGGGGTCTTGGGGATGTGGAATTGCTGTCGAGGTATGTCCATGTTGAGGCCACTGTACGTGTGGGTTGGAATCAATCCTGAGGGACACCCAACAACAAGGGTAACTTTTCCTTGAAGGTAAGCCAGGGTACTGAGACATGGTGGTTTGGAGGAGAGAGACCAGGCGATCTGTATGGGTCAGCTTGCTATACCAGCCCACTTGTGAGTCCTGTGTAGAACTTGGTATCACCAAACAATGCTGACGACACCAGTCCATGCCAAAGCTAAGGCTGGGGACTTATCTAGCAGGGCTAGATCCTAGTACCTGACAGAATGTTCCATCAGGGGACACGTCACATTAAGCAGGGCCATGACACTAACCAGCCCATGAGAGAACCATGTCTGGCTGTAGATTCTGTGAGGGATGTGTGGGCCAAACCCTGTAGAAATACTAGTCCCACTGGTTAGCTCAAGAGTTGGGGTGGTGGGCTGAGCTAGGTGTGACCATGGACCCTGCCATCACTCACGGGTAAAGGAACTGACAACAACCTGGGCAGATCAAGGCAGCAGCAGCTGAATGTGCATCCTGAAACAGGGTGCGAAGTAGGCCGGGCTGCAAAGTTCACCCGCTCATACAAGGCCAACATGGAAGGGCAGACTAGGCAGGGCACTGGCCTAACACCCTCTGGCATGTATGAGATCTGGGTCTGAGAGTGGGTCAAGTGGGGGAACTTGGGAAACTCCCATAGTGGGTCCCAACTCATTGATGATCACACGGTCCAGGCCTGGGGGTCAGGCAAGCTGGACAAAGCAGTTCCAATTGCTAGCTAATGTGTGGGGCCAAGCTGGTCAGAGCAACCACTGGCATGTGTGCGATCTATGGCTGGGAACAGGCCTGGCTGGGGAGCTGAGAGGACACCTTGGCTGGGTTGGAGCTCCCACTGGTGAGTGCGGGGCTGGAGAGGGGGCTGCGTTCTCGTCTGGATATGGTTGCAGTCTCCCTTGGCACAAATGTGAACTGGGACTGGGCACCCTGAGCCGGGCTAGACTTCAGCACCATCTGGTGCTCTGGAGGACCAGGGTAGATGTAGGATGGACTAGGCTAGGTCTCTGCCCCTACTGAGCCAGGTGTGAGCTGTGTCTGGGTATGGACAAGCCTTGGCTGGGCTGAAACATTCAACAGCAAGAACTGGAATGGGTTGAAGGCCAGTCAAGAAAGGCCACTGTTCCTGCCAGGACAGGAGGTAGACCAAGTAGGGCTGGCCCATGGGCCCACTGGTATGCGCAAGATCTGGCACTGGGAGAGGCTCTGATGGAGGAGCTTGGGAAACTCCTCTGTCAGGACACAGTCCCTGCATGTGAGTGCAAGAACCATGATAGGGAGCAGCCTAGACCAGGCCAGGGGTGGACCAGGCTGACCCAGCTCATATCTTCTGCTGGCAAATCCAAACACCAGAACAGAGTGTGGGCCAGGCCAAGTTTGATAGCAACCCATATCAGTACACATTACGGCTGGGATTGGGTGCCTGCTGGGCTGACGTAGGCTGTAACCCTCACCAGCGTCAGCTTGAATTGGGGGTAGGCCAGAGGGCCAGGCTACAGCACCCACTGGCAAATGCCGACGTGAGAGGGGCCATGCCAGACTGGGCCACAGCGTCCAACCAGCACATATGAGAACCAGGGAGGGAGGGGGCAAAGCCGGTAGGGGGAATGCGGAGAGTTCCCCTGCTGGACTGCCATTCCTACTGGAGGGCGTGAGTCAGGATGGGGCATACCAGACCAGGCACAGTTACAACACCTGTGGGCTTCATGTGAGCTGCATAAGGAAAGGCCAGCCTGGGCTGACTGTTCCTACTGCTGCAAGCATAAATCAGAGTGGGTGAGGGTTGCTGGGGCTTTGCTGCAGCATCAGCTGGCAGATGCTGGCACTGGGGACTAATTCTGCCAAGGTAAACTGCAGAACCACCTGGAGTGTGCATGTTCCAGGAGGGGGAGTGGCCCAACGGGGAAATAGTGGGCACCTCCCTCTTGGGCCACTCCCACTGGAGAATATGAAAACCACCACTGGGGCAGCTGTGGCTAGACAGAACAGCATCTGCCAGTATGCGTGTAGGCTGTAGCTCCCACTGGTTTGTGTGAGGGCTGAATGTGTGGTTGGCAGAATCAGGTTGGACTGCAACACTGATTCTTGTGGAAGACAGGGCTGGAAACAGAACTGACCCAGCAATTGCAACCACGAGCAATTGCAACCACGAGCATGTGCATAAGCTGACTGGGGTAACAGACTGTCCCGTATCCTGTACTGGCACGCACACCCAAGAATCAGGTATGGGATCACCTCAGACAAAGTTTCTTTGGGATTCCTCCAACTGAACTGCTGCTCTCAGAACCCCAACCATGAAGAGAAGTGCAGGTTCTACGGACTGACCATGGAGTGCATGTGTCAAGGCTGAGCCTCCTCTGAGGACACCTGGTATCACAACAGAGGACAGAAGACAGAACAAATCAATCATCTGCGCCAGCCATGTGTTGGCAGTGAAAATCTGGGCGTATGGAGACTCTGAGGTGAACTGTTTCAACCAGTGGATTCCGGAGAGATTTCATTGTGCTTGGGATGGTGAGATTGGCAGCAGTTCAGAACTGTTGAACTATCTTGTTGAAACCACTTGAGGGCCCAGTGGCATGGCCTAGCAGCTAAAGTCCTTGCCTTGAACACGCCAGGATTCCATATGGGCGCTGGTTCTACTTCCGGCAGCCCTGCTTCCCATCCTGCTCCCTGCTTGTGGCCTGGGAAAAGAGTCGAGGATGGCCCTAAGCCTTTGGACTCTGCACCCGCTTGGGAGACCTGGAAGAAGTTCCTGGATCCTCACTTCCGATCGGCGCAGCACCGGCCGTTGTGCTCACTTGGGGAGTGAATCATCGGACAGATCTTCCTCCCTGTCTCTCCTACTCTCTGTATATCTGACTTTCCAATAAAAATAAAATAAATCTTAAAAAAAATAAAACATTTGAGCAGGACCCTCGAAGCATGTCTCACATCGGGTGCCTGGGATGGGTAGGAAGCTGGGTGTGGCTTCTCCCTTTATCTCTCCCCTTACTCCAGATACAGAAAAATTAATAGTAAAATTAATGTGGAAACAATGGCTTTACCAACCTTCCTGTAGCCCTTGGCCTTTTAAGTGCCCTAGTCAACCAAAAAAATACAGTTGCGAGATAGAGAGAAAGGAAGACAGACCTTCCCATATTTTGGTTATTTTCCAGATGTCCACAATAGCTGGAGCTTGGCCAGGCAGAAGTCAGAGTCCCCAGCAAGGGGCATCCTCCACTGCTTTCTCAGGCCATGACTGGGAGCTAAATGGGAACTGGAGCAGATGGGACTCAAACCAGCACCCATACCAGGGGCTGCTCAACTCGATAAACCACAACACTTATTCCAGAATTTACATTTTTTTAAATCAAGGGATCATGAGAGTCACCAAAATAGAACCTGTGTTGGAGGATGAAATAAGTCTCAATGTTTTAAAGGATTTGCAAACCTTGGTGCAGTGATTAAGAAAGCATTCCTTATCAGAGTCCTGGTTCAAGACCCAGCTGCTCCACTTCAGATTCGACTCCCTGCTAAAGACCTGGGAGACAGAGGATGACGGCCAGTGCATGGCCCCTGCACCTACAGGAGAGTCCCAGCTGCAGTTCTGGGCTCCTGGCTTCAGTTCGGCCCTGGCCATTGCAGCCATCTGGGGGTGAACCAGCAGATGGAGGGTCTCCCTCTCTCTCTTGTCACTCTGTCTCTTAAATAATGTTTTTCTTTTATTTATTTATTTATTTATTTTAAAGATTTATTTTTATTATTTTTTTTTTTTTAAAGATTTATTTTTTATTATTTTTTCATTGGAAAGGCGGATATACAGAGAGGAGAGACAGAGAGGAAGATCTTCCGTCCGATGATTCACTCCCCAAGTGAGCGCAACGGCTGATACTATGCCGATCCTGAGCCAGGAGCCTCTTCCGGGTCTCCCACATGGGTGCAGGGTCTCAAAGCTTTGGGCCGTCCTCGACTGCTTTTCCGGGCCACAGACAGGGAGCTGGAAGGGAAGCGGGGCTGCCGGGATTAGAACCGGCGGCCATATGGGATCCCGGGCGTGCAAGGCGAGGACCTTTAACCACTTGCGCCACTGCGCCACTGCGCTGGGCCCTTCTTTTTTTTTTTTTTTTTTTAAGATTTATTCATTTTATTACAAAGTCTGATATACAGAGAGGAGGAGAGACAGGGAGGAAGATCTTCCGTCCAATGATTCACTCCCCAAGTGAGCTCAGCGGCTGGTGCTGTGCCGATCGAAAGCCAGGAACCAGGAACCTCTTCCAGGTCTCCCACGTGGGTACAGAGTCCCAAAGCTTTGGGCCATCCTCGGCTGTTTTCTCAGGCCACAAGCAGGGAGCTGGATGGGAAGTGGAGCTGCTGGGATTAGAACCAGGGACCATATGGGATCCTGTGGCGTTCAAGGCAAGGCCTTTAGCCGCTAGGCCACGCCGCCGGGCCCTTAAATAATGTTTTTCAAAAAAGAAGGTAGAGGAAGAAAACCAACTGGGACCCACAAGCTACGCCTAAAGAAAAATTGTCAAAATGAGCCCACTTCCTGCCTGTGGTCAGGTTCCTAGAATACCGTGGCCAGCAGTGACCTCCAAGGGCCGACTTCTGCTTCAGTCAGGACACAGTGCAGGTTGTTGGCCACTTCCCACCCTGGCCTCCTGCATGGTGGAGAGGGGCCACAGAGGGATTGGGGGTGCAGGGCAGGGGATGCAGAGGCATCAGGGAGAGAGGGGAGGCAGTGGGGTGAGGAGGCACAGGGGAAAGGGGACAAGAGCGGGGGTCACGCAGGATAGGCGGAGATAGACCCAGGGAGCGGGCAGCACAGGACGAGCCACACCACGGACGAGACCTCAGAGTGTATGTGACCAGCCACAGCCATGGGGGTTGTAGTGAGACCATGCTGCAGAAGCCACATGCCTGGGGTGGCCGCACTCACAGACACCTGCCCGATGGGATGTTGCCCTGTCCCGAACTTCACCTCAGGGCCTACCTGGCCCCTTGACTGAATTCCATGCCAGGTTACTCTGCCATGGGATCTGCGCACACAGCCTCTGGATGGTACCATCGTATTTGAAAGGGGTTGAGGGGTATTGATTAGAGATGGATGGCAGGCAGCAGCAGAGAGGTTTTCCATTGCTGTTTCACTGCCCAAAGGCTCGCTAACAGCCAGGGCCGGACCAGGTGAAGCCAGGGGCCAGGACCCTGTCCTGATCTAGTGTCCTGGGGCTGTCACTACCGCCCCCCAGGGCTGCCCTGGGAGGGACGACTTGTGCCACAGAAGTGAGCCAGGCATGCTGACGAGGCCTGCAGTGTCCCAAGCAGCTGCCGTCCCCAGTGCTCGCCCCGTCTCCCTGTTCCTACGGGCTTCAGGTCCATTCTCAGGAAAATCTATCTTGAGCAACAACATCTACAAGTCTTATTCTCAACCCAGGCTTCCCTTCGGACAGCCAAAGGCAGGAGATTTTGACGTGTGAATTTGGGTGAGGAGAGCAGAAGTCATCCCAAAACAACTTCCCATCTAGCTCCCTGCTGATGACCTGAGGAAGCAGCAGAGGACAGTCCCAAGCTCTGGGAGACCCTTTGCCGAGGCCCAGTCCTGGCTGCTGCAGCCACCTGGGTGAGTGAGCCAGCAGGTTGAAGATCTGCTGCCACTCTGCCTCATGAGTAGATGCTTCTTTGAGAAGCTTGGCCAAAATGCCAACCCCTCTGGCAAGCCCCTCCTATTACCCAGCTGGTGCCTACCTGGAGGAGCTTGCAGCAGACAGCAAGAGGGTACCAGCAGCATGGTGAACCATGTAGCCAGCATGGCGATACCAGGTCCCGTGGGAGTCAAGGCACCTGTGGAAGAGAAGGAGGCCTCACCCATCTGTGACACATCCCCAGCTGCAAGTGACTGTGCATGCCATGTGCATACACACCCACACTGTGATGTGTGCACAGGCACTGCACATGTATTCCTGTGTGTGCCTGCATACGCACGCCCAGTCATTGTACAGAGCTAATTCATACATGAACACGTGTGCATACGCTGCTGTCCACCTGTCTGTCAGACACCAGGCTAATCCTCCCCTCACAAGCGCCAGGACCCCATATGGGCTCTGGTTTGTGCCAGGCTGCTCCACTTCCCATCCAGCTCCCTGCCTGTTATCTGGGAAAGCAGCCGAGGATGGCCCAAAGCCTTGGAACCCACATGCACGTGGGAAACCTGGAAGAAGCTCCTGACTCCTGGCTTTCGATGGGCTCAGCTCTGGCCGTTGGGGCTACTTGGGGAGTGAACCAGCAGATGTAACTCTACCTTCCAAATACAAAACAAACAAATCTTAAAAAAAAAAAAAAAAAAAAAAAAGCAGCTCCAGTCCCGAGGAGGTGAATTCTAGTCCTATTCAGGATCAGTAGTGAACTAGGAAACACCGGCCAGCAGCCTGCACCCTGGCCCCCTTCACCGACCAGCGATCTGTATCACGCCCCCCCGCCCCACTGGCCAGCAGTCTGCACCCTGACCCCCTACACCGGCCAGTGATCTGCATCACAGCCGCCCACACTGGCCAGCGCCCCAGTCCCTGGCCCCCCACACAGGCCAGTGATCTGCATCACAGACCCATATACTGAGCTGCACTTCCCACACCAGCCAGCAGCTTGGCCCCTCACGAAGGCTCCCTACCCTACAGGTCGCATTGAGGTGTCCCTTTGATCTGATGGTGGTGTCAGCAGTGACAAGCATCTGGTCCTTCCTGCTGAATCATCCCTGGGCTACCAGGGGACTGCTGATGGAGGGAGAGCCAGTGGAGTCCAGCAGTCCCAGCCGCTTCACTTCCTATGCAGCTCCCTGCTTCAAGAAGCTGCTGGCAGCCCTGGCTGCTGTGGCAGTGAGGGAATGAGCCGGCAGAAAGGAACATGCTCTCTCTCCCTATTTCTTGCCCTTAAGTTTGCTCTCTCACTCTTTTTGTGTGTGCTCTTGTTCTCTCACTCGCTCTTCCTCTCTCTTTCTCTCCAACCCCCGTCTCTTGCTCTCTTACTTTCTCTCTCCCTAACTCTACCTTTTGAATCCATGGATGTTTCAGCAACGCCCACTTGGGAACCTTGCCTCCACCTCCAGTGCGTGACCACAAGGGGACTCAGGGACTCACCAACCTGTATAAAGGGCGTCCAGGAGGTTGGTGTGGCCAACTGCAGCAGCAACAGGGTGCCAGGTGCCAGCTCAGGCACCCGAGGGATGAAGCTCGGAACACACTCTGGGTACTGCACCGTATAGGCAGTCTGGGGGACTTTGCACTGCACCGTCCTGGCTTCTTAGCACTTTCTCCCCAAAGAGAATCTGAAGCTGCTTCTCACTTTGGCTCAGGCGCGTTTTCTATCTGGCAGGTGGGTGCGAGCCCACCAAGCAGACCCAGTGGGGAGCGGCTGGTCAGGACCACCACTCCCTCTGGCGTGGAGTTGGGGTTAGTGGCAGCATTGGAAAGGTCTCTGTATCTCCCCAGAACAAGCTTTTCTTGTAAGCAGTGCTCTCCCAACCCCTCCCATCTGTCACCATGAGATCCAAGGGCCCTTCACAAAGCTTGATCAACTTCCTGCTGTGGCCAACCTCATCCGGCAGCCTGACCAGCACCCCGCCCCACTGGCCTTCTGCCCCGGCTTTTCCCGCACAGCCGCCAGCTACCCTCTCAGCTGCTGGACCTGTCACTTCTGACTTGGCAACCAGGCGCCACCGCCCTCTGCCTTGCTCTGCCTCAGCCCTAATGCACACCATGCGGCTGGATCCGTGGTGTCCCTTTTCACCCCATGCCTACTGGCCCAGGTCCAGTGTGTTTAGGTCTACCCTTCATCCTGCAAGGAGTGGTGGGAGCGCGAACAGGGACACAGGCAGCCAGCAGGAACCCAAGCCACCCAGGCAGGCCGACCCCGCCCGCCCAGCTCTGCATGCTCAGGGCTGGTGGTAGTGGACAGTCTCAAGATCTAGAGCTGCACCAGGGTGTGCACTGCTGGGTGCCCAACGGGCCATAGCAGCCAGGCTGTGGGTTCTAGGTGGAGTGTAGGCAGAAAGCTCCTGGGCTCTGGCAGCTAAAGAGGCAGGGTGGGGACTGGGCGTGGCAGGAGGCTGGGAGAACTTGAAAGTATGGCAGATTCACTCCAGTGCTCCAAGAGAGCTGCTCTGTCAGCCTACTTCCTCCTCAGATGCCCACAACGGCCAGAGTGGGGCCAGGCAAAGTGTGGGAGCTGGGAACTCCTGCGGGGTCTCCCAGGTGCATGACCAAGGTGCTGGACTCCAACCTCGCCCATGCTTCCCCTACCCCCAGGCCGTACTCCATGGAAAGGCCCGGATTCTTACCGCTCACTGCTACTTCTGCCATCCCATCAGAGTGCTGCTGCCCCTACCCCCACCCCAGGCCCTTGAGCTCTTCTTGAGTAGCCAAGCCAGGCCAGAGCCACCCACCTAGTAGGCAAGGCCCTGCCCCAGCAGCAGCTCCTGCCCTTGGCCACATGACGGGTGGCATGCAGCAGAAGACAGGGAGGTCCAGCGTCTGTGGGGGTCCAGGGCTCAGAGGCCAAGGGCTACCCAGCTTGGGTAGCAGAGCAGAGCATCTGTGTCTGCTTGGGGTGGGAAGAGGGGGCTCCAGCCCCAGTCATTGGTACTAGGCCTTGGACCAGAATGCTGAGCGGCTGGTGGTCCTCCTGGGACACCTCAAGCCCCTGGGCTAGACTATGAGCATAGCCCTGGGACCAACACACTCTGGCTGGCCCTGTCCCCCCAGCCCGCTTCAGCCTGGCCTAGAGGCCTTGGATCTCCTTTGAGCATGAGCCTGGTGGCCACGAGCAAGAGCTCCCAGGATTTACCACTCACACCGCAGGCCTGTGGCTACCTATGTCCCCTGGGCCAGGTTGTACAGCTCGGGGTCTGCTGCAGCAGAGAAGGCTACTTGAGTGCCACAGCCCATCTGCACAGCCCAGGCGCTTCGGGTCGGGTCCTCATCTGTCTGCTGACCTTGACTGACACAACCCTCCCACACTTATCCTCCCATGAGGCTGCAGTCCAGGTCCTGCCTGTGCCCATGTGTCCCCAGGCTCCAGGGGAGGATGTTCCACAGCCCCTGTTGCCCCCAGATTTGGGAAGCCCCGTCAGCTCCTGACATTCCCAGGGATGAAGGTGAACTTCCTGTGACAGCATGGGGGAACCCCAGAAAGCCCAGCAAGAGTGGGGACGGGCACACTATTCAGCAGAGGCAGACCTGCACCTGGGCCCAGCATGGGAGGGGAGGTGGGCTTGGGCCTCCCCAAGGACCTGGCACAGCACCCAGGGCACCTGCCCCGCTGCCTCCCACCCTGTTGCTGGGGCTATGAGAGGAGCCCTTGCCCCAGGCCGGCCCTGACTAGGCTGACCAACAGCCTCCTGGAGGGGAGGCCGCAGGGATTCCACCCCAGGATCTGCAGTAGATGTCTGGGACCCTTGTGGTGCCCACTGCCCTGTCTGACAACGCTCGAGGTTGGCACCAGGACTGAGGTCTCTGTGGTCCTCCCACTCCATGCTCACTCCTCATATGGCAGGACTATGTCTGCCCCACATTTGCACCCAGCTCAGGGGTGGACAGGGCAGCAGACAGGTGAGCACCCACCCCCTCCCACAGGCAGCAAATGAAAGCTGGATCCCGGGTGAGGACAACAGGGCTGGGCACCTCTCCTCTCCCCCGTGGCATGTGCCAGCACCTGCTGTCCCAGCTTCCAGGGCTCACACCTGCCCACCAGGGCTTGCAGCTGCTGGCCCGGGGCAAACATATGAACACACACTAGTGGTGGGAGCAAGAGCACGCTCCACCCCTGGGGAGGTAAGGGCACATCTGAGCCAGGGTCTAGCCCCCCACCACTGCCATACCTACAAACTTAGTGTTTCCAGGAGGTGCTAACGGGGTGGGACATGGCCAGGTTGGGAGTTGCTCCTGAAAGGGGGGGATTGGGAGGGAGGTGACCAGGGTCTTTCTCAGACCCAGATCCAGTGCAGCAGGGAACTGGGCCACCCAATGGTAACGTCCCTTGATGGATGAACTAACTCACCGAGTGGCAGGGCTTTGTCCAGAGGCACTAGACAGGAGGTAGCCAGAGTCTTGCTCTCAACCTGTGGCCCACATGGTGGGGACCCAGCTGACCAGGGAGAGCTGACCTCAGGTCGGGCATCTGATGCCAGATGTGGGCCAGACCCTGAGCACCCATAGCCCTGTGCAGACCCAGGGAGCAGGAGCAGGGGCCAGGCTGTGGGCTGGAGTGGAGGGATGGGTGGAGAAGGGAGGGAGGGCCAACAGTGGGTCTGTGGGGGCATGGCATGCCTGGTTCCAGCTGGCTCCCAGTAGTATTGCTCCAAAACACCAAACAATCTACAAATTAGGACCAAAAATTTGATTTTAAAATTAAATTGGTAATGAGATGCGGGGAGGGGGGCGCTCGTTTTCTACCCACCCTGCAGCGCCCCCAGCACCTTCTCCAGCAGCTCAACCTGCATGAGCGGGTCCCTTCCAAGGCTGCGGTCAGGGTCAGGAACCCGGGTGGGGACGCTGGCCCAGTAGGGGATGGCAGGAATGGGAGGGAGGCCCTTCCTGCCCTTGCCCAGCGTGGCTGGCGCTGACCCTTGCACAGATCAGAGCCGCTGGCGCATGCGTGGACGCGAGTGCCTCAGGGTCCCTTGGAGGAGCGCATGCAGCTGCGAACCTGATCGCAGGGTTCACCTCACGCCCACGGACGCCTGAAAGTGGATGGTCCCCTTCCGCCTGGGAATTTCTTCATTGCCGTGTAAGGGTGATTCCCCCGCGGGGGCTGCCAACGGACCCTGGCCTCCCCCACCCTTCTGCGGCCTCTCGGCACCCCGCCCCCACCCGACCGGGCGGGGCGTCACAAGGGCCTGCAGTCCCCCGGCAACCCGCTTGCCAGCAGACGCAAGGCTGGGTCCTCCGTGCCCTGGGCAGTGGCCGAGGAGCTGGGCATCGCCACACAGGGCAAGTGGCTCGGTTTGGGAAGCATGGGGTGTGGGCTGGAGGCAACACCTGGGAAGAGACCCTGTGGCTCCGGGTCAGCCCCCTCGGGGACCCCAGCCCCCAGTGAGGGGACTGAGCCCTGCCCCTCTGCTCCACAACTGTGAGGAATAGACTCCATGGCTCAGACCCCGGGGTCCGGGTTGTTCAGCACCAAGGCTGGTAATGGTGGGGTCTCTGCCAGGCCTGTCTAGTCTTCGGAGCCTCCCCTGCCGTCCGCACCTGTGTCAGGCCACTGGGCCCGAGCCTTGTGCAAAGGTAGAGGGCTGCGGTCAGCCCACATTGCCTGCAAGGCTTGGACTGTGGCGGTCGGGCAGGGCTGGCTGGAGGCAGTGATTTATAACCGGCCCCTCCCCTCCCCAGAATGAACTTCCAGGTGATAGGCCTGGGCAAGATGAAGTTTGACAGTCCAGAGTCCTGCAGGGAGCAGGAGGAGGCTGAGGACGCTGAGGACCAGCAGCTGCTGGCGCCTGAGGCCTGGCGGATGTACATGGAGCGGCGCAACGCCCTGCGCGAGTTCCTGGCCTCGGACCTCAGCCCCCACCTGCTGCGGCGCCACCACGCTAGGGTGCAGCTGCTCCGCAAGTGCTCCTACCACCTGGAGGTCCTCCCCAAGCACCTGGCACTGGGTGACCAGAACCCATTGCTGCTGCCCAGCGCCATGTTGCAACTCATCGACCCCTGGAAGTTCCAGCGCATGAAGAAGGTGGGCACGGCCCAGACCAAGATCCAGCTGCTGCTGCTTGGGCACCTGCTGGAGCAGTTGGACCGAGGTCGCGCCATCCTGGACGGGCTGCTCGAGTCACCCGATCCCCGGCCTTTCCTGGCAGGCTGGATGCTGGTGGAGCAGCGGCTGGCTGACCTGTCGGCCACGATGGACAGCTTCCTGGCCATCATGGTGCCAGGGCGCCTGCACATTAAGCACCGCCTGGTGTCCGACGTCGGGGCCACGAAGATTCCCCACATCCGCCTCATGCTAAGCACCAAGACACCGGTCATATTCGACCGCAAGGAGTCGGTGGCACATCAGGACTGGGCCAGCCTGCGCTGGTTTGTCACAGTGCAGCCAGCTGCACCCGAGCAGTTCGAACTGCGCTTCAAGCTGCTGGAGCCACGCACACCACAGGAGTGTATGCAGTGTGGTGTAATTCCTGTGGCCGCCTGCGCCTTCGACGTGCGCAACCTGCTTCCTGACCGCACTTACCGGTTCACCATCAAAAGAGCTGAGAGCTACACGCTGGTGTACGAACCCTGGAAGGACAGCCTTGTCCTGCACACCAAGCCGGGCCTCCAGCCCACCCTGCCCGCACCCTCCGACAGATGACTTTCTAATATTTATCCATGAATAAAGAAGAGTATAGACAGAGGAACAGGTACAGTCAGGTACGCCCAGGGGGTGAGCACAGGAGTGGGGCCAGAAGAGCCAGGTACAGCAGCAGGCATGTCTGTCTCCTCCGTTCTCCAAGGCTCTACTGTCTCCTGACGAGAGCCCCAGGCTGGGCTTTGCTGGCTGGTCAGTCGTCAGCCACAGCCCCTGGAGTTCCCCAAGGGCAGCCACTCTCCCTATGGGCGTAATAGAGCTCCTGTGTACTCGTTCATTTTTGCAAACTCTTGGGCAAGACCAGCAGTTCTCTCTGCCGACTCACCCCCAGATACTGCCCTAGCCAGCAGCCAGCAGCCAGCAGCACACGCTGCCCAGACTCCCTGACTGCCCCCTTCCCAGTGCTGGCAGCTGGAAGGACTCTGTAAGTGGAAAGGAAAGCAGCAGGTGTGAGCTTGCCAATCCCTCATGGGTGAGGGCTGCATGCATGGCAGACTGGCCATGTGCAGGGACAGCCCTGACAGTGGTGTCAGTGGCCAATGCCTGGTCCCTTAACCCTCAGGCAACTGACAGCCACTTCCTGCAGGCCCTGGGGTGGGTGTGGGAGGAATGCCCTGCTCCAGGTCCAGAGGACAGGGGGTGGGCGCGTGACTGACAGCAAGAAGGGGCAAGAGCCTTGCCCAAACCAGCTGCCTCCATCAGGAGCATTATACCTCCCCCAACCGTGGCAGGTGTTGCTTCCCTGCCTGGCCATCCCCACAGGCTATCTAGTCCTATTGGTCCTGTTGGCAGTTACTACAGGGAAGGACCTGGGGCCTCCCCGATGGCCACCCCCACAGTTCTCTTGGTGCTGTCGGCAGCTACCATAGAGATGGACCTGGCGCCTCCCCGATGGCCACCCCCACAGGCTATCCAGTCCTCTTGGTGCTATTGGCAGTTGGCATATGGATGGATCTGGGGCCTCCTTAATGGCCACACCTGAGGTGCAGTCCTTGTGCTCAGGAGTCAGACTCAGTGACCAGAGCAGCTGCCCAGACAGGCCCTCTGGGTACCACTCATGCCTGAAGCCACTCAGGGTATATCCACCAAGGGCAAGAGCCAACCAGCTAGAGCCCACTGATGGCCAGAGCTCTGCTCTCAGGGAAACCGCCCACATGCAGCTGTAGGCAGGTGGGGTCAGAGGCTAGAGACTGAGGGAGACAGCTCTTCCATCCACTGGTGCTGCCTCACTCCCCAGCTAGCAGCAAGGGCCAAAGCCTGGAGTCGCCACCTAGTGGAAAGCTCTCGTGTTTTCAGGAAGCGGAATCAGAAGTGGAGCAGCCAGGACTTGAACCCGTGCTCACAGGAGATGCTGGTGTCCCAGGCAGCAGTTTAACCAACCATACCACAAAGATGGCCCCCCCTAAAACATCATCATTGCTGATGACAAGGCATGGGTCTGAGGAGGTCCCTGCAGGTGTGGTGGACACACCACACCCACGCTGGCCCCTGCAGCCCCACGCTAGTGACAACACCCTCAGCAACCCAAGCGACCCAAATGACCCAGCCTGAGACATCAGATGGAAAGCTGCTGGCAGTGGAAGGCAGGCTCCTCTGTCGTCCATGGCCGGCCACCCACCCTACACAAACCTTGGAGTTAGCAGAGATCAGGGACGGAGGAGCAGTAACAGTGTGCTGGTGCCATCCTGGCTGCTCCACTTGCAGTCCAGCTCCCTGCTCACACACCTGGGAGCCAGAGGTTTGCCCCGTTTCCACCTGTACCAGTTCAGCAGCAGTCTCTGTGATGGTCAGAATGACCACAGGAGCCCTGCTTCAGGGCAGGGACCTCTGCTACAGCCATGCCCCAACAGGTGCAGACACCCCCAGAGCACTAGCCCACAGACACAGCACCTTCAGCCCCTAGGACTAAGCCATGAGTCCATGGGAAGCACCTCAGCGACACCAATGTAGATGGCCACAATGCATCCCCACACCTGGGAGGGAACCTGGGGACCCCTGTGTGGGTCACCACCTGTTGGCGGTCTGCATGCTTTTCCTCCTTTGCCTTCCACTAGCACAGGCGAGTTACAAAAATGTGTTTATTTGAGTCAAGTACCAAGCAGATGCTGCTCCAGAGCTTCGACACCACCCACCCCAGGTGCCTCTGAACAGGCCCTGCCATAATCACTCATCCTCTGCCTGCAAGCCAAGCCCTGGGGGCCGGCTTCGTGCCGCTCAGGGTCCCTGCTCAGCCTGTGGACACAGCAGTATCAGCTGTGGACAGCAAGGGTATGGAGAGGCTCACACAGGCTGTCCCAGTGCAGCCCCATCCTCCCATTGGCAGCCCGGGCCCCTCCAGGCTGGCCAAGGCCCAGGGGACTCACTGAGGTGACCTGTGGTGACCATGTATGGCTCTGAAATATCACCTTTCTCAGTGGACAAGAGGCGCAGGGGCAGAAGGGGTCCTCCAGTGCAGACAGCAGTGTTCCTGTGCCCATGGGACTCCATGGCTGCATGTAACATGACTCATGACCGAGTAGAAATGAGTGTAAAAGGCGCACGCACACCTTCAGTACACACTGGCCCAGATGGCCCTGATGTGCACGGGCAGACAGAAGGGATGCAGGCAGGACAGTGCGACAGGGCCCTCAGGAGTCCCACCTGGCCCTGGGCCAGCAGGGCTTTGGCCGTGGGGGCTGGGGCCTGGAGGCCATTACCTACCCCCCACATGCCCACTCATTCCCCTGGCCTGGTCTTCTACCTGAGTCCAATCCAGGTCCATTGGAAGCCCAGGATGGCCACTGGGGGCAGCTCCCAGCTCTGACAGGGGTCCCGAAGGCTGGCACGTACTCCCCAGTCACAGGTGCCTCCACAGCCCTAGCCCGGCAGCAAAGTCCCAGGAACACTCCACAGGCCTGATCCCAGGGCCACCGGGGAGGCTGAGGCACTCGGGATGGTTTGGTTGCAAACGTTGTAAACCTGACTTCGTGGAAGCCCAGCACCGCTGCCCCCACCGGCACGGGACCCTGAGCTAGGCCACGCCTGCCCCGCACCTGCTCCCATGAGGGCAGGGGACGGGCACAGCCACACTAACCCTACAGAAAACTGTGGGAAGAAACCAAATCCATAGGATCCATGGGTTTCCACACTTGGGTACAGTCCCCAAGACATGTGTTAGTAACATCGTGCGGCAGGCTCTGATCATTGAAGCTTGCCAGGCCCAGGCACTGGGACCACCACATGGCCCCCAGAACCCACAGGGTCTCTGGCTCTGCTGCCTGGCACCTCATTCTGCTCCGGCTGCTCCAGGCCTCTGGCTATTGTCCACCCAGCTCTAAGGAAGGCTTGGGTGTAGACGGGATTAATAAGCAACAGTTGGAAAAATAGATTTCCTGGGAAAAGGGGAAGGAAGTCCAGGGCTGGAAGACCACATGCAGCTGACGCTCAGCTCTCAGCTCCCGCCCTACCCTGGCCTGGTGCTGGAGACCCCTCTCTTTGGTTCGCCCGCACCCCCTGTCTGGGCTAGGCCAGCTCCCGGAGCCTGTGCTGAGGTCCACCAGCAGCCCAAGGAGGCAGCCAGCTCTGCAGCCCAAGGGGCCTGGCCCCCACAACTACTTCTGCTCGTGGTCCTCAGCCACAGTGGCCACCTCGATGGTGGCCGTGTGTTCCTCAGGCCCCGGTGTGGCCCCCGTGGGCACAGTCACAATGGTGCTACCCCCGGGGGAGGCCTGGGCCACATTCTGAAGCGTAAGCAGCTGCAGCGGGCTAACCACCTTCAGCACTGTGCTGCCGTCCTGCATGGCCGCTGTGCTGAGCACCGTGAGGCTGGACGCATCCGGGTGGATCTCCACAGTGCTGGGGAAGGTAGGGCCTGAGGAGGCCAGAACTGTGTATCCGCCCAGCAGCGGGGAGGCTGGAGAGCTGGCAGGTGTGGCTGGGGAGGAGCCCTTGCCCAGGACTGCAGGGGGCAGGGTAGATACCACCTTGCCCAGCGGCATGCTGGTCAACTGGGGCACGGGCACACTGGTGCCAAGTGTGATCTGTGCTGGCTGTGGGAGCACCTGGGAGGCTACAGCGGCTGGGCCAGACGTGGCGCGAGCAAGGCGGGGTCGCTTCACAGGGGGCGGCAGAGACACTGGCGTCAGGGTCATGAGCACATTGCTGAGGTGCTGCGACTTGCATTTGAGCTCCCGGGCACGGCGGCGGTGCTCATCACACTGCTGCTCCAAGGCTGCAGGGGACACAGGGGTCACTGCATGGTCACACGGGGGTCACTGCATGGTCACACAGGGGCACTGCAGGGGACACAGGGGTCACTGCATGGGGGACATGGGTCACTGCAGAGGACACAGGAGTCAGTGTGGGAGGGCAGATGGGTCACAGCAAGGTGGCACTGCTAAGTAAGGTCATGAACAGCTTCCTCTTAGGGCTGGCAGCCCTGGGCAGCCCTCCTCCCGCCGCTCCCACCTGGCCCAGCCCAGCCCAGATCACCACTTGTCCAACTCCCAGGCTGACACCTGTGTGACCCGGGCAAGGGGGGAGCACCTGCGAGGTCGCGGGCGTATTGCTCCCGGGAGCGGTCCATCTGGCACTTATGGCTGGCCAGCACTTTCTTCACCAGGTCCAGCATGCCGAAGTTCTGTACGATGTTGTTGAGTAGCACAGCATCTGGCAGGCAGCATGAGCGCTCAGACACAGGTGAGAGCTCTGGGCCCGCCAGGGGAGCCTCAGCCCCAGCAGCGGGCAGACCCCGAGCCTCACCTCGGAGCTGCAGGGGTGGGTCCTGGACCCGCTGCTGCAGGCCCCTCATGGTCTCCGCCAGCTCCTGGTGGAACTCCTGGATAACCTCAGCCAACAGGCCTGCGTCCTTGAGCCCACGCCAGAAGGCAAAAGTGTCATCTGCAGGGAGAGGGTGAGGCGCAGAGGCATCACGGCACAGCGACCGTGAGGGAGCAGCTGTGACTCAGGGCCATCCAAGCTCGGCTGGACACCACTGCAGTCATGGGTCCCCTTCCCGCATGGGC